ATGCAAATATGTATATAAAGTAAGAATGATAAATTAGAAATTTCATTTTACCGAACCACACCGAAGACTAAAACGCCGAAGCCCACAGTTCACCACCAACCCATTCATGTTTCTAATACATTTTCCCCTCTCAGCGACACACCCGCTGAGGAACCAACTCTGCTTATTGGCAGCTCAATAGTCAGAAACATGAAGTTAGCGAAGCCAGCGGCCATAGTTAAATGTATCCCTGGGGCCAGAGCGGGTGACATTGAATCCTATTTAAAACTGCTGGCTAAAGGTAAACGTAAATACAATAAGATTGTTATCCACGTCGGCGGTAATGACACCCGTTTACGCCAATCGGAGGTCACTAAGATTAATGTGGAGTCGGTGTGTAATTATGCTAAAACTATGTCGGACTCCGTAGTTTTCTCTGGACCCCTGCCCAATGTGACCAGTGATGACATGTATAGCCGCATGTCGGACTTCCACCGCTGGCTGTCGAGGTGGTGTCCAGAAAACGATGTGGGCTTCATTGATAACTGGAAGCCTTTTTGGGGAAAACCTGGTCTGATTAGGAGAGACGGCATCCATCCCACTTTGGATGGAGCGGCTCTCTTATCTAGAAATATGGCGAAGTTTATTTCTAAAACCTGACAGTCCAGAGTTGGGACCAGGAAGCAGAGCTGCTGTCTTACACACTTCTCTGCTCTTTCTTTAGAACAGTCACCCACCCAAAACCCCATAGAGACTGTGTCTGTCCCCCAACCACCTAAATTATTTAAAGAAATGAAAACAAGAGGAGTTCAACATAAAAATCTAATAAAAATTAAAACTAACTCCTCAGTAGCACAAAATAAGAGAATGAAATGTGGGCTGTTAAATATCAGGTCTCTGTCCTCTAAAGCTGTTTTAGTGAATGAATTAATATCAGATTATGATATTGATTTACTTTGTCTTACTGAGACCTGGTTGTCCCACAAGGAGTATGTTAGCCTAAATGAATCCACCCCAGTCATATTAATACTCACATTCCTCGAGGCACTGGCCAAGGAGGTGGAGTAGCAGCCATATATGATTTGAGCGTTTTAATGGACTCTAAACCTAAACTAAATTATAATTCATTTGAAAGCCTTGTTCTTAGTCTTTCTCACCCAAACTGGAAAACACTGCAGCCAGTTCTATTTGTTATAGTGTACCGCGCTCCTGGACCGTATTCTGATTTTATATCTGAATTCTCAGAGTTTTTATCAAGTTTAGTGCTTAAATCAGATAAAGTAATTATTGTAGGTGATTTTAATATTCATGTGGATAACAATGACAGCCTTAGTAACGCATTTATATCATTAATAGACTCAATTGGCTTCTGTCAGAGTGTAAATAAACCAACTCATTGTTTTAATCACACTCTTGACCTTGTTTTATCATATGGCATTGGTATTGAACATTTAATAGACTTCCCACATAATCCTTTCCTATCTGACCATTATTTAATAACTTTTGAATTCATACTATTAGATTATAAGCCATTAGGCAAAACTTCCTACAGCAGATGTCTATCTGACAGTGCTGTAGCTAAATTTAAGGAGGAATTCCTTCAGTGTTTAATTCAATGCCATGTCTGAATTTAACAGAGTCCTATAATAACTTTAGTCCCTCTGAAATTGATAATCTTGTCGATAGTGCTGCAGGCTCACTACGATCAACATTAGACTCTATCGCTCCTATAAAAAGGAAATTATTAAAACATAGGAGACTAGCACCTTGGTACAACCACCAAACCCGCCAGTTAAAACAAATAGCTAGGAAATCTGAAAGGAAATGGCGCTCTTCCAAATTATCAGAATATCGCTCAATTTGGCAAGATAATCTTAAAACTTATAGAAAGGCCCTCCGTAATGCCAGAGGAGCCTATTACTCAGCACTAATAGAAGAAAATAAGAATAACCCTAGGTTCCTCTTCAGCACTGTAGCCAGGCTGACAGAGAGTCACAGCTCTATTGAGCCACATATCCCCATAAACTTAAGTAGCAATGACTTCATGAGCTTCTTCTATAATAAAATGATTACTATTAGAGAGAAAATTCATCACCAACTGCCATCAACAGTTATCAGTGGCTCTCCAAGTTCAGGGACTTCTGCCAATGTAAACTTAGATATATATTTAGACTGTTTTTCTGCTATCGATCTTCATCAGTTAACTTCATCGAAGCCATCAACCTGTCTGTTAGACCCGATCCCAACTAGGCTGCTTAAAGAAGTTGTTCCCTTAATTGGCACTTCTTTACTGGATATGATTAATGTTTCTTTATTATCAGGATATGTACCACAGTCCTTTAAAGTAGCTGTAATTAAACCCCTTCTTAAAAAGCCCACTCTTGACCCAGGGGTTTTAGCCAACTATAGACCGATTTCTAACCTCCCCTTCCTCTCTAAGATTCTGGAGAAAGTAGTCGCCAAAGAGTTGTGTGACTTTCTACATAACAATAGTTTATTTGAGGATTTTCAGTCAGGATTTAGAGTTCATCACAGCACAGAGACAGCTCTGGTTAAAGTTAATAATGACCTTCTGATTGCTTCTGACAATGGACTTGTCTCTGTACTTGTATTATTAGATCTTAGTGCTGCATTTGACACCATTGACCATAATATTCTTTTACAGAGACTTGAGCATCAAATTGGCATTAAAGTAAACCGCACTAAGCTGGTTTAAGTCATATTTATCAGATCGCTCCGCAGTTTGTACATGTTAACGATGAATCCTCCATAAATACTAAAGTTAGTCATGGAGTTCCACAAGGTTCTGTACTTGGACCAATACTATTTACTTTATATATGCTCCCTTTAGGGAACATTATTAGGAATCACTCCATTAACTTTCACTGTTATGCAGATGATACGCAGTTATATTTATCAATCAAGCCTGATGAAATTAATCAATTGTCTAAATTACAAACATGTCTTAAGGACATAAAATCCTGGATGACCTGCAATTTTCTGATGTTAAACTCAGAAAAAAATGAAATTCTTGTTCTTGGCCCCAAAAACCTTAGAGACTCACTGTCTAAAGATATAGTTAATCTAGATGGCATTAACTTGGCCTCTAGCACCACTGTCAGGAATCTTGGAGTTATCTTTGATCAGGATTTGTCATTTAACTCCCACGTAAAGCAGACCTCTAGGACTGCCTTCTTTCATTTATGTAATATTACAAAAATTAGACACATCCTATCACAGACAGATGCAGAAAAACTAATCCATGCATTTGTTACTTCAAGGCTGGATTACTGCAACGTTTTATTATCAGGTTGCCCCAATAAGTCCATTAAAACGCTCCAATTAATTCGGAACGCTGCAGCACGAGTACTGACAGGAACTAGAAAAAGAGATCACATCTCTCCTGTACTAGCTTCTCTGCACTGGCTCCCTGTAAAATGTAGAATAGAATTTAAAATTCTCCTCCTCACCTATAAAGCTCTTCATGGTCAGGCCCCTTCATATCTTAAAGAGCTCATAGTACCCTATTAGCCCTCTAGAACACTACGTTCTCTGAATGCTGGGCTACTTGTGGTTCCTATAGTCTCTAAAGGTAGAACAGGAGCCAGAGCCTTCAGTTACCAAGCTCCTCTCCTGTGGAACCAGCTTCCAGTTGTGGTTTTTCCTTGCCCTTGTCGCCAAGTGCTTGCTCATGGTGGTACTGTTGGGTCTCTGTAATTAATGTTTTAAAGAGTTCGGTCTAGACCTGCTCTATTTGAAAAGTGTCCTGAGATAACTTCTGTTATGAATTGACGCTATACAAATAAAATTGAATTGAATTGAAATTGCTCCCGATGCTGAATGGGTGAATGTGGCATGTAGTGTAAAAGTGCTTTGAGTGGTCGGAAAGACTAGAAAGGCGCTATACAAGTATAATGCATTTACCACAGTGGCCCTTTGCTCTCTCTCCAGTTGTTCCTGTCCAATAACATGTTTAGTGTTATTACTGTTGAATGAAAATAAACCTTTTCAATGTGCATTTTGAACCGGTATGACTTGGCAAATGTTTTCAGAAGGCTGCTTTCTTAAACAAATACCTTTATTAAAAGATATTTAATTTAAATATTCTTTAACATGTTATCATTAGTCACTGTCAACCAATTTGACGTAGCTGAGAGCTTCATCTCTCTTACTCTGTGCTGTTTGCCACAGTATTGTAAATCACAGCACTGGTTTTGATATTGGTAATTGGACCTGTACTTGTATAGCGCCTTTCTAGTCTTCCGACCTCTCAGAGCTCTTTTAAACTACATGCCACATTCACCCAGCAATGGCAAAGCCCATCGAACAGAAACACATTCACAATTCGGGGTTCAGTATCTTGCTCAAGGATACTTCGACATGTGGCAGGAGGAGCCAGGGATCGGAGCCAACATTCCGATTTGGGGACGACCCGATCTTCCTCTGCACCATGGCCGCCACTTTTATTTGATAACACATATGGTGATACTTTTTAACTGTCATATTTTTGCCCCAAAGAAGCCATAGCCTATTTTCTTAGTGCCACCCTGAGGACAAACTTAACATGTTTGGCATTACTACTGTAGGCTGTAAAAATAGCAACATCATCAAATATGTCTGTGATAGGCCAATATCAGCTGATAATATCAGTCAAGCTCATGTATGTCCCACACTTGTGTTGCTGGGTGTGATACAGATTTCAGGCTTTTAAGGCTTGATTTATCTAGTATGACATTCTATTCAGACTTATAGAATGACCACAGTTTCTGGCTGAGTGGGTAGTTTTGGTGTTTGAGTAGAGATAAGTAGAAGAATAAGCCAGACCTGTATACTAGCTTCTGTTTCTCCCAATCCTGCCTCAAGAAAAAACAAACAGTTCCCAACCCGACCAGTTCTACAGACAACATCTCAGAGACATTTTGTGTTGTGCGTGAAGGCCACAGTGTTCAGAGCACTCCTGGGATATGTTCAGATCTTTGTTCATTCTGCTGTTGAGATGTCACTTGTGTCACTATCCACAGACGATGAGGACATCTACATCCAACAAGCTGTGGTATTCATCGAGGACGCCATACAGGTAATGACAGCAAGTTCTTTTTTTGTGTGTCCTTCATGCTCATGCTCCATGAATTCACCTTATTGTAAGGCGTTCTTGTCCACCATAGTAGTGGATCTCAACTGGGGGAACCCCAGCGGTCTTAAATGGGGGATATATTAATTTCACTATTATTTGATTAACTATAAAAGTTAGCTCAATGAGAGAATGTATAAAAATGCCTATTGTATTCACAGGTTTCACTGTTAATCTGCCAGTCTACAGTATAGGCAAATATGGAAGAACTAAATCTTATCAGATGGGGATCCCTGATGTGGCCTGATGTGTATCAACTGGGGAGTTCTTGATAACAAAAAGGTTGAGAACCTCTACAGTATGTGAAAATATACATAAGCCAGGTGTGTGTTGCATAAGTCTCACCTTTCTTTAGCCTTAAAATATGTGTTGTTGTTTTTTTTTCTTACTGGGGTTCCCACACATCCTGGAAAACCTGGAAATTTATAGACTAGTTTTCCAGTCATTTGATTAAAATGCCCAAATATCCTGGAAATAATCTGTTTTGTTCCTGGAACATTTAAATTGTATTTTAGCCTGTGCTGCGGTCAAATTATTGTTCCAGTGAGAGGAAAACTGTAGTCAATTCAGAAAACTGAAAAATCAGCTGCAGTGAGGACGGTCAACCATCCACAATAGCAATAGCTAACACCATAAACGATGTGGCTGGCCACTGTATGTGAGCAAGTGCTGTCCTGTATTGTCAAGAAAAACTCCTGGAAAATTTCCTGAAAAGCACCTTAAAAACGATTTCTTAAAAAGAGTGGGAACCCTGATACTGCTGTAATACCTGCTCAGCAAATGATCTCTGGCCAGAAGGTCTAGAAGTCTCCAGTAAGATTGTTTAAAAAACAACAACAACTAAACATCAATCTCACTAGATTATATTACACTAGCTATAATTTCTCCCTACTGGTTGATTTTAAATTCTGCTCTGGACATACAAAGCGTCACATGTGCTTCACCTCTGTGCTTAAAAGAGTAGAAGAGCAGGTATTTCTGGATGTTCCAAGGCTGAAAACTAAAGGGGCTCATGTTGTTGTTGCTCTTCCACTATGAAACTGATCTAGTACTACTGGCAATGGCATGGTCAATCCACAATAACACTATTATATATCTTTTTTACTGTCAATATAAAACTTTCTGCTAGGTATACAGATTTGAAATTGGGAACGGCACTGGTAGCAGATTGTACCTCGGTAAGCAGATAACCTGTATTGAGGAATTGAACTCAGTTAGGAGAGAAACGTCAGATTGGTCAATCTGGTACAGCCTCCGACAAAGTCTCAGAAAAGCCAGAGAAGCATACTGTATTTTATTTTCCAATTTGGCTTTTTGTGCTTTTAACAGTTTGTCTTGATGTCTGCATGCCAGCAACAGCCAACACTGGAGGCATTGTGTTTTTAGGTTGTCCATCTGTTTCAGGTAAATAAGATTTCTCAGGAACACCTTGAGGGAATTTCTTCAATTTTGGCACAAAGGCCACTTGGACTCAAGGATAAACTGATTTGAATTTGGTGGTCACTGTGTAAAACATTTATTTGGCCAGAATTGATATGGTAATTTTGACAAAATGTCATACAGGTGTTTAATCAACATCAGTCACCACTATTAGTGTTGCTGTGCACCTTTGTCTCTGTCTTTGTCCTTGTGTCTTTACCTCCCCAACTGGTTGAGGCAGACGACCACCCACCTAGAGCCGGGGTCTGTCCTAGGTTTCTGCCTCTTAAAAGGCAGTTTTTCCTTGCCCTTGTCGCCAAGGTCTTGCTCGTGGTGGTACTGTTGGGTCTCTGTAAATAATGTTTTAAAGAGTTCGGTCTAAACCTGCTCTATTTGAAAAGTGCCCTGAGATAACTTCTGGTGTGAATTGGCGCTATACAAATAAAATTAAATTGGAATACAACAAGGAAGTGATGACATTTTTTATCCAAAAGGTCAAAGGTCAACTTCACTGTAATATCATAATGACCTTGGTCATTATTCAACGCCATAACTCAGGAACAGAATGGGAGATTGTGACCATATTTCACAGTTGGTCAGACACTGAATATGTGACACTTATGATCAAAGGTCAAAAGTCACTGTGACATCAAAATAGATTTTCAGCAATAATTTAAGAATGAACTGGGCAATTCCAGATTCCACACTGGGATGACACAATGAGTAAACATTAGCACAGTACAGGCTTTCACCTTTTCGTCTCATCCATTCTGCTTTTCACTTCCTGCCTTATTCTGAATTTTACCTGACTGCAAACAACGTATTGGAATGTGGTGAGCTAATGGTGATCCTGTGAATGACTTTCACCTCCAGCCCCTAGAGAGGCTTCACATCTAAAAATACCAGGAGAAAACAAAAGCACCACATTAAGTATAGCTATACTCTGTAAGAATGCATCGTTACATAGTAGAACATGTACCTGTTTAACCAATATGTCTCTGATAATCCTCCATTAATCAGTTCGAATGTGATATACCATTTAATAAATTCTTTCGAAGTCTTCATAACATATATTATGACAGACATTGATGTAAAAACAACTTGACTGGTTGGTGGAGGCATACAAGTTCTAGTTACTGTATTGATTTCTTCCCTTTCTTTTTTGTTTCCAATATAAAGCACTTTTGTCATATATTAATAAAGTTTGTTTGCCCATAGTACCGGTCCATCAACCACCGTGTGGATGCCAGCTCACTCCGACTGTATCGATGGTACTACTCTAGGATATGCCAGTGGTAAGTTCACAATCTAAATCTAAATTAATGTGTCAAATTTTACAACGTTTCACCAAACTAGGGTGGCCAGGGGTAGCAACTGCCACCTCATGCCACCCCTCTCAGTCCACCTCTGATGATACTGCACTGTACTGAGTTTATTTGCAGTAAGTAGTCTTGTAGTAAGTCTTGGAGCAGAGATAAGTTAAATTTACCGAAATTTACTTGACCTTGTGTGGGATGCAAAAGGGAGCACATGGTTTCTCCACATAAACCTCAAAACCTTACAGCCACAGGCAAAACGTAGCTTTGCCGAATTAATGATTTAGAGTAGGTCTGTCACAGTTTCAGCAGTCAGAAGTCTTAAATGGCTCGCATAGCTCCTTAGGTAAGGCGCAGCTTCATTTATTGCCAGAAGCTGCTTCATGCAAATTGAGGCGTATTTATTTATTTATAACTTGTCTAATACTGTCAATGCCATCCGCTCACCAATCTTTCCCTGCTCCAGGGGCTTGGGCCTAACCATCGCAGTGGTGTTGTTGCTGGCATTTATTGAGCGTCCGTCCTCCCTGTCTGTCTCCTCTGACCCCCGGCATCGCTCTCCAACCTGGGAACCTCCTTGTGGCCTCACCGAAAGCATCGAGATGGTCTGCCTCATCATCTTCTGTCTTGATCTTGCTGTCAAAGTAAGCAAAGCCGGGGTGGGAAACATGTGCTCCCAGGACAGCTGTCTGGTTAAACAAGGGTTTCAATATGGGTTTTGCCATGGGATGTTTCTAATTAATCTTGCAGCTATTCCGAGTTATTTCCTATTTGTTTGTCCATTTTTACCAGTGCTTTACTTTGGCTGTTTTGTCCTCAGAGCTACCTGATTGGCTGGGAGGAATTCAGAAAGAACAAATGGCTGATTGCCTACACAGTGGTCATTTCAATCTCTGTCATCGACTGGGTGTTGTCTGTCAGCATGGTGTGTGATGAGGTGAGGCTGTCTTCTGTCATGCTTCTTTAAGCTTGTTGTGCAAAATCAAATACTAGTATCCAGTGAAGACAATCAGCACTAATATAGGAGTGAATCAAAAGGTTGAGATACACAGTATGGTTATATCTTTAGAGAATTCAATGACACAGTACAACCCAACATGAAACCGGCTATAAGCCACTTTCAAACTGCATTCTTGTAGACCTGTAGACCATCATGGCATTCAGCCAAGTACTGTCCGAATGAAAGTGGTCCGGCTCAGTCCAAGTTATTAAAGTCACCAGAGACGTTGGAAGTTAGTCAGTTGGTGGAAACTTTGCTTCAATTTGAATGGCAAGGATCATTTATCTTTATTGTTATTTACAACAATTTACACCAGTTCTACTGCGTTTTACAGCAGACCAGAACACCAACATACTGTATGTGAAAGCAGCCACAGCAGCTACACAGGAATCAACACTGAACTAATACATGAGAACTGAAAAAGGAGAGGAAGGTTACTTACTACACTTATACCACATTAAAAAGGGGAAAAATACATTATGTAAGTTTAAACATTTTTATCAATTGATGGATTTTCCCCACATCCATGCAAGTATCCCAACATGCATTAAACATAAAGCAGTGCCAGTGAAGGAGAATTTTAGGTTGACAATTCTTATCATTTTTATACTACAACTGTTTCTGTTTCAACAAATTTATTTTTTTATTCAATTATGAATTAAACTAAATTCGTAAGTTTTTAACTGGTTATGAAACAGTCTCAGTTTAATACTGTTGGATTTAGAAGAAACACTACTGCTTTTGTCCACAGGGGACGCCAAAATCAAAACATAAAAATTAATACAGTTCAAATAACTTGTTGATTTATCAAAGCAGTGCATACTTGAAAGTTTGCATCAACATTACTTCGGAGATGTAAGGACCCACTATCTGGTCTGGACTGGCAGCTGGCCTGCTAGCTGCTGAGGTGACTCAGCAGGTCAGCGTCTATAATCATCCCATGGGAGAACAATCTTATCTTAGCAAACCATTTGGTAATTTGCTGGTGGCTCTGATGCTACCATAGTGTTTTAAACATAAGATATAATAACTTTTGTGAGGAAAACACACATCTGAGAGTCAAAATCTAAGATCTGTTTATGCCAAATCAGTTTGTCTGATTGTAAATTTAAGGTTCATATTTTTATGTAAATTTATGGGTCCTAATATTTACAGATATCATCGCACTGCAGTAGAAATTTATAAATATATATAAATAAAAAGAGACAGTGGCAGTGTTATATATGATATACGTTTTTGTATATTGTAAATATACATTACAGTGAGAATAAAAGATGTATCACAGTTGAAAGCTCTGACAAAGGAAGGTTAGCAGAATTTGTAGGGTCATCACCATATCCCAATTGCAAATTAAAGGTACAGCATCTCCCTGTTCTTGTGAGTTTGCTCTCACCATGCCAAGTTCAAACTCCCAGGGATGCATCTTCAATCTTGGGATACTCTGTATTGAGAAGAACCAACTCAATTCAAAAAAGTGATGTTGTCTTTTCTGTGTTAATCAGAAACTGAGAGTACGACGACTACTCCGGCCATTCTTCCTCCTGCAAAACTCCTCCCTGATGAAAAAGACACTGAAATGCATCAAGAGGACTCTGCCAGAGATCGCCAGGTATCTGACTTTTACATTGCCAGGACTGTCTGATTTCTATTCATTTATAAGTAATCTATTTTTCAACATTTAATGTTTCCTAATTTAAAGATATATTCTGTAACATTTCCAAATTAAAATGTCTATAAACACTAGAGCTATGTTCTATATGTAGTTGAGTTGTGTTCTTCCATTATCCCAAATGTTTCCAACAAACTCAGAGAAATCTGTAATTTTATTCAGGTAACCGGTCGCCTGTCAATGGCATCATATCCCCTTTGTGCATGCGTCAGCGTTGTGGTTGTCTGCCAGAAGCTGTCATACATACTTTTTATCCAGTTTGAACTGCTTTATTCAGTGTTTTAGCGGTTTTAATCAGCGGGTCTGTTTGTTTTGGAGAGGAGGAGACCTCTGTGGATCGTTGGGCTCACGCTAGAAACCTCCTGAACCATTAACACTGAAGAAATCCTAACCGGGAGAAGCTGACTGCAATGAAAGCAATGGTGGTGAAGACAACAAATCCCATGATCCCACCCCCTAGTGGCAGAAATTATATATTGTATGTTTAATGCAAGCTGATGTGGCTATAAGAGACAAGTACAAGATAAAAGCATATGCTAAAACTGGTAATAAAATGTGTAATAACCGCACTGGTAGAGTCATAAAATCAGCAAACTGGCGCAGTAACAGTGTTTGCTAATTTACTTCAGTAAACGATTACTTATTACTGATTGAAAAAGAAATTGCATCACATGATTAATTACTCAAAAGCAAAAGTAACTAGTTACATTGCCCATCATTAGCAGGGGAATGGGGAGCTCAGAACAGCGAACATTTTTTATAGTACAAACGGAAACTACTGTGAAACCTTCCATTTGCTTAGACAACACATAAAAAAGCCACAAATGACTGCAGCACACTCTCACTTCTGTCAGTGGCTCGCTGCTTCCCTAGAACACAGCCCCAGACTGAAGACCGTAATACCACTACTTTATGATGCGCTCTCTGATTGTGTCCAGAAGCAGGTATTGAATTCAGAACATGAACAGTCAGGAACGTTTGGAGGTTCTGTTTGGTACTATAGATCTGGAATAATGGAGGAGTTATTTCATCTTGACAAAACAATATTAGGCACTTCAGTTGGGCCTCAAACTCTCCCAGTTCAATCATCAAATATTGAATGTTTAGAGCAGGGGTGCTCAAACTTTTCCCTTGCAGGGCCAATACTGAAATTTAATGGAGGAATACTGTTAAGATGCCAAATAGTACAAGGATCCCAAGTTCCCTTAACAGACTTCCTATGTATAGTGTTACTCTGTACACAATGCTCAGATTACGAAAAAAATCATATTTTGAGAATTTTCACCTCACAAAAAAGCCGCAGCCCCACTTTGGGCAGCCTTGATATAAGGCTGGTCTGAGACTCTTAAAGCCCTTTTACACTTAGAAGGGTTTTATAAGTTATGGATTAAGTATATGATGGTCATTCCCATGCTCTACTACTATACTACTTCTACTATGTCTCATAAGTTGTTGCAGCCATTTTTTGGGCGGCTAACATTTGTTACACAGATTTGGTTTTAAAAAAAGTTTTTGACCAAACACAAATCTCTAAAGTTGGTAAAGAATCCCTCCAAAATACCACAGTAAGACCATGACAAACATTGTAAAAAAAGGTTGTAGAGGTCAACAGCTCATTTTATACAGCGAGGTCCAGTTTAAGACAATGGTCTCACTACAATGAAATGGATACTATGCGGACCAACATTATCACACATGAATACAATTCAGCTTATTGAATCCACAAGAGTTGCAGAGTGTGCATTCCAGTAATTCCCAATGTATGTAACTCCAATACTGTTTATGGACCCCAGTATGTAGAAATATTCATGTACACACAATTATACCACATGCAAAAAAATGGTTGTATGTATGGTTGTATTTTAGGCAAAAAACTACATGGGAATAGCATAAAGTTGACACGTCTGTAAAGGGGACACTCATGGATACCCATACAACCCATTTTAATTCAAATATCTTAAAGTCAAAGGCACCCCTTTGAAAATAGATTTCAATTTATCACTGACTCCCGGGCTTGTTCACCCCCACCCTGAGTGTGTGTGTTCTGCCGTCTTTGCAGTGTCATCCTGCTGCTGGCGCTCCACCTCTGCCTCTTTACTATGATCGGCATGCTGCTGTTTGCTAAAACTGAGGTAAGTTCAGCTCTTTACTGTACTGCTGACATTTTACGATGTGTTGACGTGTGTGTGTGTGTGATATAGATGTACTAATTAATTGGTTGATCTATTAATCTGGTACTGATTATCAGGCATTAAGATAATGGGCACCGATTTCTGTGCTCAAGAGGTCGATAAACAAACAATTTCTTCAGACACATCTGCAGGCAGCCTCGTCAGTGTGGCTGCTGTGGAACGATGTTAGCATTCCCATTTATAAGTTTTGGGAAGGTGGTGAAAAAGTCCTGTTATATGCATTCTACATGCGTCCTGCTGTAAACCCAAAAGTCCTTGTATTTTCTCAACGTTAACACAAATTAACAAAATTCTAAAAAAAAAAAAAAAAACCTCAAACATTCCAGCAGCTGGGGCAGATACTGTAAAATAACAGAACGAATACTTATTTTACTGTTAATTGTCAAACATTTTTAGAAATGTATTAACATTATTAAAGTTGAATTTAACAATTTAATCTATTAAATAAACAATACAGATCTGCAAAAAAGATAGATTTGCAAATGTATTTTAACTGGCTTTTTATGTGGAAAAAGGACATTTTAAATAAGCTGTAATTTTGTGATTTTGTGATTTTTTTTACAGTTACATTTTTCATGTTATTTACATTAGACATGTAAATTCACAGGCTATTTATGTAGTTTTATTAATATTTCCATGTATTTAAAAAATATAGAAAAAATATGTTAAATAAACTTTTTTTTACAGTGTAACATTGTCATTATTTTTTGGGAAGGATAAACAACTGGATGACAATATCCGAATCATTCTCTTGCACCCCTCCCAATCCCACCCTTACTTACATGACAGTGTAGTAAGTAAGAAAATAATAATAAATAATACCAATAATAATAATATCTAAATTAAAAGTTCAAAATTGTAATCATAAAAAACAATAAAAATAAGTTAGAGTAACACAATATGTATGTATAAGTAGTAATATTAAAATAAATACACTAAAATATATAAATAGCCTCAATCTTTAGGCAATTAATGTAATAAGCAAAAAATAATGGAAATGGCCTGCCATGAACAAGTGGTGATAACAGGAGTGTAACACGAATTATGATGCTAGAAGAAAAGAAAGAAGAAGAAATGTAAGTTAAAAAAAAAATAGGATAACAGAAAATCTAAATAGATAAGAAATGCACAGATGTATCTATATCAGTAGAGCAACTCAAACTGTCTCATCCCAGATCAACATTTGTACTTTGTCATAATAGGCCAAAAAGGAGACCATAGTTTATGACATCTTTTTAAATTGTATTTCCAACCCCGCCCCCACCCCCCACCCCCCGCTCTCTAAATATCGGCATCGACCAAACCCATATCAGTTGACCACCAGTGAGTGGCAGAGAAAAGGTTGGATATGTAGGATGTGAAATATGTGTAAACAAGAACAAAGCTTTAACCGACTATACGGTGGAGGCCCAGAAGAAGTGAGAATATGAAGCCACTTGAACAAACTTGAGGCCCAAACAATTTCCCTCTGCCAGTTGGTTACTGAACCAGGAAGTGGAACACTCCATAACCGCCACAGCAGGGAAGGCAGAAGGACATAACTAAAAATAATAATATAGAAATAATGCACAACAGCATTCTAAACCAATATTGTATGGTGAGACTGATTTACATATTACATTCATAAACCATAATGCCTGCCAAATGAAGTATTTAATTCATTTAAATAAAAAGTTCACAGAAGTTTGTGATTTTAGTAGAGCTACTGTAGCAAGACTCGCTACTACGAGGGTTCTCCCAGCACACAGACCAGCCACAGGGATTACTGAACAAGACAACTTTATTCTTTTGTCTGCCACTCACACAATTGACACACAACTTAGCCTGCTTCAAAAGTCCATTCAGGTCTACTCCTGTTGTGTCTTCTCTGTCATGTGTGTCCGGGCCTCGAGGTCCAGCACACTACTGCCTTAAAAGAGGTGAGAGTGATTAGTACCAGTACCAGCTGCACAACCCACACCCACCACTACAGATACCTTATATTGGGAAGTGAAACTGTAGCTTTCATGTTTTGTTCCAGAAGTAAGAAAACATTTGTAATGATGCAAATTACAAGAAACCCTCCCCTGGGTATGGAGTGGAAAAAAAAAAAATTGCCACACCCCTCGCACCATAACACAGTCACATCTGAATACACAGACAAGATGCAGTAGTCAAGTCAAGTCAAATTTGATTTATAAAGCACAAAATCACCATTTGCATCAGTTGGCTTTACAATCTGTACAACATTCAACACCCTCTGTCCTTAGATCCCAATTGGGGTAAGGAAAAACCTGTTCAACAGGGAAAACAACATTCATAAGTAGAAGAAACATTTCAGATTTTGCCTGTCTGGACATTTTCTTCCTGGTGAGCAGTAATCCGCTGACTGAACGTCATAGTTAGAGTGTGAACAGTAGCTTTTCTGTGGGACTTTGCCTGATGCAAATTTTTCACACTATAAACAATATAGGCTTAAAAATAAAAAAATTGTAGTTCCAAAAGTCAGCATCCAGGACCACCACTGCATACACTGTCCTGTTGTCCTAAATACTCACTAGTGCAGTGGTTTCCCACCTTGGGGTCGCCAAAGCTTCATAGGCTTTCTTGGTTGTAAAAGGTCTCTGCTTAACAGCCTCGTCCTGCATTAGAAAAGTATGCAGTTAAAGCAACGCAAGAGCTAATAAAACAATGGCCAATCATCAGTGAGAAGAAAACACTGAATTTGTCATAAAAGAAACTAGTTAAGTATGTATGATTGTTACATAAAAAAATACAGAAAAAGAATTGTATAAAATTACTAAAAATACCAGAAAAACTCAATATTCACAGGAAATAATCTACTCAAAATTCATCGAAATCTCTGGTTTTACACAAACTTCCTGCAGTTATTGTGTTCACTGTTTGGGTTTGTCAGTTTGTGGAATGATAGAAAAGGGCTCCATTAAGGAAAAAGGTTGGGAACCAGAGCAGTTGAGTCCCTAATGTGTGTTAGTCTGCAGCAGATAACATCCCCCTACATTTCCCCCTACCTTTGTGCAGCATATTTAACTAAACTGTAACTAATGATTATTTTTCATGATCCAATTATTTATTAATATGTCAATTAATCAAGCTGAGAAGATATTTCATAGAGAAGAACAATAAATGCGTGTCCCAGGTTGTCTGACAGTAAAATTCTGTTTTATATTGGACAACAGTCCCGAAACTCGTATCAGGAACCGAAAAGCAACAGGACTTTCTTTTTGAGTGGCTGAAACCAATTGTTCATATATTCTTAAATTTGTAGAACAATGTGTGCCCATCACGCTCTCTCCTTGTCTCTGTTCAGGACCCAAAGAAGAACGGGGAGTGGGAGTTACATTTCAGAAACCTGCCTAATTCCCTCACCTCTCTGCTGGTGCTGCTCACCACAGCCAACAACCCAGATGGTACACAATCAGTCACATGATCGCACATTGTTTCTGTCCTTTAAGAATCTGATAATCTTTTCTCTCCTGGCCTGTCACAGTGATGATCCCTGCCTACTCCCTTAACAGAGGTTACTCCATTTTCTTTGTGGCCTTCAGTGTGATTGGTAAGCAGTGATTATTATTGTCTGTGTCAGTGCAGCATATAAATGCGTTTGAGGGAAGTGTTTGAGAGTTTTGTTTTGCTTCCTGGCAGGAACCTACTGTCTGATGAACTTACTCACAGCAATCATCTATAACCAGTTCAGGGGATATTTACTGGTGAGTCACATGTTCATGAGCTCATGCTGCTGGGGAGCATTTCCTTGTCCTGGGAATGATCTTACAGTTACAATTCCATGCATGCATACTGGGAACCACCCAGTACGAGCACGCTCTTCTACTGGTGAGCAATATGGTCATATGTGGCGGATCATTAATGTGAGCCTGTGACGTGAGCGTTTAAAAAAAATCATTACTCAACAAATCATGACCGCTGTTACTGAACTGTTCCCAGCTGGAAAAGCGGGTGTGTCAGTGGGAAAAAGCAAGCCTTAGCGGTGGAAGGTAGCCAGGAGGAATCATCTCACAGTCTTTTCTTAGCAGCATACATTGGGTAATGAGGTCTGATATTGTGCTTAAAGCTGCAGTAGATAACCTTTATAAAAAATTATGAACTGGAATAACTGAAACGTTCATTATATCCTGACAGTAATATGAATAGTAATATACTTTATTTATACAGCACTTCAAAATAAAGGTATAAACCAGGATTAAAAACATTCCAGGAGGCATTGTAAATAAAATCAGCATTAGACCCTTGGGCAGGGAGTTCCAGTACTACATGTACAGAAGAGGATTAGGGCCACAAGTAAAACATTTATTTGAGTTATGTGTTTAAAGTTGTAATTTTGAATCAGGATATAGTGAAAGTTTCTGCAAATATGGCAAAAGTTTTTACTGCAGCTTTAATATAAATTCAGAAAATAGCCTGTTATTACATATTGATCCTCAGCATTGCCACTCAAGTGCATTGGAATTTTATGTGTAAAATTGATGAAACCATCACCAAAATGTGATTGTCTTTTCAACATAGATTAGCCTAGCACATAGCATATCTAAGTACAGGAAAGGAGAAAGTTGACTGAGGTTCTGACCAAGGCTTGCTCTGCAGTTATTGGAGCACAGAGCAAAAAGGATTTCTTTCTTTTCATGTTTTGGTCCAGATGTCAGTCCAAACGTCCATCATCAGGAGACGACTGGGAATCAGGGCTGCTTTCCAAGTCCTCACCTGCCATGGAGCCCAACAGGCTGCTGAGTAAGACACACCTACACACACACACACACACACACACACACACACACACACACACACACACACAAAACACAGAGCATCATATCTTAACTCTGACTCTTCACAAACAGGCATGTGCATGTGTCGTTATTTCCATTTATGTAAGATGAATCTTGAATAAGAATAAAATGTGCTGACCACCCCATAATGAGATTAATGTTACATATTGAGTTTCCCTGTCAAAATGTGATAAAAACATATTTTTAATCCTTTTAAAAAATTCTTAATCCTTTCAGAATCAGAATCACAAATACTTTAATAACAATTAACTTACAACTTTACAAATTACACTTTCCTCCAAAGTGACACTGATACTTCAGAGTGGAGTGACATGTTTTAACTTTCAACAACTTGATTTAATTTTTTATTATATATGTTCTTTTACCAATTCTGATCGAATTGCTGGGAGTTTATCACTTTAAACACATTTTCACCAGGATTTTATTTTAAAACATCTAAAAAAGTTGTATTTTTTGCTCAGAATATTCTTCCACTAAAATAAAATAAGGAAAAAGAATGGAGAGAGTTGTATTATTTTTTCAGGGAGCATGTGTGTGTAGATGCGGTGCTGGAGGTGATGTCCAGGGTCCAGATGAAGAGCTACTACAGAGTGGCCATTACTACGGTCAGAGCCGATGCCACACCTTTCTTTACACACACACACACACACACACACACACACACACACAAACACAACAAAAAACTCAAAGGGTCTCTGTCACCAAAATACAATGCAAATTATGCTTACCTTTTTCCCCTTAACACTAGGACTGCCAGAGTTCTAGCACCCCTACAGGCCCCACAGTGGTCTCCCAGACTGTCATAATGCAATATATGAATAATCAATCATATTGCAAGGATTTAAGGTTATTTTATTATCATTTACAACACAAGGTGGTACAATGAAATTCAGATGTAGTCTATTTATTTACCTTTATGCTACTTTAAAAAATATATAAATGAGTCATAAAAATGAAAATGAATTATTCATTTGTATGATGAATTGTTGAGGAAGACTCACAATCTCACAGCCTGAAGGAAGTTCACTGTGATTGTTCACGTCAACAAACAGTTCTTGAAGTGGTAAAAAAATAACCAGTTCTACCCTTACTGACATGTTGGTGTGTGTACTGGGGTTGGGGGTGCAGGATGGGGGGAAGCACCTCTGCATCACCATGCCGCTGATAGAGAAAAGCAGGCACACTCATATAAGAATGTCACATTATCAGAGCATTAAATATTTTTTGAATTTATGAGGTATAAATGCTCAGAGATCTTATTTCAGTACCTTCTAGGCTTCAGAAAAAATCCAAATCACATCTTTAGAAATAGTCATGGGATGGGATTAATTATAGGTCATCACAACCAGCACAACAAGACACAGAGTCACATGATATGAAATACACGAAAAACCAAAAGCACACCACAGTTGATATAGAATTCATAAGAAACAAGCAAATTAAATCTTCTCATTCAATGGGAATGAGCATGTCATGGATTCTGTTCATATTGCCATCTCTCTAAGGCATTTTCACTGTCTCAGTGCTGATGCAGTGTTGTTCACTAAAGCTGTGGCTTTGACTATTAAAGTGCCAAACCACCAATGATTTAACATCATGATTACCAAAAGAACACTTACATTCACAGATCCTGGTTTTGAACTTCTGTTTTCCAATCATAATACCAATTACACTGACATTTTAACAGTGTTACCCTGAGTTCGGCGTCAACATCAGACTTTGGATGGGTGAATTAATTACCCTTAATCATAGTATAGCAGTATGTACAATGATGACAAGGAAAATTCTCACTAATGGATCTGAGACAAATGAGCCTCTCAGAAAAGTCTGACTTCGCTAGGTAATCACATAAATTGGAAATATCTAGACAGAGTTTGAAATTAACTAGTAATGAACTAGTAATCTCTCTACTAGTTGGGTTTCTGAAAGGGTCACTTTTCAGTATGTGCCAGTGTCTACTCACTACTTGTTGGACTAATATAATATATATAATACACTGCAAAAACAGCCCTTCTAGAAACTAGCCAAATATTCTTAAATCTAATAAGATTTTCATGTATTGAGCAACAAAATCTGCCAATGGGTTAAGTCAGTTTTGCTTGGCTAGAATTCTTAAAACAAGTATAAATCTCTCCACTGAAAGACTGTAATGGGCCTAGAAAAAATGCCCAAAACTTCTTTAAGATAGACTTATATATAAGACTACGACGGAGTATTAGGGCCAGACTAAGAGAAATTCTTTTTTGGGGGGGAAATTACGAGAATAAAGTCATAATATTACGAGAATAAAGTCGCAATATTACGAGAATAAAGTAATAATTTTATGAGAATTCTTACAAGAAAGAGCAGTCTTCCCCCTGCGTTAAAATGAGAAATGTTGAGCATCTTGTGCAGTTATACTAGGGCTGGGCGATATGGACCAAAAGTCATATCCCGATATATTCAGGCTGAATATCGATATACGATATAAATCCCGATATTTTTTCCGCAAAGTGAGAGCAAATGTTCAGTCTCTCTCTCTCTCTCTCTCTCTCTCTCTCTCTCTCTCTCTCTCTCTCTCTCTTTTCTCTCAGACACTCACACACACTCACACACACACATACACAGACACAGAGAGCTCCGGGTCAGCAGCTTGCTTGGAGCAAGGATCACAGCGCAAATATGGTCTAATTCCATATCACATTTTAAAATATATCGATATATTTTTTATATATATATTATCGCCCAGCCCTAAGTTATACTTTGGTATCGGTTTCACAAATAAGGAAATACTTAGTCGTTTGCACAATCTGATAATAATTTGATGCTGATGTGCCAAAAGATTGTGTCTATTTCGAAGAAAGAGCACACGGACTTGGAAGAAATTGCTTCTTTTGTACATTATTCTTTTTATTATTATTACGACTTTATTCTGATTATATTATGACTTTATTCTTGTAGACCTAATATTATGACTTTATTCTGATAATATTATGACTTTATTAAATTTATTAAAAAACTTCTCTCAGTATGGCCCTAATACTCCGTAGTATAAGACACAATTTCTTCAAACTGCATAATAAAAAATAAATAAAGTTGTTTTAAATGAAGGCACCAGAAGCATCCTTATGTTTAGTGTTTTTTCTTGAAAAAATGGAAAACTAAACAGCTGCTTTATTTACAACACCGGGACAAGACTACTTTATTAAATTTAGAAGTTGTGCAAGTGGTCTCACTCTTAAAATATGGAAAATAAAATAAGATTAATTTCCCAGAAACAAGGCAGAAAACACACCGTCACCTGTGGAATTCTTCTTCCCCCAAGTGAGCAAAAAATGCACTTATTAACTGCAGATACTTAACACAAAGCATACATCGTCATTAATAAAGCTTTTCAATAGGTTACACAGAAAGAACATTTCAATTTAAAATACATTCAGATAAGAAGAAATACCATCTGTCTGTTTTCCTTTACACCGTGTGGACTTAAGGAGGCGCGGCAGTATGCAGACGTGGGCTACATGGACCGGGAGCAGTTCAGGAAGATATTTGATCAACTTGATAAAGATCACATTAAGGAGGTAAAGCTGTGACCTGCTGCTTAAAGGATTCATTCACCATTACATCTCACTTTGACATCTGTTTGACGTCTCTGACTTTGTGTGTGTGTGTGTGTGTGTGTGTGTGTGTGTGTGTCCCAGCACCCCCCCTTGCCCCAGTACAACTCTCCTGTCCTGCAGAGACTCCAGGTGATCTTTAGTCACTACTATCTCACTATACTTGGCAACGCCGTGGCACTGGCCAACGTTATGTGCATATGTGTAAGTTACACACACGCACACACGCACACACACACACACACACACACACACACACACACACACACACACACAAACACACACGCCTACATGTATATATTCACTAAACACCTTCACATGCTGATTAGGCTACTTCTATGGCAATATTACCTGTGTGTGTGTGTTTTTCAGACCGTCCTGGTGTTGAACTCTGAGAAGTCCACATCAGAGAGAGACAACTACATCATGGAGGTGAGCGCAGTCAAAACATGTCTTCTGGACAGCTTCTGACCAGCTCCAGACATGTATTGACATGTACACTGTAAAAAATAAAAATAAATTGTAAAAAAATAAATAATATAAAAGTAAAATGACCGACTCGTAAAAATACAATAATTTTCTATAATTAAAATACAGTTTGTAGCCTTATTTTAAAAGTTATAGAACTAATAAAAGTCAGCATCTGTGAAATTATTGCTGTTTTCAGTGATAAAAACTGTACTCTGACAGTTTACCAGCAGCCCAGGGTTCAAATCCGACCTGTGGCCCTTTGCTGCATGTCATCCCCTCTCTCTTCCCCCTTTCCCGTCACTCTTCAGCTGTCACAGTCCAAAAACAACAACAAACAAATCCATATAAAATTACAGAACTGTTAACTATTACTTGTTAACTATTAAATAAACAGTAAATATCTGCAAAAAATAATAGATTTGCAAATGTAATTTATCTGTCTAAATAAACTGTAATTTTAGGATTATTTACAGTTACAGATTTTTCATTTTATTTTACATTAGACATGTAAATTCACAGGGAAAACCCTGTAAACTTCCAAATTTCTTTCACATGTACGTGTATGTACATTACATGTTTAAACAAATAGTCTGTTTGGAACAGTAATGTGTCTCGTGTTTTTTCCACAAACAAAAATAGAATTTCCAAATCCTTAAATCTCCTCCTTCTCTCTCATTAAAATTTCCAGAATCTCTGAATATGCAAATGTTGTTCATTTTTCCTGCTGGACACAAAACTCTACTTCACTGTAAAGTCCATTCTTAGTGTATGTGCACTGGTGTTTTCAAGTTTCTACATCACACATACATCGTACAGGTTGCATACTGAACAAGGTGTTTCTGGTGACCCAAGCAAACTCAAGTTTAATTTGCTCATACTCAGTTTCAGCAAAAATGACAAAGTTATTAAGTTAAGTAATTTTATAAAACAATGACCCACTGCAGCTTTAAGACAAACTATCTTTAAAATAGCTTAATCATTAGTAGGTCACTTTGTCTAATCTTGTTTCATTCTTGTTGAAACTGTGAACGTTACCTACTTGATTTCTCTCTTTCGCTGTTCAACCATCAGATCATCAACCTGTGCTTCATCCTCTACTACCTGTTTGAAATGAGCGTGAAGATCTTTGCCTTCGGCTGGAAAGGCTACCTATCCTACAGGAATAACATATTCGACGGCTTCCTCACCATCCTACTACTGGTAAACACTGCTCTACCCTCTCATTTTTTTCTTGCCCACTCCTGAGTTTTCTGTAGTGTCCCACTGTATTTTGTCTAATTAAAAATTAGATCAACAGTTTTTATTAGTTTATGCGTTTTCAGAAAACTGATGTCAACCATGTTTATTGCAGCAGCACAACATAGTTATAGACTCCGACCTCATAGCAAATATCTTAAACCCACTAGTCAGAGTGTGCAGGTGGGTGTTCGTTGGTGGTGTGGCTGAAAAAACAGGCAGCAATACTGATGCAGGGCAGCAGCAGCATTGACAGGGCATTGACAGAGCAGGGAAATTTTGCAGCTTAAACAGACTGCCAGATTGGAAGGTTGTGTTTGGTTTTTGATTATGGAGAGTGAGGCATGTCAGCAGCAGTACAGCTCGAATTGACTGCTTGAACTAGCTTAGGGTGCACTCACTCTTGTATTTCTATAGACTAGCTATGTTTCTTTTCCCTCCACAACCCTTTGTGTGGCTTGTAAATCTCATCTGTGCTATTTTCACATCCGCTTAGCATGTTCAGCATGACTCCTCCCCTTATTTGTCCCATACTCCTGTACATACGAAGGCAATAAGGAGGGAGACACACTGTGCAAAGAGAGTTCAGCCTGAAGAAGTGTCATATTTTACAGGTTGTTGTGCATTGTGTAGTGCCCTCTGTTGAACTTAGTGGAGCATTTAGCAACTAGAGACAGATATTTACCCCAGGAGTTGGCGGATATTGATATAGCAAAGATTTACCACTTTGAACATTGATCACTGATCTAATGTGTCTTATTTCCCTTCAGATCCTACAGATCACTATATACGTCGCCTACAGGCTTCCTTATTCTCACTGGTAAGTTTGTATTTTCTTCTATTCATTTTAAAGTGAACATTTGTATATTCATCCTCAGGAAATATATACAATACATTGGAGTCACAGGAAAATATTAAAATCAACTCCAGTTCTACATTTGAAATGTAACCCATATTTACCTAGGTCAAATTGATTATTGAAATATGAAGGGATATTGCCGAGACACCATAAAAAAGCCCATATACATAGAGAAATATAAGAGCAATTACACATCTTTGGATAAAATATATTTGATGAAATGAAGTCAAACACAAAGACACACTATTATTTATTACTTGTTGTTACTTATACCATTTTACGGCATACTTAGCGTGGATATGCAGGTTTTTAAAATGCGGGTAAAAGAAATTGACTCCTTTCCCATTGCTAGTAGACCATCATGGACAGGATTAGTAAACAGTAGAAAGCAATATTTGTTGCTTGCATTTGGCTGCGAGCAATGCCTCATTTGCTCAGCAATTTTGATATGTCGTTGTTTATTTCGAGCTAGTCTCACACAGCCAGACCTTCCTCCACAGTGCTGTGTCAGTGACCTGTCTCCTTATTTCCTCTTTACCCTCCAATCAGGAGAATTTCTCTCACCTTTCAAATCATTGTTGCAGGATGTTCCCATAGAATGTAAAAAACAACAAATTATTTAGAATTTCAACATAGCATCAGAAAAGGGGCAACTATTAGCTTGTGTGTCATGTTTCCACCAGTGCTCATAGGAGCTGGAGCTGATCAATAGCCATAATTAGTGCAGAGTCATTTGACTCATTTTGAGTTGGGGTTGGTCAATACGTTACAATTTTCTAACCGGCCACCATCATCCCAACAACCAGTGACCGATATATCATGCCCAGAATCAGAGTCCTGGCCAGAGCCGCTGTATATCACCTCGGTACTGTATTTCCTTTATTCAAACTGGTTGTAGTAAACCCTTAATTCATCGAGTTAGATAGATGTTGGCTCAGTATGCATACTATGCTACTGAACGTCTGTCGCTGAGTATGCTTTACAGAGGCTCTTCAGAGGCATATCATTAAAAAAAATAAAATAAAAAAACTGACTCAGCCAAAGGTTCTCCTTATTTCATCCAATCGCCCAACCCATCCTGGAAAGACAGATGTTACTCTGAACACTCTAAACCTCACCTTTAACTGTGCACTTGCCCTTTTTTATTTGGATTCTCAAAATGCTTCTCAACTGTACACAGGAATGTACAGTATTTCATAGCGTCATTGTATACCTGTCTATAAAATGAATAAGCTTTATTAAATGGCTTGTGTGCGTTTTTCAACAGGGACCCATCCGCTCATGGCTTCTTGTCTCTGTGGGAGATGGTTCGTTTGATCAACATGCTGATTGTCTTCCGCTTCCTGCGCATCATCCCAGATATCAAGGTACACAGCAGGTGTATGCTTTCAACTTTAGAAATAAAAAAATAAAATGATATCCAGTAAAACTCAGTTATTAAGAAAACAAATGAATGAGTTGACTTTTAAAGGATCAGGGTGTAGGATTTGCCATCTAGGATTAGGGTTAGTTTTTTTAAATTTATATAATAGTGAACACTTTTGGTTACAGATAAACCAGACAGACGTAGCCCAAATTTCCCTGTCTCCATGACAACATTACACTGTTTATATCACCTAAGGCAAAATGACATTCATCCCAAACTGAAATAAGAAGTACAGATCCATGCAAAGTTTGTTTACACTATAAGTACATTTTGACAAAGGCTCAGAACACCCAGCATGCATACATGACACTGTCTTCTGACCATTCATAAACAGATATTTGCTTGTTTTTTAAGAACAAGTACAGTAGCACTCACATTTCAACTGACGTCTTTTCTGAGTAACCAAACTTGTTACAACAATAACAGTATATTGCATGCCTAGCCAAGCATTTAGTGACTACCCACACAGCAGAATTGGTCTGGCCCAGTGACAGCCCACTCAGTGTGTGTGCAATGAATTATGGTCCACAGGTGGTCCAGATCTGATCTGTAGTGTGGTCAGATGACATAGCCATATCTTAGTCAACTGTTTCCGACTCTCCTCCCTTGTCAGTGCTGCATGTGTAGAAAAATACTTAAATAAGGAAATTCAGCCAGTAAAAACTAGGCCTGAACACTGAAACCATTGACAAAAATAAATTAATAAAAGCAAAAGTTGGACTGAAACTGGGATATACAGTAAAACACTTCATATGTCTTTCCTCACAACACAAATCTGCATTTAAAGATGCTTAATTATCACTAACCAAGCGCTCCCTTCCAATCTGGTGGTATATTCAAACTGCACAATTTCCCAGCTCTCCCTCTGCTCTGTCAATGCCGCTGTTGCCCTGCATCACACGACTGCTACTCTGTAAGCTATTGCTGCCTGTTGCACTGTAAGCCCCACCACCACCCCAGCAACCACCTGTAGGCTCCGGGTAGGGGTTTAAGGTATTTGCTCATCACTCCGCAATATCTCTATGTAAACATATCTGCGGGGAGTGATACGCCAAAATCTAAATATGCTATACTGCTGTAATAAACATTTCAAACGTGAGTTGTCTGACTGAACTGTGATAAATACAAATGCAGATCCCACCGCTCTGGTTGCATAAAAACCTTTTTACTCAGATTTTATGCATATGGTGGTGGTTTTCCCAAAATTTTATTTTAAAATAAATCTCAATAGACTTCCTTATATATTGAACCGTAAGCCCTGTATCATGATATGTATTGGCAGATTCTTGCCAATACACAGCTGTAATCACAAATTAATTCCTCTGTCTCTGTCCCCTTTTTACATTCCATATGTATTCATCTTGTTCTCCAGCTCATGGCTTTGGTTGCAAGTACACTGTTGGACCTGGTGAAAAACCTCAGAGCCTTTGCAGGGATACTGGTGGTAAGTGACACCAGCTCCAGTACGTACACTTACTGTTTGCTATTAAAATAGTAACTTTTCGGTCAGTCCCATCATCTACACATTTTCTAAATATTCATTTAAGATAAAGGTCATACATTTTAAATGGCCTCGACGTACCAGTGATGTGCAGAGCTGTTTACATGTAAAGGGATCAAGCCTATGTGGCAACTGATTGAGGTCTTCTTTGTGCTCTCTGTGCAGGTGGTGTACTATGTGTTTGCTGTGTTTGGGATCTGGCTGTTTGAGGGAGCCATTAAACCTCCTCCAGAGATGAGGTATGGAGGAAGCAAACATGAAACAGTCAGAACACAATAAGGACCATGACATAAAGCTCTTTCACACCTTATTGTTGGCAAAAAAAGCAGGAACAGAGCAGATGAAGATTGTTTCTTACACATTGCAGTAACAGCAGCTTCTGACTACGCAAAAATGTATATTTCTACGAGCAACTTGATCCAAATACTGGAGGTCTTTTTTAGGTGCTAGACAGTCAAATTGTGTTTGTCCTTATTTACTAAAGGACCACACATGAGATTTTACACAGGTGAAATGGAGGAAAAGCAACACAGCTGAGACTCAAGAGACCAAAATACAACACTACTACAAAATATTGGAGGAGGGAATGCAAATTAATACAAATATCTGCTGAACCTGACTTATCACTGTCTGAAATTTACCATCCCAGAAAAGCAACAAGATTTCATCAGTGTGTGAGAGAGGCTGTCAGAGAGAGAAACCGTGAGACGTTGTTCAGACACTAAAAACACTTGTGTGACAGCTGTTGAGAATATTGTTATTTTCTTTACTGTGACTTTTAATAGCTCACAGCAATATTACTGTAAACCTCCCACAATGATTTTTTGTAACTTATTCCGTTACTGATCTTGTGTGCCTTCAACCAACACTCCAGGTTCAGCAGCATTGTGCTCAATCACACTACAGATATGTGTAACAGTCTGTGGGGTTCCAAATTATGCACCTCTGGTGGTGGTTGGCAGCAAGCTCAGCAATGCCCATCAGTCCACTCACAGCTTACCCTTCCTAAGCCCCGCCCCTTTTTGCTATGTGCTCAATAACTGTTGAGCAAGCCTTGTCTGAACCTCTGTCAACTTTCTCCTTTCCTGTACTTGGATATGCTATGTACTACGCTAATCTATGTTGAAAAGACAATCACTGGTTCACTGACTCATCTCTGACTGTGTGTGTTGTTATTATTGTTTGTGCGTCCCAGTGTCCTCTCCAATACCACGATGGATAACATCACCTCTAACTTCAGCATGGAGTGTGGCACCTATGAACAGCTGGGCTACTGGCCAAATAACTTCGATGACTTTGCTGTGAGTGACAGTCCCAACGTGTGTTTTGTATTATCATTCACAGTGAAAGAAGCTAATCTGGGGTTGAATTACATGGTTTTGTTTGAAATATGTTTGTTTTGTTTTATTCCTTATTCTAATGCAGTTTTGAAAACCTGTTAGACATTTGATGATGATGAGTTATCACTGTCAGCGTTGGTTTACAGCTCCTTTTGTGGTGGTTAGGGCCTGTGTGAAAAATTAGCTCCAGCAACATTGAAATGAAATATTTTTGTACTGCTGAAGACTGCTGAGATACACTCAGAATGAAAGTGCAGAAGAGTAAAAAAAGGTGTCTTTCCCTCCATTTCTCTCAGGCAGCCATCATTTTGCTATATGATGTCATGATAGTCAACAACTGGCAGGCCTTCATGGATGCATACAGCAGATACACCACAGAGTAAGAAAAAATGCATTCTACATGCACAGCGGCTAATGCTGATGATGATGATGTTGATGTTGATGAAGATGGTTTATTTTTCCCAGCTGGTCCAAGATCTACTTTGTGTGTTGGTGGCTCACCTCCTCTGTCATGTGGGTCAACTTGTTTGTGGCGCTCATCTTAGAGGTCAGTTCACTCATTCATTTATAACATGGCTTGACTTCCAGTCAGCTGTTTCAATTATGTTCTACATCTGTGCACATTAAAGGTTCAGTGTGTAACATTTAGGAGGATCTGTTGTCAGAAATGGAATATAATATTCATAGGTATGTTTTGATTCATGTATAAAAAAATAAGAATCATTTTGTTTACAGTAGCGTAGAATGAGCTGTTTTTATCTACAGAGGGAGCAGGTCCTCTACTACGCAGGCCACCATGTTGAACTTCCATGTTTCTACAGTAGCCCAGGCCTTTAGTTCTTTTAGCAGGTTTCTCCTACACGCTCAGGGTTTAAATTATAATCAGAGTTTTGTGGGGGTCTCTAAAAGAACTAACATTAGGGGTGCAGATAAATACATAATATCCTAACGGTGCACTTTCCATGAGAGACACTTCACAGTTCATTACTACTTACTAATTGAAGTTACTACTTCATCATTACTTGCAACAACTGGATCAAGTAGATTGCAGCAAACTTGAAACTGTCCTGTGATACTGCAACAAAGTTCCAAAAGCCTGAAATATGCCAACAGAGACCAAAGTGTAACCTTATTGTGATGTCACTCATTGGTTTGTGGAGTACTGTTTTGAAGCCTTAAGTTTTTTTGATCAAGGTTTTTTTATTAGAATTTCCAAATAGTAAACAGCGCCCCAGAGGGGCTTAACAGACAAAAAATAAACATACAAACAAACATAATAACACTAAAAGAACAAATACAACAACCTCCAACCCCTCCACTCCCAACCCAGTAACAGACAGAGGGCATACATATTACACATTTTACAAGATGGCACATGACTTCCCTGACCCAATGACCATACATCGGTGGAACAGGATCTTTCCCTTTAAACAATATTAATCTCCTGGCCAGGAGAGTGCAGAAGGTCAACATGCTGATTTCACACCATCTAAAAGGGGTATCCTCCGGGGTCACCTCAAACAGTGCAATACTCTTCCCAATATCTTAGTAAAGGTTTCAAATATAGATTGCCAAAATTGTGTACAGCTTTGCGCATGTCCAAAACATGTGCAAAAGAGTAGCTGGAGCCTGTCTGCATCAATCGCATGTTGGATCTATGTTGGAATTGATCTTAGAAAGTCTAACTTTGGACCAATGCAGGCGGTGAACAATTTTTTATTACTTTGCGCCAATTATCATCTGAAATTGATTGAAAGTCCGTCTCCCATTTATTCTTAAGGAGATCTAAAGGCGTCAAATCATGCATGCTAATTAAATCATAGATAACACTTATTGTCTGCTTCCTGGCCAGTTTACATTTAAAAATTGAGTCCAATAAAGAATTGTAAGGGCACAATGGAAAAATGTCTGAATTTGAGGCTACAAAGTTTCTTTTTTTTTGTAATCAACTTTTATTGATTTTAAACATTAATAACACAGGAACTAAACACAAACATTGAATACACACAACACCGCTACCCATCCCTCCCCCCAGAACACACAGAACTCCCATCACTCCCCCCTTCCTCCCCTCCTCCCCCTCCCCACTGAACACGCAGAACACCCCCACATCCCTCCCCCCTTCCTCGCCTCCTACCCCTCCCCACGTGACACACAGTCATACCTCTTTACAGAATCAGAATCAAAACAATCTAATAGGACAATGTGATGTACAGGATTACACACATACAGGGTAACACAGATGAACCTCAAAGGTCATGACAATAATGTTTTAACATCCTCTGCAGATTTTTTCCACATCTGCAACGTTTGTGGCTTGGAATTATTAAAGTGAGCTGATGACCACTCCAGGTAGATCACCTCGAGGAGAGTTTGTAACCAACGTTTTATTGATAACTGATGTGGCGGAAGCCACCTTAAAACTATAATTTTTTTTAGCTCCAGTGGGAGTTTCCTCCCTATCAGATCAGACACCTTATCCACAACTTTAACCCAGAACCTTTGTACATCTGGACACTCGCACAGGACATGCATCAATGTACCCATAATGCCCTGAGGCTACAAAGTTTCTAAGCTGCAAATATTTATAAGAATGTGAATTGGGAATGTCATACTTCTATGTTAGCTGCTCGAATGAGACAAAAACACCATCAACATAGAGATCAGACAGTAAGACAGCCCCCTTTCTGGACCAAACATCAAAAGTCTTATCCATGATGATCAATGATGGGATAAACAGGTGATTATTTGCAATTGGCCCGGTAAGTGACAGGTCCGTAAGAGCCCCCTCCAATTTTGTCCATCCGTGGGCAAGTACAGCAGCAATCTTATGTTAGCCACCCAATAGTAGTACATGAAGTTTGGGAGTGCCATCCCTCCCTTCGCACAAGGTCTCTGTAATATATGTCTTTTGATCCGTGGTGGCTTTTTGTTGGAAAACACTGGAAAACAAAGAAAAAAAAATTTAGGCAGCACATTCATCTTCATAGTATTGATTCTGCCCCCCAGGGAGAGCGGCAGGGGGTCCCACCACTCAATATCTTGCTTCAGATTAGATAACAGAGGCTCATAATTAGCTAAATATAAATCCTAATGACTGTGTGTAACCCACACCCCAAGATACTTGAATTTCTTTGGACTAATTTTAAAAGGAAATGAGTCTAGGGGTACCTGGCCTGCCCCCTCACCAACAGGCATCAGTTCACTTTTCTGAATATTAGCAGTAGCACAATATTTTGCCAAAATCTTCGAGTAGGGCCATTAACTTAGGAAGGCTCAGAAGGGGCTGCGAAATTAATAATAGCATATCGTCCGCATAAAGTGAAACTTTATGCTCTATCCCTGCATGCTGGATCCCCCTGATATCAGCATTCTTGCTTAGCGCCAAAGCAAGTGGTTCCATTGCAATGGCAAATAGCAGTGGCGACAAAGGACATCCTTGTCTTGTACCACGCTGGAGCTCAAAGTAGGTGGACAGATTATTAAGATGTCAACCCATGATATGAATCTGGGACCAAATCCTAACCTCTCCAGCACACTGAAAAGATAGCCCCACTCCACCCGGTCAAATGCCTGTGGCTGTGGCTCAGAGGCAGAGCGGGTCGTTCCCTAATCAGAAGGTTGTCGATCCCTGGCTCCTGGTGCCACATGAGTGGTGGTGCCTTGAGCTAGATAGTGATAGTGAGCCCCATGCCGTGCATCGGTGTGTGAATATGTATGAATGTTAGTTTCTGTTTGATGGACTTGCCATCGCTGTGTGTGTGAAAGGGTGAATGTGGCACCTAGTTTAAAAGTGCTTTGAGTGGTCGGAAGACTAGAAAGGCGCGATACAAGTACAGGTCCAATGTACCATTTACCATTTTCAGCATTGAGTGAGAGCACCACTTCTGGGGTACCAGGTGGAGAAGGGCTATAGAGGATATTTAAGAGGCGTGTTAAAAAAGGAGTACCGATTCCTAATAAAACCTGCTTGTTTTGGTGAAGTACAGGTCCATTTACCATAATTTACTAAATGAACATCATGCTGTATGGTAGAAGACTGAAACTAGAGATTGAGACCATAAACTGATTAGGAAACTATTAACTGAGTTAATAAATTAAGGTCTATCGTTCTTTTATTGCAGCCAATGGAGCTGCAGTGAATGACAAAGATCCATTACTCAAAGGGACACTACGATTCTGCCCTTTTTGGTATTATATGAAAGTAGTCCACTAGAGGGAGGATGCATTGGTTTATGCAAGTCGTAAATCCCATACAAAGCAACCAGTCAATACAGAGTCCAGGGGGGTAGTAGTAAACGTAATGTAATGTTAATGGTAATAATATTCATAACAATGAATAATGCATTTGTGATTAAAATTAAGCACAGCGTTTGTTCAGGCAGGCCATAAAGTCAAGCTCAGCTCCCAATTCCAGCTACATCAGTTGATCACAGCTAGTTGTAAACACACATCAGCTGATGGCTCAGCTGATTCCTCCTAAGCTTCCAATTGGCCAATATCATTCAGGGCGCCTTATTTAAGCTGCCTGCCAAACTTTGCTGCTTTCTCTGCAAGCCGCTTTGCAGGCTGTCCCTCATAAGAACGATCAAGCTGTTCGCGTGCGCACTTCAACGTCACCATGTCTCTCTACGTTGAGGATCCATTGCGGATCGACTGCATTGTGGAGTCACAGCAACAGCCTGGGACAGAGGAGGCCAATTGGGAGTGTCGTTCCCATCCGCCTTTTGGCAAATGGAGGTCCAGATGCTTCTGGATCTGTCCACTTGCTCTGTTCCTAGGGGGTCTGCAGAGAGGAGGGAGAACCCAGCACGGGCCCCAGACGCAGCAGCCAGCTCTGCAGGTATGGCCGATGACGGCCCATCTTGTCGGCTCTGTCCCGCGTCCAGTCGTCACTTGCCAGCATGAGCTCTGGGGTCCAGGTCCTGGAGTCCGGTTCGACGCATTCCGCTGGCCCGTCTTCCTCCATAGTTCGACCGCGGGTCCAGCATGGTCCAACTCGTGGTCTGGCGTGCTCTTTGGGGGTCTTTGCTGCTGCTCTCCTTGTGTTAAACTTTTCCATGTATGCACATGGAAGGGCAAGGAGGTCCCAGAACAAAGCCATACCGACAAATATAAAAATGTGCTTTTGGGATAAGTGTCTTTTGACAAAAGTGGCCCTGACTGAAATAATTGTTTGTAAATTATTAGATATCCCTTCAGTTGTATTATTTTACTGCTTTCATGGGAATTCAGCTCCCACTGGTTCACCTGTACCTCAAACCCTGTGCATAGGGTGGCTGTGGCTCAGAGGTAGAGCGGGTTGTCCTCTAATTCATTTGGATGTACTGTGCAACTTCACCGCTAGACACCACTAAAAATGACACACCTTTAATATAAACTACATATTTAAAGTGCTACAACAGAAATACCCTTTGTTCCGTGTTTTCTAACAGAATTTCATCTATAAATGGGACCGCAGTCACAGCTGCTCTGTTACAGATGTGGAGAGGATCCGATATGAAACATCTGTTCAGCTCATGTTCAAGTAGGTTGACACTGCTGTTTTGTTTGAAGCCACATTGTGTAAATCCAGCTTTCAGGCCTTAACTAACTCTTTCTCTCCATGATCGGCTCCTCTTTCTCTGCAGAGAGCAGATCCAGGAGCCAACAGAAGAGGAGCTACTTTGTCAACTACACCAACACCCTCACTTACACCTACACTGGTGACACACATACTCATGTCCAGAGCACCAGCACTTAACTGCAGTAACTAGTCAAGAGTGTGTTACTGAGTCTGTTCTGTGGTAGAAGTACTGAGAGGTCAAAATGAAAGCATTCTACCACTAGTCTATTTTAATTAGAATTAATATTTTTATATGTGATGATCAGTAGGAAGCACATTGCCACTGCAGTTTTAGTCGTACAAAGACTTCCCATTGGTAGAGGCTCTCAGGAGGTAGATGCCATGTCATTGCTTAGGTTAAACATGAGTGGGTGGAGCAAAAGAACAATTTTCAATTCAATTCAATTCAATTCTATTTGTATCTATTGTAGAGGAGCTTGTGGTGTGTACCAATTTCATAGTTAAATACAATACAGTGTCGCTTAGTGTTTTTACAGCAAGAAATTTATCAAACTGTGAAAGCTCCTGCCAATTTCAGATTAGGAACCTGCACACAGAGAAAGTAAATCCAAATTTCTCATGTTTGCCACACTGGGGCAGTGCTGTCACAACACCATGAACTTCAATAGAGTGAAAAACTGAATTGACATGAAGTGTTGGGGAGAGCCTCCAGAGCAATCTTTCTCACCTACCGGTTAAACCACTCAAATTCAGGAGCTTGTATTTTGTAGTTGTCTCATCACAACTGTTCTATTTTACTTGGACCCACATCAATAACGTACCACTAGTTCCTTATTGGCCTGTGGCCTAATTTACTACACACACACACACACACACACACACACACACACACACGTTTACTTAAGTTTTGAGGAAATTACAAAGACTTACATTCATTTCCTGGAGAAGAACTTTAACCACTGACCCAAAAGTCAGCCTTATCCCATTTAGGTCCCCAAGGCTAAGTTTAAACTGGTTTTTAGTCTGAAATGTGTCCCCGAAAGCTTTTGAAGTCAGCAACATACTCACACACACTTCATTGAAATCTGATCACGTTTTTTGAGACATCCTGCTAACAAGTGGAATCAAAAACCAAAGCTCCTTGATTGAAGTCAATTGAACATATACTGTATTTATATACTGCATGTTCGTGTCTGAGAACATGTAAATGTTAATGTGACTGCTTCATATTCACGCCTGAGACACAAAATCTCCAGAACATTTAGGGAGTGAAAGGTGACTATATTCTGGGAGTATTTTTGGTGCTGGTGGGGCTGTATGCTGGAATACCGTCCAACCACAAGATGGAGTGCCAAAGCCTCAATAAAGACGAACACATTCTGTCTTTGCAAGTTGGTGTCTGCCATAAAGCAAGTGCACTCAGATTGTTTTAAAACTAAAATAAAGGGTAAAAAGGGATAAGCTCACTCCTTGTGACTAATTCTTCATGTTATTTACCATATTTTTCTACAAAGGTCACAGTGTGCCTTGGTATTTTTAGAATTGGAGTTAAAATGGATTTCATTAGATTTTTATTGAAGATTTTATTAAGACGTTTGGATGTGTAAGAAAGTTGGAATGCATATTTTTGATATTAGAATTACTTGAGATACAGCTTATATTTCAGTCTGCTTTTTTGTGAAGTGTTTGTAAAAAGAATGATCCAAAAACACATTTTAAATAAATAACTGAAACAATTTTTAAAGATTTGTTTTGTGGTTTTATTGATTTATATCAAGAGAATCTCTTCACTTCAGGGATATCACCTTCCTTTCTTTCAGTTCTTTCTCCCTCACACACACACACACACACACACACACACACACACACATTCCAAAAGGATGGAAATTCACTGTTTTACACACTGAATGTGAATGCTTAGACAAAGGCAAAACCTTAACTTTTGTAACTATCCCCTTAACAAAGGCACTGAACATACACATACAATAAACACATTTTCTTCTTGCAATTTAATTGCAATTCTGTAAAACACTTCTTGCAAAACACTACACATTGTTTCTGACATTCAGACATCAGCCATCAATTCAATTTAATTAAATTTTATTTGTATAGCGCCAATTCATAACAGAAGTTATCACAGGACACTTTTCAAATAGAGCAGGTCTAGACCGAACTCCTTATAACAATATTTACAGAGACCCAACAGTACCACCATGAGCAAGCACTTGGCGACTGGAGCAAGGAAAAACTGCCTGTTAAAAGGCAGAAACCTAGGACAGATCCTTCGGCTCTAGGTGGGTGGTCGTCTGTCTCGACCAGTTGGGTGAGAGGGAGAGAGAGAGAGAGACAGAGAGAGAGAGACAGACAGACAGGTGCACTGCAACAACAGTAGCAACAACTACATTAATAGTAGTGACTAATGATGATGAACATGACAAAAGCAACGATGGGGGACAACGTGATCAGGGCCCTTACGTGACAACAACATGCGTTTTCAACTCATACACTGTGCAGAAACCGTTTAAATTCAAAGTTTACAAGTACTGTCACCTACCTGTTTTTCCATCGCTCACTTCACCGAAAGCCCAGAAGAGTCAATCACGAGACTCACGCTGAAGTCCCGTGGGAATTCAGTTGTTGCAGGAAGTTGTAGTGTGCAGATCGGAGCATAGTGTGTGTAAACTTCAAGTTTTTGTCGCTAAGGCATGACCTCCGTGATCGAGTCTTCTGGGCTTTCTAAATCCTGACTGAAAATCCTCAAATAACCTATTGTTATGTAGAAAGTCACACAACTGTTTGGCGACTACTTTCTCCAGAATCTTAGAGAGGAAGGGGAGGTTAGAGATTAGTCTATAGTTGGCTAAAACTCCTGGGTCAAGAGTGGGCTTTTTAAGAAGGGGTTTAATTACAGCTTCTTTAAAGGACTGTGGTACATATCCTGATAATAAAGAAAGATTAATCATATCCAGTAAAGAAGTGCCAATTAAGGGAACAACTTCTTTAATCGCTGGGAAACACTTCTATTCAGGATGCAAAACACATAAGAAAACATTATACATATACCCTAATTGAACACCAATCAGTCTGGGCCTTTGCCCCACAAACAGACCTGAGTTACAGTTTTTTCCAATTGCTAACACACTAAAATGACATGCATAGCACAATTAGTCTAGTCTTCCTACCACTCAAAGTGCTTTTACATTATGCGCCACATTCACCCTTTCACACACGGCAAAGCCCATTGAACAGAAACTAACCGATTTATACACACACTGAGCAATTTAGGGTTCAGTATCTTGCTCAAGGATACTTTGACATGTAGCGCCAGGAGCCGGGGATCGAGCCAACAACCTTCCAATTATGGGATGACCTGCTCTGCCTCTGCGCCACAGCCACCCCAAAATACACAACAATCTGACATAAAGTCACGTTTGCCATTTCAAAACACTGCCATTCAAAATGACACTACATGAGCTAATTGGCCAATATATGAGCTACCTGGCCAAACACCTCAATGGTTAGTTGTTACCAATTCAATCAGGAAGTAAGCACTATAAAAAGACCAAAGGTGAGCACCTTTTTTTTCCTACACATTTTTTTCCCCCGCAATTTTCTTTTTCAGTTTACTGTTTTTTGTGAGCATATTTTTGTTCACTCCAATGTAAATATATCTGCTGTGCATATGTTGCACTGACTTGTATAAAATAAATGTTTCAACAGCATGTATCTGTATCTGCAAATATTTCTGTGCATGTGAACAATCTGAAGAAATTTGAACTATTTTAGTATTATGGCAAAGCATATTAAATATGAGAGTGCTTTTCATTATGCCCAACAATGTGTAGTTGGTCAGACAAAAATCTGGTGATATGAATGAAGTGTTTGCCGTTTGTTGCAAATGTTGGATTTTGATAATGCTATATGTAGTTTTGGTTGCAGTGCTTCATTTTGCAGGATATGAGGTATTTTGCAGTTTGTGTGTGGTTTTGTAAATTGTATTTTGATAAAAACCAGCCTAGTTTGCAAAATTGTATTTTAGCAATTGGAAAAAACTGTAAGCTCACCTCTTTTGTGAGAACTTCTCAAACAAAGGAGGCAGTGACAGCAAGATGAGAAGGAGAACAAAGAAAGGGTTTGTTATACTGTACTGGAATCTTACACTGAAGCCTGTATGAGAACATTTAAAAGGTATACAAAGTACTGCAGACAGCAATGTTCTGTATAAAGCACATCAGTGTGTTGTTGCTGCTTTGAAAGAGTAATTCAGATGGTGATTGTGTGTATCATTTGTTGCAAAAATGCCATTTTGAAAAAGGATTATGTTCTGATTTCAGAGTTAAATTATGGTATAACAGTGATGTGTCTCATTTGGCTCTGCTCAAAGTTTGACACAATAAGCCAAATTCTGCAATAAGTGTGTAAGTAGTCGTAAAAAGGATTACAGCATCCAAGAATGTACAGTACGATCATCTACTAGAACAGGGGTGTTCAAACTGTGGGGCCCTCGGGAGAGTTTCTGATGTTTTTGACCATGTAGATACATATTTTGATTTACGTTATTTCATTATGTGTTGAAATTGTGTGCGTGTCCATGTGCAGGTGCAGGTGTGTGTGCATGTTCCGATGTGCAAGTAATGTGGATAATGTTTTTTTTCTCCACTCTGTGTATGTGTGTAAGTGTGTAGGCATTGTACTATGCTACGTTATTTGTTTGGATATTTGTTAGGGTATTTTTGGGATATTATTTAGGTTATTGGGTATTTCTGGGACATTTTGGTTATTTGTTATGTATGGTATTTATTTGGACATTATTGAGGGTATTTGTCTGACCCTTGGATACGTGTGTGCATATATCCATGTACTGAAAAGTTGTTAGCTCAGTTGGTAGAGCTGGCGACCCACATACGGAGTTGCTGCAGCGTCCCGGGTTTGAATCTGACCTTCAGCCCTTTGCTGCGTGTCATCCCCTCTCTCTACCCCCCTTTCCTATCTATCTTAGGCTGTCCCCATCTAATAAAGGCAAAAAACAATAAGGAATGAAATTGTGTAGTTGGGCGCTTCCTCTATATGACCTTTACATTTAAGCCACTGCACTTTTTTGTTTCTCTGATCCCTGCTTACGGATGGATTATTTTAAGAAAGTTTCTCATTATTTTGAGATTATAATGATTTAAAGGGTCCTTTATTAACATTTACACACAGCCAAATAAGACACAACATTTGGAGTTAAACATCTCATAATGAAACTCTGCACTCAAAAGCAAACAGCCCCTTTTATAAAATGGTGTTGTTGTGCTTTATACAGAACACTGCTGTGTTGTTTTTGCCATTGTGTGTATACAACAGCAAACACAGAAAAGTAGAATGAGAGAACAGCGATCAATACAATAGGTAACTGTACACCCATGGAAACAAAAGTAATCAGAATCAGAAAAACTTTATTGCTTCCCAGGGGGAAATTTTTTAGTAAGAAGACAATGGGAGCAACTGTAACAGGCAGCATGCAGTCAACGCATGTGCACTATATGAGACTGTAATGACAGAACAGTTACAGTGCAATGGTAAATAACAATAGTATTATAATGGGTTGTAAGCATTGGGGTGTGTGATGGCCTCAGCAGCAGCCACACACTGAGGAAAGCACAGGGTAACTCCTTTATTTGTTTGATTATCTTTAGGTTTCGTTATCTTTAGGTTTCAAACATTATACACAATTCACAATAAATAACTGGACAGATTTTGGATTCATAATACAGTTTTATTATCCATTTCCACAGAGTAGGTTATTTTTTTGGGTGCACACTATGGTTAACTTTCTTTGTCAATTTTGGGTAGTAGTATTATTAGGTTCATTAATTTCTGTTATTTTTCTTTTTCTTTGAGTTACCAGTTCCTGGGTGTTGCTGCTGTAGGTGTCTCGTGGCTGACCAAGGAAATGCCGGCTGAATGTGAGATGCTTAAAAGGGGTTGGGCAGATAATTGGGCTGCACCATGTTGGCCTGCATCATGGGGAGAGGCAGTGGTTTCTCCTTGTTTGAGTTTTGTTATTTCTTTGATAATTATGCTTTTTGATATTGGCATTTTGAGTTTTCTTTAGTTAATATTAGGCTGCGTTACCTCTGACTCCTCATGCCTGCCAGCTCGCCTGCTTACAGGATGGATGGTTTATTGGGTCTACTGTTGCGGTCTGGCTACATCACAAGCAATGTCAAAAATCAGTCGCAGACCAGAGCAGTGCAGTACAGTGGAAGCTACAGTAACATCACAGATAGTCTTATTGAAATCCATATGCATAACCACCGTACTTACACACACTCACAGTCCTATCCATATACATCTCTCCCAACACATACATAATTTAACTTCTCCCCTCTAGCTGGAGTTAGGCTGTTACGCTTTCCATGAAAATTACACTTTTTAACCTCTCCCTCCACTGTTGGATGGTAGGCGGCTAAACATTTCTTTTGCTGCTTAATGCTTTGTTCTAAGCATTCACTTTTAGTGTAAAAGATACTGAAGACACTGCACTGGCTGTCTGTATCTTTTACAATTTATTTTAAAGTTATTTTACTTGTTTATAAAGCTTTAAATGACCTTGTTAGTCTATACATCACACATTTTATATTCCAGTCAGATCACCGAGACGACCGCTACTTTTCTCTTAAATGTTCCTTATGTCTGGCTTTTACTTTGGAGTAATGATATAGTCTTAGGTTTTAGGTTCTAATCTTCGGTTTTACATTATTTGTCTCCTTGATTATATAGAATGTTTTAATTTATTTTATTTTGACAATGTTTTTATTGTTTTCATTTTTTTGTCTTGCAGTTTTATTTATGGTTGTTAATTTTGTTTTTATATGTTGTTTTAATTTGCTATGTGAAGCACTTTGGGCTGCATGTTTATGCTGTATAAATACATTTGAATTGAGTCATTAGAAATGGCGTGTGATGCATGGTATCGCCTGTAGAGGTCAGACAGTGTGCCGGAAACTGTTCAGAATCAGCAGCAGCAGAAGAAGAAGAGAGAGGAAGTGGACTTGTTTTATGTTGTGGGCTCTACACGCATGTGTTGAAGTGTTTTTCTGGAGCCAGAGAGGGTGTTGAATTTACTTTTTAGTTTATGTTTCCTTCGGGAAGTCCGAACAAACGTGAAAATGGAAGGTGAGTTTAATTATCGAAGAGGAACCGTTGAGTTGAACGGTTGTCCGTCTGTCCGTCTGTCCGCAGTACTAGCGTGGTGACGTTAACGCTTTAAAAACGTTCGCAGCCCTTTTCACAGCAGCTGTTTGGACATTAAATATTAGGGTAAAACAGGTGTTTCCATTGATACTAAGGTTCAGGTTCCATTTAGTGTAACAGAGCCTTTCCAGTGAGCCATCATGAACGATAGCAGCACTGTGTAAACAGTACAGGTTAGAGCTGCAGTAGGTACGTTTGATACCGTTCTGTCTTATTTGCTGAAACTTTCACTACATTCAAGATTCAAGAGGTTTATTATCATATGTACGGTAAGAAACAGTGGGTTGTACGTGAGGCAACACAAGTACCAGAGTAAGAATATAAAAATTAAAAATATAAAACATTTCAAATAAAATATAACGTATAACTTACAACTTAAAGTGCAGAACATTGTACAGTCAACAAAGAAACCTGAGTTGAATAACAGTGACAGTAGAACATGAGACAGATAATGTGTGAAACAGTCAGCTTCCTCTGGCTCCTCCCAGTGCTCCTGATGGGATTTGTAAGAATCCACCTGGCTGAATGAAAACAACCAATCAGAGCTGAGAAGTTGATTGTTGAGTCAGGTTGTTAAATATGATCTGGGAATGAGACTCAAATCTTTCTCTCTGAAAACATCTATCATGTAGGCGCTAAAGGTGAATGATCAGACCGAAACCTTTCGTCCTGAACTTTGCAATTCGCCAACACACTTGCTGTAGATTCTTGCAAATACCATTAGGAGCACTAGGAGGCGCCAGAGGAACCTGATTGTTTCACAGATTATCTGTAATATGTTCTTCTGTCAGGATATGGTGAAAGTTTCAGCAGATATGACAAACAGTTATTTTTATAAAAGTTACCTACTGCAGCTTTAAGTATCAACTCTACAAGCTATTGAGGAGTTCTCCCCCAAACTGACTAAAAAACTGATTAAATGATCTAAAGTTGTCAAATATTAAATACACACTGGACCTTTGAACTAACTTTAACAAAAGCATAAAGGTTCAGCTGTACAAGAACTTTGCTTAAATAAAAGTAGGCAACATTTTTATTGAAATCAGATACTATCTGATTAAAGAATGAGTAAATGATTAGGAAACTGAGCAGACATTTGATGGCAGCTTTCTGGATGTGACAGATCTTGATACTCAACAGACACATTTCAGTAGAACGTTGAACATTGACAGTGGATACCTAGCTCCCCACAGAAAAAGACAGTCCACTTCTTTGTCTGGAAAAGATTGAACTCTCATACTCTAAATACTTTGAATTTGGTTCCCCTGAGGATATACTCTAAATGCACATACTATATGATCCATGACCATGAGAGTCTGTAGTCTGACATTTTTTAAAAATCTGATTAAATTATATTAAATTAAATTAAATTAAATTTGATTTCACAAGCTCTTAAAAAATGATTGGATTAATGAAGTTTACATGATTTTTGTAGCATTTTTCAGTCTCAGGAAAATTATGTATTGATCTTGCTGTAACAACTACAAAAGTGAACAATATTGAACCAATACAGATCTTTCTTTATATCCCTTTATATTGTTTTCACTAGTATGGATGTGAAATATGTCTTAAATTGCATTCAAAATTGTATAACCCGTAGAAACCCTGTCACAGAAGATACATGTAATGCTTACAAAACCTCTCTTGTAAGTTGAGGAAAGGTTACCACAGTACACAGTGGGATCCTCATTCATTACAAGGAAGTTGCTACCTTCCAAAAGAAAGAGGGAACAAACTCTTTATTCTGTGAATCTTTAAATACCTGGATGCATGAAACTTTTTGCAGAACTCTTTTCCTCATGCACTGGCACCTGACATTTTGACATTTAAGTCATGCTCAATTTCCTGTGTACTTTTCCTTCAATTGCTTATCCTAAAACGTCAGCAGAATAAAGTGGAAGGTGGAATGGTGGAGCATTTTGTGCTGAGGTGCTCGATCAAACAACATGAAAACAGGTTAGCCGAAGCAAGCAATTCTGACGATGAATTGATAGTATAAAACATTTATCAGCAGATTTTCTCCTCGTTACGGCTTTGTACACTGAATATCTTTGGGTTTTACACTGTCAAACAATATAAGTAATTAATCAAGATGGCACTTTTGGATCTGTGAACTTGTGAATAGGATTTTTATTATTTTCTGTCATCCACAGTTAATCAGTTAATATAAAAAAAATAATAGATGACTAATCAAAAATGAAAATAATTGTTAATTGCAGCTACAATTTACTTCCTGTAATGTAGCAATAAGATATAAGTTATTTATGAAGCTATAAACCTTTTTATGCTGCTCTGTGGATGGCTGCTGGGGTCTACATTGGTCCAATGACCCCTCCTGCATTCTGGTCCTGTGCCTCAGTTATCTGATCCGGTTTTGTCTATGTCCTTTCAACAGAAGCACTTGTCCGAGCCAGGATTCCTCGAGACCTGGAGAAGGTTCTTGGTGTTGAGGTGAGCAGATATTTCTCAGTGGACTGTAATGTATGTAAAGTGATATGCGATCCAGAGATGAAACAATTAGACAATCAATATATTACCGTAGTCAACAGCACAAAAAATCTGCTACTATTTTGATAATCGGTTCATTCGAATCATTTTCCTTCGATGAGTAAATGATTAACGGTATTTAATTCAGTAAATGGAACATCAGGGTTTTGGACTCTGATGGTCAGATACGACAATCATAACAGGCATTTTTCACTATTTTCTGACATTTTATTGACAAAACAATTGATTGATTCATTTAAACATATCAGCACACTATCAGTAATAAAAGTAATGGTTAGTTGGAGCCCTAATGATATCATACAGATTGTGTCTATATATTAGAGCTGTGGTTCCCAACCTTTCTATCCATTTCATGGATATATTTCATATTATATTTAATCAGAGAACAACTGATGAACTGTACAATGGACAGTGAACACAATAACTGAAAGAAGTTTGTGTAAAACCTGAGATTTGGATGAAATTTAAGCATATTCTTAATTCTGAATGTTGTTGAGATTTCCTGATATTTTTGGGAACTTTTTAGGCAATTCAACATTATCTTATTAAGTGTATTAATAAAAAACATTAATTTATTTGATCGGCAATCGGATACTACAGTACGCTATCACTACTGTACAGACTAGACTCTAATCTCTGTAAATGTCCTCTGTGTTCTTCCCTCATCTCCAGTCTCAGACCAGCTTTAAAGCGGAGGCCTTCACCCAGGTGTTCCTGAAGAACAGCATTCAGCATCACGCACGGTACGATGTGAAGGCCATGTTGACTCACAAGGCTGTGATACTGGGCTACGGCAGGCCAAAGAAGGACAAGTCAAAGAGGAACAGCAAGAAAGCCAAAGGACTGAACGCTCGGCAGAAGAGGGCAATGAAGATCTTCCAGATCAAGCCAGAGCACCAGAGGTTCGGTCAGGAGTCTGAGGACAGGACAGTTGTTGTGCTCCGTGTGGGGAAAAAAAAACCTTGTTGCCAAACATTCTTGTCAGAATCGACTAACACAGTCCCCATTTACCCTCTGTGTTTATCATTATCCTTGTAGATACGAGCTTTTCCTGCCTCTGCATGAACTCTGGACACAGTACATCACTGACCTATGCAATGGATTGAAACCAGAAGGGTAAAACAGTTTGGAGTGCCACACATATGAACCCTGACATCCCTAATTCATTGCTCATCTGAAGCAATTTCAGAAGTCCTTATTACTTTTACTGTATGTCTCATATGTTATGTTGTGATTTTACAGCAGTCCACAGTTTGTGCAGCAGAAGCTTCTGAAGGCAGACTTCCACGGTGCCATCATCACAGGTAGATTTTTTTAGTTTTCTCCAAAATGAAAATTACAAACGCCCCTAAAAATGCAATTCATTAGGACAGAAGAACGTTATTAAGTTTAATTACCAGATTTAATTTAAAGTTGAAACTTGGTGGTGATGTTGAAGGCATGTGATCGTGGTGTAGTTTGTTCATAGCCTAATGTTTAGGGCTGTAATGAACCAAAGAAAATCTTGGTCAATTGAAACTCTACCTGCTCTTCAACCAGTCGATTGGTCGATGTGAAAACCGTGTGGTCTCTACCTGCCAGCTGCTGGGTGCTAATCAGAGTTATACAGTATTGGCAAGAAAATGTATTCCAGTACGCGAAACCAGAATGGACTTGAGCCCTACCTACTTTTGAACATAAAATATGTAAAAAAATAAAGAAAGAAAGAAAATAAAGAAAAATTATTTGGTAGCCTCTTTTAAGTATGCTGTCTATGGTGGTAATATATATCACACTCGGTGTGCACAGCCTATGAGAAAGGAATAAATTCTGCTATCTAAAAATGTATTGGCTAATTGTGTCATGTGATGTAAATCAAATCCCATTCAAATGCTGATGGCCTGGCACTGCCCTTCTCCTGAAAATTAAACTCTGAAAAATAACAGGTTTTTAACAGTGATACTGCGGTGCTAATGGACCCGTCCAATTTGACATGCGTTCTGAGCGTTGGCGAAGATAGCTGCACATGCTGCATTTCCATTTAAAAAAAGCAACTTGAAAAACAGTTATTGGCATCCAATGAGACTTAATGTTCAGTTGTTTTTTTTTTTTTTTTTTACTGTCCCTCAGTATTACAAGATTAGTCCAGAATCCCCCAGCCCCCAGCAGTTGACCAAAAAAATTATGAACACTAATACAACATAAAACATGGCAAAACTTCCAAGTTTGAAGTCGTGTCATGGAGAGCCGATAACGTCCGTCATTTGGCTGGAAACGTCATTACTAGCCTGTTATTAGCAGTAGTCCGTAGTGAAGTGCACTAAGCGCACTAGTGCAAATAATCCAATATCAAAACTAGAACGATGCATTCCACGTTGGCCTACAAAAATACATCGGGATCATATTGATGAGGAAGAGAGCGGTAAATACAATAACTGTACAGCCTGGTTGAAATATGCCAAGACTGTGAGCTAAATACAGTGTTAATGTGGTATATGACCTACTGAATGGTGTATCATGTTTGATCACTGTCACATGTGCTTTATTATGAAATCCTAGAAGTACCTGTTAGTATATAAATACTTGATGACCAGCTTACCGTAACATAGTTTTTTTTTTTTAAACAACATTCAGATTTTTGATATGAGTTGAATGACACTCCTTACTGATGCAACCATTATTTCTATGACTGCAGGTGCAGCGACGACCGTGTCGTACTTTCATACAGTGTTTGTTTTCTTTTCTCTCTCACAGTGGTCCGGTCTAAGTGTCCATCATATGTGGGGACTACAGGAATTCTAGTCCAAGAGTTCAAACATGTCTTCAAAATCATCACCAAAGAGGACAAACTGAAAGGTTAGACAGAAACTCACCTTCAGCTCATCATGTTTTAACATAACTGGGTTACCATTGTCCCAACTAAAGATTCTGAAAAAGTATTTACAAGCAAACAGTAGTAATTATTGAACCTGAATTGTTTTGTACATTTGTAAATAGATTCATAACAGTAGACCTTTTTTACAGCAGACATTTTGGCTTCTCATAGCAGGGTTCCATTTAGGTGAGCTAGTTCTGGGTCTTGGTGTTGTACAGGCTGGCTCACTATCATGGCTTACTGGAAACTCTTGTTGCATTTGAGCCAAAATTTGTGTAGGCCACCTGAGCTTTTCCTGCTATGAGTCAAAGTCAAAATGCCTGCCGTGAAGGTTCTGTTTCTGGACTGGTTGCACAGCAGACATTTTGACTCGTCTAAGCCATAAAAACACAGGTGGACTTAATAACACTTAAAATGGCTCAGTTCTGTTAAGTATCCCAGTGACAGTGAACCAATACAAGAGCAGGACTTCCCATAAGTGTTTTGCAGCTAATACACCTGTGTGTTTCCTGCTGTGACAAATATCAAATGTCTGCTTTGCAAACGGTCCTTTACATGGATTGATCAGTTTGATTATTTTACTTAAATTTAACATAATATATAATGATATCCTAAAAATATAATCGACCCTTCCTAAGTCCCGCCCCTTTTGCTCTGTGCTCCAATAACAGCTAAGCAAGCCTCAGAAGAACCTCGGTAAACTCCTTCCCTGTACTTGGATATGCTATGTGCTTGGCTCATCTAAAGTCACAGCTATTGTTAACAAACTAGTGAACTAGCTAGCTAATTTACATTAAATGTCACAACCTGGCTCAAAAGTGTGTGAGAAAGAGGGAGAGCACACAGTCTGTGAATAGTTAACTCACTTTAATTAAGTAAATAAAAAAGAATCAATACAGTTTAACATGTCTATCAGTAAATCAGTATATCGCATGCAATGCCTGTGTGAGTGAAAGCTGAGGTGTATATGTATGAATGTAAAACCCAGAACACAAACAAAAACCAAGAGTTGAGTCAGCAGGCCAGGGGAAGAGAGACTGAGAAAGCCTTTCAGGTCTGATCTATAGCCTCCTGAGCCCAGCCTGCACATACAGTCTGTCACCTTTATCTTTTCAGCACCTTCAAAATGTGGTTGTCTTTTCAACATAGATTATAGGAAAAAGGACTGAGGTTCTAACCAAGGCTTGCTCAACTCTTATTGGAGTACAGAGCAAAAAGGGGCGAGACTTTGTCAAGGTCAGTTATTTCAGCTATATCTACATTATGAAACCCTACAACTCAACAGAAGTAATAAAGAGAAAGCTGCGATGTTTAATGTATTTTCTTAACACAAAACTAACTGGCATTAAGGAAATCGTCTCTGGTATTGGCATGACTGATTTTTAATGTAGGCCTATAGACAATTCCCTTTAAGAATTTGTTTTTAAAAGCACATGGTATGAAGTTTAAGCAATTTCAATCATTTAACCTGAAAACTGGACACCATATCAGAATTATGTCACAATACAATATTTTTTTGCTGCAACCAAATTATAGTGAAACCTTCCGGTCTTGGACAGTGTCTAACTAAGCACTAGTTTGATGGCATTGTTAGTGGTTCACACGTTTTAACACACGTTCCCCTGTTTTTTTTTTCCCCCTCATCCTCCACTTGTTGTTGGACAGTGATCCCCAAGAGGAACAGTGTGTTTGCAGTGGAGATCAACGGCTTTGTCTCCCACATCTACGGCAGCAAGTTTGAGCAGCGAGCCAGTGAACGCTCTGCTAAGAAGTTTAAAGTTAGAGGAACCATTGACTTGTAATGGCACTGAGGGTCACTACAGGATGCAGTGTTCCTCAACAGGAGAGACATTACATAGTCAGACCTCCACTGCCCTCTATTGGCAGTCAGAAGGAACTGCAACAAAGACAAATGCATTCTGCTCTGTTACCATATAGGAGGTCCTAAAACCAACAGGAACCAATCTTTCTCACTCAAGATCAGTTTACCTGTCATAGTGTGTACTAAACAGCCAGTGAAAACGGTTGTATAATGTTCTCTGTGTTTGGATGGGTGTCAATGATGTCTCTGCATGGGCTTGGAGACTCCCCTGATCACGTTTATTTTGGCCCTTATCCCAAGTCTGAATACATTTAGAATTTAAAAATCAGCTCATGTAAGCAGCCAGATGGAGAAAATGTCTGCTGTCATACAGCAGTATTTACTGTGTTTTAGTAATTATTTTAGCTACTTTTATGTTTTATTATGTATTACACAGTAGAAGACAGAGCAAAAAAAAATCTTTCTTCTTTTGTCATTAGGAAACCTGCAAGGATTTCTTGTTCCTTTTTGTAACAGAACATGTGAAACGTGGTGGTCTGTAAGCTGTTTGTGTTCTTTTTTGAAATCCTTCACCTGGTCCTGGCATGTCTGAGCGTGCGAGTTCCCCAGAGTGCCTTGCATAATTCACTTGGTTAGAGGAGTTGTCTTACTACCGGTATGTTATGCTGAGATGGAGGAGTCTGAGGTTTGACACTGCAGACTTTTTCTTTTGTCTTTGACAGACCCAAACATTTGGCTTCCACAGGGTTCAATTTGGGTTCATTAGAGAGGCATGCATGCAGAGGTTTGAGACTGCAGATTCCAGACTTTCAGGTTTGTATCTGTTCCACAAAAGTACAGGCATGCTCTGTTCTAACGCTGTCTGCACATAACATTTCCTTACTCTCATAATGAGAACGTGTAGTTAATTATAGTCTACGATTCCATGAGTACCTGATTCACATTTAAGATGCATCCCTGAATGCAGCTGCCACAAAATGGCTCACACTAGTTTTGCTTTGCAGAAATGCATTTTAATTTTCACTAACCCAAGTATTGTTTTAGCATTCTGTACAATGCCGACTAATGCCCTGACCAAGCTACAGGCCTTCTTCACAGCAGACATGTAATGTATCAGTAGGGAGAGCACAAGTGTTAATCAGGGTGACCAGGTGTCCAACTTTGTGTGGGACTGCATAGCATCTCTATTCATTGTCCCACATTTTGATTGGCGGTAGTTTACAAAAGTCCAATCACTACAGGACAGGTGCTTTTCTAATCCATTTTTTATCCATTGGCTGTGAAGAAAGCGGGCTGTGTCTGATGTCAATCAAACAGCACATTTGGATAAAGTGCACTATAACCTGTCACCGTCTTCGTTACTCTGTGCCCATCAGGTAATATTGCACCCCAACAAAGCTATGCAGACTTAGGTGGAATATGATGGGAACTACCACAAAGAAAAGGAAAAGCAACTACAACAGAGACTGGGGAATAAGTGAGCGAAGCAAGTGGACGGCAACTATTGCACTAACTGTATTGAGTTAGCGTGGGAGTTGGTAAAGTTGCATTAAAGTCCTGTACATGCTAAAGGCCTAACCTGTAACCTGGATAGTGTATTGTTTGATCACCAGAGGGCAAAGCACACAGATATTATGAGATATTATTATTATGATTCCACAGGGTTTGTTAGTTCATATTTTATAGGCAGTTTGTTTCTTAATGTAGTGCAGGGCTATTTAATTGCAAGCATATACATTGGATTGATTTGAAGAACTTTAATGAACTTGAAGTGTGCACTGTATTATCTAAAACAATACAATACAGCAGATTTTAAATCCTAAATGACTTGGATTGGGGCGTGAGTGTGTGAACGAGAGCGACGGTGAACGACAGCAGAGCAGCGAGAGATACGGGTTAGCCATACGCTACCAGGGTTAGCAGTAAATGTACAGTCTGAGTTACAGTTGTCAATAAAGGCTGTCGCTTCTCAAGACCAAAGTGGAGCCTCTGTGTGTGTTGTTCGCCGACTGCTGAGGATGAAGTAAGGGGGTTAGCCCTGGAGGAAACTCAGCCCTGTGCTTTCCGACCACGGTCTGGGAGCCGAACAGGAATGGTTAACAATGTCCCACGTTGTCCAACACAAAGATACTCTTTGTCCCACATTTAGTTTGTTTGCTTTCTGTAAGTCAAAATTTAATTTGAAGTCAGGAACTGTGAGTAAATACGATCATGACATTGTGACAGCTTTTAGCGTATGACAGATTTTCACATTTAAAGGACCAGTGTGTAGGATTTAGTGACATCTAGCATTGAAATTGCAGATTGCAACTAACTGAACACTCCTCACATCTGTATTTGACGATCTGGGAATGAGAACGAGCTGTGAAGTGTCTAAAGCCAGTGTTTGGTTTGTCCATTCTGGGCTACTGTAGAAACATGGCAGAGTCCAGATTCTTATTTTCAGGTGATTATACACTAATGAAAACATACCTATGAATATTATATTAAAGATCCTTCTAAGTATTACAGACTGGACCTTTTAAGCCTTTACAGAAAAGTATTGATATTTAACACTGCCCATAAAAAGTGAATATTAGAATTCAGGGGGCCAAAAACAGCTAACATACATGCTAATATGGGTGATAATGGCTACTTCAAAAACATCGGATTTGCTATACAGTGAGCTAAATTTTACATCTTAATTTAGTTCCAAAATTAGTGCAAAATCAGTTTATTCATTCTTAAAGGTAAGGAGGAAAGAAAATCCAAAGCTCTTCTACCTGCTCACTGGAGTCTCCCTTGTTCTTGCCATGCACTTTTTACCGTAACCCTGCTGATCTAGATAGGCATGGGCTTCACCTGTTTGTGCTCAGTTGGCACACCCAGTAACTGGAAGGAAGATCACTGAATATACTTGGATCAAAGCAGCAGAGTTTCCAGATGAGGAATGACACAAGTATTGGCAGCATGCAATCTGACAACTGTTATTTTTTCACTCCAGCTGCTAGAGCTGCTCGACTGGTCTTACAATACTTCATCTGTTTATGAAACGTGAGCTCTTGTCAGGAGACAGTTTTACTGTTCCTGGTCACAGCGGATTTCACTCCAACAGGCCTGAACGAAAGCAACCAATCAGTGCAGCAAAAGATGGATTGGAGGCTTAAAGATTATTATTGTTGAGTCTCACTTATTTTACTACTTTGCACTTCTGGTTGATGCTAACTGCATTTTGTTGTTTTGTACCTGTACTTGCAATGACAATAAAGTTGAATCAAATCAAATCATTCCCAGCGTCCCAAAGCAGTAAGTTATGAACTGGTGCTATACAAATAAAATTGAATCCGTATTAAAATCTTTGTTCAGTATTTGATGCCCTGGGAATGAGACTCAACAAGCAACTATCTTCCTCGGCTGTAATTGGTTGTTTTCATCCAGGCCCGGTGGATTCTTGTAAACACCATTAGGACCACTAGGAGGAGCCAGAGGAACCTGATTGTTTCACAGATTATCCATGGAAAAAATCCAGGGAAGTAGAATTTCAGACATGCACTCATATTCTACAAGACACTTTAAGGACTTTAATCTTCTGTATTGTTAGACGTCCCTTAATCAATATTCATTGAAAATATACAGTAGAGGACCATCTCTTTGGAATAATCTACTTCCCTCGCTACAATCAATGTCTACATTATCTTTGTTAAAAAAAACATGCAAAGATTCACAACAATGGATCTCAATATAATGTATTTCATCTGGTGAACGTTATTATGGTAATATATTGATAATAAGATATCAATCTTGGGTTTCAGCTGATTTAATGTATCTCTGTTTTTATCTTTTTAAAGTATGATCATATTTCTAAAGGGGAGGTATCTTCATGAAATGGATATTGATAGTGGAGTGCATGGTGAAATCTGCAGGTTCCTTTGAATTCACGTCTTGTCAAAAGCATTCACTGATACAGATTCAGTCACTACACATGAATTATGAGTAAAATAAGTAGCCAGCAGAGAGGACTGTTCCTTTTACACAAGTATATTGTGTAAATTTCCTCCTTGTCTCTTTGAATTCAAACTTTGCTCCACCCCCTTACTTTTCACAAGATGTTTTTGTCTTAAAGCAGAAGTTACTGAGGAAAACCCCACTGCGTCACCGAGATCTATAAGAGCTGCTGGGCAAGCCTTGTCTAAGCAGAGAGAAAAGACAAACACATGACAAAGTCGTGGAACTACAAACAAAAAGACTGCTGCACTGAGAACAGGACTCTTGTTGACTTGTGAACTAAATACAAGGACACCATGGTGGACCAGCTAACCTTTGCCCAGGAGAACCGGGAGCGGATCCAGGCTGTTGAGAACTCATTCGGCGGGTCGGGGAAGCCCCTGTCCCAGTTGGGTCGGGTACTGATTGGAGAGGGCCGGCTGATGAAGCAGAGCCGCCGGGGGCCACAGCCTAAAGCCTTCTTCCTCTTCAATGATGTGCTGGTGTACGGCAGCATCATTCTCAACGGCCGCTGGCACAAAAGACAGCAGATCATCCCTCTAGGTGAGCTACTCATCTGCTTCTCCAGAACACCAAAACTCCTCTGGAGGAAGGAGATTACACTTTTATATTGTTCCATCATTTTTCGGGTTGCTTTGACTTTTAAAAGTGAACCTCAGATTCAGAAAGAAAAAAGCTAACAAGAATAAGAACAAGGAGAGTAAGCAATCTGACAGTAACAGGTTTACACTGCAGCTGAGTTGGTTCAGTCCCTTCAGAGTTTCGCAGGCTTCTTTTGGGATTGTTGCAGCCTAAAATGGCTGATTTCACAGCAGCTATTCTAAACACTTGTTATGCATGTTGCAGTGTTTTTAGTTTAGCATTTCTTGCAATGAAATGGTGGGAGAAAGTTGCAATTTGTTTTCGTAGAATTTATTAAAAATTTAGATTTTTGATTTTGATTACTTTTCTTCTGAATCTGTTTTTAGAATATGTTCAGAAAACTTGTTTAAGTGAAAAACAGTTACTCATTTTTAACTGCAACTATTTAATTTTAAAGCACCCAAATAATGCAGAATCTTAAACATTTGAATGCAGAATTCTTTGTTTCTAAAACTTAAAAAGGTAAGTTACCTCATCAAAAGATTATAGGTTGGTAAAACTTTCTTTTAGTTTATTTAGAAACTTGACTTAAACCTTAAAGATTTAGAGAAGACAGTTGCCTTGAAATTAGTTTCTCAACTGTGTTGCAAAGTTGCACAAAGTTGCACAGAATTCACAGGGATTGGTTGAATTAGTGGTAATTGTTGTGATTGCAACATCCTGGGTTAGTTGTGTGGCTGTGGGCGGGGCCAGACACTCTGATTACATCTTCTGCTATAACTTGCAGCTATAGGCAGTGACAGCTCCATTGTTTAGATGACTTTGTGAAGTCTGCTGTCACTGCTCCAACACTAATAAATAAAAACATATGGTTACAATGACAAACTGTCACCTCCAATAGTGTCCATACCTGTGTCCTCTTGTATTAACATACCATTTATTCATAATTTCAGAGGACATCCAGCTGGAGGACTTGGAGGATGGTGTGAGAATGAGGAACCAATGGCTGATCCGCACACCACGCAAGTCTTTTTACGTGGGCGCCTCCTCGTACGAAGAGAAGCGAGCCTGGATTGAGCACATTGAAGACTGCCAGTCCAGACTGCTGGAAAGCAGCGGCCGCACGCTGGGGTCCAAATATGCTGTCACCTGGATTCCGGACCAGGCCTCCGCTGTCTGCATGCGCTGCTCCAACAAGTTCACCGTGACCCAGCGTCGTCACCACTGCCGGAAATGTGGCTTTGTGGTCTGCGGTGCGTGCTCCAAGAAGCGGGCGCTGATCGGACACATTCACCCGACCAAGGGTTTGAGGGTCTGCAAAGTGTGTCACTCCAGTCTTTCAAAGAGGGAGTCAGAGGAAGAGGCCCAAGAAACGTCTCGCGTGAGGGGAGACAGCACTGGGAAGACGGGCTCAGATGAAGATGAAGTGGAGGTGCCCAGTGAGGAAGAGGAGGCAGAAGAGCAGATGGAGGACCATGATCCCAGCAGGTGGGTGGACTCCTGGTCCCCCTATGTCTACCTCAAACCAGAGCATGTGAGGCCCTAAACATAGGCACATTAGGAGTCCCTCAGAAATGACCTTTGGACTTTTATATGGACACAGTGCTGATGCAGCTTTGCACAATAGAAGCTAGTTAAACATGGCGCAACAAGACAATAATGATGTAATGTAAAGTGTTTTGTACATACTGTATTTATTGATGTGAATAGAAACACTATTGCTGCGAAGTCGTCACTTTATGATCTCTGAAGAAGTCTGTAGTCCTCAGAGGATTTTTTAGGTAGACCTCAATCTGCCTCAGTATACATTTTTTTTATTTATTTCAAACAAGTGTATATGTCAGTGTTTGTGTACATTTGGATTGAACATCTGCCTCACATCTGTCTTTGAAATGAACTATGGAAAATAAAACACTTAGAAAACAGATAAAAGATATGTCTTTGATGATTGGAGTGTTACTACCTCAGCTGAGAGGGTAGTTGAGTTTGTCTGTCAGTCCGTCTGTCTGTCAGGATATTTCAAGTACCAAGCAAAGCCTCTTAAATTATAATATGGATCATTTAAATGAATTAAACCCAAGCAAGTAGGCTGATAAAAACACATAGTTTTATTTTATGACCTTTTTAACATAAAATATACACATTTTCATCCCTGCAATGAGAGCATATTACTGTAATAATAAAGTGAGAATGAACATCACAACTGTGTGCTGCTGATTCTTATGAACTTAACATCATAACTGCATAAGAGCACACAAAATAAGTAAGGCCTACAATACGGGCTGTTTTCACTCAACAGACGTTTATGGGAGCTTTTCTGTCAAAATAAAAGTCAGACATCAATAAGCATTTTAAATTTTTGTTTTTGTTTTTGTTTGTTTTTTTGACCACACACTCCAAGACCCAGATACGGATTTTTTTGTCTCTAAAACTCTTAAAAGATTTTCTAAAGAAGAAAGGTAAAAAACTCTCTACGGTTATTTTCTACAGTGGGCAAAACAGTTGTAACTTTGGGGGAGCCATTCAGTTTCTCTGAAACCTGTGAAAGATCAACATCTTTATGGGCCAAGAAAGCGTATGTGACTGTCTGGGGTGTGGACTGCAGAGCTGGTAGTGGTTATACTGGTGGTCTGTGTGTTGAGTAAGTCATTAACAGAGAAAGGGGTGTGGTGGTTCACAGTAGAATGGTGTGATGTTTTTAATAGAACAATATTACACAGACAAGGTCATCGTAAGAGACCTTCTGAGTCTGAGCTGGAAGTAAAAAGTCCCTAAAATGTGTAAACACACACTATCCACCCTGCCTCCAGACACTGCTTGCAGCTCTGCATCCTCTCAATTCCATGTAAGTGTTCCACACGGGTGACACTGAGAAAACCTGTTCAACTGGTTATTTCCACTGTGGGGAAGGCAGTGACAATGAGCCAATGGGTCTCAAACCTGTTTGACTTACCTGCCTCCAGGCAAGCTGGCTGCAAGAAACAAGGAAATGTCTGTGAAAGAAGAAACATGTACAGGTGTACAGAGTAACCTGAGCAGAGAGTGACAATGCAACAATGCAGACAAGGATTTGTATAAACATTCTATTTTAGGTGCTCTTTTTAAAAATATCCTATAGTGAAGCACTGACGACAGTAGAAAGTCCTTGGCTGAATCCTGCTGTATAAGGATGTCTTTAACAATGACCAACTTTTTAACAAACCTGACAGGAAGGAGGCAGGTTGGTTTATAACATGCTACAGCTCAGGTGCATTGTAATCTACCTTACAGGTGGTCTCCCTAGCGCGGCTCCAAACTGTTTCTTTGAGCTGCTCTGATGAAGCCCATGAGACCAAAACGTTACAGTATTTTTCTGACATGGTCAAAATGAATTGGTGTGATTGAGATTAGTCAACTTTTTCCTGCAAATCTCTGTGTGCTAGCTTTTATGCCTTTGGGTGTTCACTCTGTGATGCACTGTGCGTTCTGACACCTCTCTGTTTATTTATGTCAGTTATGTCAAACAGCAGTTTAAGCCTATTTTGGCTCAAGTATTAATATCTATGGGACCAAATAACATAATCATGATCCAATCTGGGAACTAAGCAAGTAAACTAGGAGTCTGGAGGAGTGGCCTTTTTTAAGCTTTGTCAGAGCACACAGTCACAGACTCTGATAACCCCTGGGCTATGTAATAGTTGGCTGCTAGTTCCAACTCTCCAAACTGTACTCTCTGTACTCACACATACACATCCAGCTGCAGGCAGAGTGTGTGCACACCTACCTGCCTGACAGATGAGTACATTTACCCTGCGGGGATCCACACGTACTTGCACCCAAGTGTAATGTGGCCTTTTGAATTTTAAAATAAAGATTATATTATCTTTAGATTTATATTATTAGAGTTCCCTTTATGCTACTCTACAGCAAAAACAATACATCTACACAGATCAGCCATAACATTGTGAGCACTGACAGGTGAAGTGAATAACACTGATTATCTGGTTATCATGGCTCCTGTCAGTGGGTGGGATATATCAGGCAGCAAGTGAACATTTTGTCCTTAAAGTTGATGTGTTAGAAGCAGGAAAAATGGGCAGCTTGAGGATTTGAGCTACTTTGACTTTGACGACTGGGTTATAGCATCTCCAAACCTGCAGCTCTTGTGGAGTGTTCCCGGTCTGCAGAGGTCGATACCTATCAAAAGTGCTCCATGGAAGGAAAAACACTGAACCGAAGACAGGGTGATGGGCGGCTAAGGCTCACTGATGCAAGTGTGGAGTGAAGGCTGGCCCGTGTGGTCCGATCCAACAGACGAGCTACTGGAGCTCAAACTGCAGAAACAGTTAATGCTGGTTCTGATAGAAAGGTGTCAGAACACACAGTGCAGAGCAGTTTGTTGGTATGGGGCTGCAGAACATTCTGACCACCAGGGTGCCCAGGTGCTCATAATGTTACAGCTGATTGGTGTATATAAATCACTCACAGTAAAGTTGATAAATAAGTTCCAAAAAATGATAATAAATTTACTTTTGTAATGCGTAACATTTATAGTATGAATGAACGTGACAAACATTTTCAATACAGTACAGGTAATACATTCGTGTTTGAGAATATGTTCATTTACTTACTCTACTAAGAAAACATTTATTGCATGCAACACTATGAAAGGGGCTATTTTACATAATAAGTCTGTGCGAATTTGATACTTAAAGTATATTTGGCAGTTTTACTTGTTCCAGAGCATTTTAACATTGTAGTAATAGTAATTTAGTGTCTGAATACTGAATACTACACACTGTGAACACAAAGTGAGCATGGAAAAGCCAGTTCTCACTTAGCTGAAACCACTAAGATTTAAGATAAACGAGAAGGAAATGAGGAGTGCGTAAGTCTACGATTGTGAAAACCTCACATTCAAAACTTTTCTCAGAATGCAGTTCTTCCTCTTTACATCAGCTGCTTTTCTAAGGAAATGAAGCTGGATGTCAGTCTTGCCAAAAGACAAATATTTCCTTTATGATGTTGTTTTGCCCATTGCTTGTAGTTGGTTTGACTGAATTGAATAAAAAGGCTGGGTACGCTGAGTCATTATAGATACATTTACTGGAAATGAGCGGGTATCTACAGCTGCAGTGGCAGAGATATCAGATTTCAGTTTATATATGTACATTAACAGATTTCACTCTGTGAAAGATCTCGTGACATGCTTTTTCTGACTGTGTCGTTCATCTGGCATCTATCTATCTATCTATCTATCTATCTATCTATCTATCTATCTATCTATCTATCTATCTATCTATCTATCTATCTATCTATCTATCTATCTATCTATCTATCTATCCATCCTGTCTTCATGTTAGTAACTTATCTTGCACTATTATGAAACTACATAGTAGTGGGTAGGGTATTCCCCTCCTTGTGTTTTCAAGTAAGCAGAAAGAAAAGAAGAAATTACTGATGGTGTGTGTCCAAGTCAGGTCTATAGAGTCAGCAGCATTGTTTGTATACTCATCAAAGTCTAATCCCCATTGAGGCAAAACTATTGAAGCCTGAATTATTTTGCATATATACACACATACACACCAATCAGCCATAGCATTATGAGACAGGTGAAGTGAATAAGTAAACTTTAACCTGAGTAAACTTTTAGCAGTCCACCAAAATCTGTTTTTCAAACTAATTTTAGGAAAATTATCAATCCAGTTGCTGAATCTTCACTCATATTAGATCTACAAGGCATAATTTAAAAGTTTGTTCCGAGTTTGGTGAGGCCAGTGCAATACTGCAGTGCAGTTTGGTTTGAAGAGTGGCCGTGTTAATCAGTGATTTTCGGACAAATTAGTCTCTGGTAACTCATAGTGACAGAAACTGCCCATGTATTAAATGTTCAATATTCTTCTGGAGGAATTTGACTCTATAATACAGGTGAATCTGTTTTTTCCCCACATTATAAGAACGTTATGAGAGGGGAATGACTCCATCTGAGCACAACTTAACATACATAAATGTTCAGCATAGACAGATAAGTGTGTATTTAAAATTGATTAAAGTCTCCTAAAAACTTTTAGGAGGAAAGGTAGAATATGTGTGTTTTCAACATTTGCTGTCACTACAATCAACCATTCTGTTGAAAGTCACCAGTCATATACTTGATATAATATAAATTAAATATACTGTGTGTGTGTGTGTGTGTGTGTGTGTGTGTGTGTGTGTGTGTGTGTGTGTGTGTGTGTGTGTGTGTGTTTTCTTGTTCAGCTCTATGCATAACTCCACAGAAGGCACAAGGCAGTCACAATTGGAGACAGGAGTCAATGATAAAGCAGAGAACAGCACTCCCTACTGTCCCCCCTTGGCAAGTCAAAAATATTCTAAAACACTGCTTCACAGGGCACTTTCTGAAAAGATGTGCATCAGACTATTACTTGTTTTGAATTCAGCTCCCCCTTTAACTTAAAATATTTATCATGAATTTATACCCCGATATACTCAATAATGTATTTAATAATGTATTTTTCAAGTATAGAGGCTAATAGCCTGGTAGACCAACTGGAAAACCACTGCCATACATGGTATGACAGTGGTTCCCAACCTGGACGTCGGGACCCCTACTAGGAGTCGCCAAAGCATGACAGGGAGGTCTTGATTTAAAGAGGTTTAAGAAAACTTACACACCTTAAAGAAACACAGTGGGCATGTATCTCAGCAAAATTGTTATTTTTAAAGTTCAGATTATTATTTGAGATCTAAACTTTGAAGACCTGAACACAAGCTATTTTTACAGAGCCTTCACTCTGATACACAGCCTTATCATGCATTAGAAAAACAAAAGACCTATCAGCTCAATGACCAAATGTCAGGAAGAAAATACTGAATTTGTCCAAAAAAAAAAGCCTATTCAATAATGTATGACTGCTAAAAAATACCTATATCTGATCTATTCACAGGAAATAATTTACTCAGAACTCATTCAAATCTCTGGTTTTACACAAACTTCCTGCAGTTATTGTGTTCACTGTTTGGATTCATTGTACAGTTTATCAGCTCTTCTCTGCTGTTATTGTTATACACTGAATATAATATGAAAAATGATATGTCACTGAGTCAGAGGTCGTCAGTTGACTTAATCAAATAATAAAAAGCAATAAAAATGAGATCCCTTAAGGAAAAGGGTTGGGAACCGCTGATGTGTGGCATTAGATAAAAAAAATCATCTTCACCGTGAAACAGACAAGATTAATTTCACCTTACAATTTTTTAAAGATATAAATTCACTTATATTTGTATAGCGTCTTTCTAGTCTTCCGACCACTCAAAGCGCTTTTACACTACGTGTCACATTCACCCTTTCACACACATTCACTCAGTGATGGCAAAGCCCATCAAACAGAAACTAACTCATTCATGCACATTCACATACCGATGACACAGCATCGGGAGCAATTTGCTCTGGGATACTTCCACATGCAGCAGGAGGGGCCAGGGATTGAACCAACAACCTCCCAATTAGAGGACAACCTGCTCTGCCTCTAAGCCCTAGCTGCCAGGAATTAACATGGTGTGCGGAGGTTCCTCTGGTTCCTCTCCCTCCAGTGGTTGTGTCGATGGGTGTTTTGTAGGAATCATGTGATTGTCTACAAGAGATGAGATAATGGTCCTTTTTAGTAATTAACCTCAATTAATAGTTTAAAAAAAAAAAATGTTTTTGTTATCTCTCCAGTTATCATTTATTATCTGTTTATAGTATTTCAGTGCCCATATTAAAACAGATTAGAAAAGCGGGCTACAGTCGGGAGCACAATAAAATACTTTAAACCTAGTCAGCACTTTTGTTTCATAGACATAGTGTGAGTTTATACATCAGCCCAAGTTACCCATGGAGGTCCCACACCTGTCCAATAGGAACACATGACATTTACTATTATTACTAATTATTATTTAGAACAATTGTTTACTTCGTAGTCTGCATACACAATAATTGCACATAGTATACACATTTGTGAACTCAAAGACCACACTATACCTTAATAAATCAAAAATACATGTAAAATCAGCCCCAATTCTCAGTTATATGACCAGAGAGGGTCCAGTTAACTCTTCTCTAGTTCCAGTTAGCTACTCCAGTGGGCAGGTAAACCATTTAATGGTGCTTGGTTGCAGAGATTAACTCAATAAAGCACACAGGACCACAAGCACACATCAAAGTTTGACTTTGCCATTATTTAGCACCCAACAAAATACATTTAAATAGAATTGTGTTTTATCTTTATTGTATATGAAGGGCATATGAAGTTAAATAGATATGAAACAACTAGAAAAGTTATCCGGTGGAGGCCCAGGAGGATGGAGGGCCAGCAGCTTTGCTGCCCTGTGCTGCAGGGAAATATGAAAATCTAAGAAGGAAGGAAGTCAAAGAAAAAAGGGGCTGCCATCTTCTCAGGTTGATGATGTATACAGAGTAGGCCTATATCTCAGCATTTGGTTCACTTCTGTGAAGAAAAGTAAATGTAAAGTTTTTTTAAATGTAATATCTGATGTTTAAATTGAACTCTGTGGGTTGCTCTTTTTTCCTTATTCATATGTTATTTTATTTTATTTTATTTTTTACTATTTTTCCATCTAAATAATTTCTGTCTGTTAAGGAAGGAGCTCGGGGTGGGTGGATGGGCTGGAGGAAAGTAATACTGGTGTTCATTACATTTATTTTATTTCTGCATTTCTAATGGAAAATGGGACAGAATTTGAGGCATTTAAAACACAGCTCTGATACTGTAGGTCAACATAAAACGAGCTGTGGTGATGAATCCATGCGTGATGCAACATTTGTTCACAATGGTCCAACAATCCTTAAAAACATCAGTGTGTTTGTAGAAATAAGTGATTCATTGGTCCTGAGAACTTCAAACACAACCTATGCCAGGACAAATACCTGCCAGAGAGTTTTTGTACTAACTTCAGAAAAATAAACCCACACACACAGACATACATTCGGAATGGAAACTAGAACCGAGCCAAGAACCTGTGCCCAATCGTCATAAAAGTAGCACTCTATAAAGATATATATATAATAATATAAATATATGTGCTTTGCTCAGTATGGGCATTATAAGGTGGTTATACCTAATAATGTTATTATAAGGAGTTTGGTCTAGAGCTGCTCTATTTGAATAGTGTCCTGAGATAACTTCTGTTATGAATTGGCGCCATACAAATAAAACTGAATTGAATTGAATACCACAAGAACAGTAATTCTCCCTTGATAACACTTAATAAATTTAATGTTTAATGTTTTTAAAGGCCAGTCTCTTCCAGCCAAGTTCAAACTTATGGGCTTCTCTGGGATCTTCAGAAGTGATATCTAGGTCCACTATGGGAGTATTGTAGTCTGTGGACCCTTTGAAGACCCAAATGCTTATGAAATCTTCATGTGCTCCAGCAGTGAGGTCATCAGTGACCTTTATGTAGCCTGCCTCGATCAATCCATCTTTCATCATACTGTTGAATGCAAATTGAATCCCAGTGATGCCACCCACCTAGATCTTGGGTCTGTCTGAGGTTTCTGCCTCTTAAAGTTTTGTGTGCTTTGTTTCAGTGGCAGTTGCAATAATCCACCTGAATGAAAACAACCAATCAGAGCCAAGAAAGATAGAAAAACACTTTAGGTCCTGGTTTAAAGATGGCTGATTGTTGAGTTTCATTCCTAGAGTCCCAAATCATCTGTATTTCACACCCTGAGAATAAGACTCAATCAACTATCATTCTTTGCTCTGATTGGTTGTTTTTGTGTGTAGGCCTGATGGACAATTGCAAATACCGTTAGTAGCACTAGGAGGAGCCAGAGGAACATGATTCTTTCACAGATTATCTGACTCATGTTCTACTGTCAGGATATAGTGAAAGTTTCAGCAGATATGACAAAAAGTTACTTTTATGGAAAATACCTACTGCAGCTTTAATGATTAATTAATTAAGAACAAGTGAGGAATGACTCAGAAACAACTTGATTAATCATTAATAAGTAGTTTCATAATAATTCCTAATGTTGGACTATATAGTAAATAATGATGAGTTACTATAGAACAGACTGGGAGATCCCATATTGATGAATGATTAGTAACGATTAGTTTATGAATATCTGTGAAACGATCATTCTGACCACTTTCTTCACCTGAACCAGCCGGTGAATGGCACAAACTAGTAATGACTCATTCATTACTAATAACTTAAGAATTAGCTACTGTTTGTGGCCAATGAAGTAATTAATTGTTAATTAATCATTAACTACTCTATACATTTAATTAGGAGTTACTTACTGTTCACTACTTACTAGCAGTTTGTTCCTCATTTGTTCCTTGGTAACTATTCAAAATGTTGTGTCCTATATTGTAAAGTGTTTCCAGAGGCCCCGGCGGGCTGTGGTGTGATCCTGTGTGGACCCCAGCCTCTCTGTGAGCTCACACGGCACAGCCCCTCTGCAGCAGGGGGGCTACTTCTCAACCGGACAGTGGATCTTACCGGGACGTGAACGCAACATGATGGACTTCTAATACACTTTACCCAACCAACGCTGCGCTTCTACTCAACCAAAGAATTTATCTCGACTTAGACTGTCCAACTTTGACGTCAGGATGACTTTATTCTGGCTTTTTATTTTAATAAGCGTTGAAAGCAGCCGTTCAGTGGTCTCAGGACACCGGGACGTGTACACAAACCACTGGGCAGTGCGGATTACAGGTGGTCAGGAACAGGCTGATAAAATCGCAGCAAAATATGGATACATGAACTTGGGACAGGTATCATTTCTGTTGATTTGGTGCTGTTATGTATGACTGTCTTACTTTGACTTTATAGCATGAAGTAATGTGAACCTCATTTTAAAAGCTATTACCAAATATGACCTAACTGCATTTGAAAAAGAGGTTAAAAACACTTTCTAATGTCGAGCCTGTATAAAGCTTGTATAACTAATGGCTTTATTTGCAGTCAAAAACGTATTTACTGATGGTTGCCAGTTTGAGAAAACCCCTCTTGCTGGTGTTCTTGCTCCTCCAGTGGGACACTGGATGTCAGTTTATAAGGCAAGACACTGTAATGGGACCACTGAACCTCTGGAAAAAACCTGCAGATTATCTGAAACAAGATCTATTAATTAACTCAGGTGCTCATTAGAAAGTGTCAAACCTAGCAGGGGCAGATCTAGAGGGGTTGCATTGGGGGTGACCGCTGCCACCCATAAAAAATGCCTGGCCACCCCAGTTTGGTGTCAAATTTAACACATTAATTTAGATTAATTTCACAAATAACTACTACAAAATGGAAATTGGTGTTTGGAAAAATGTCTGAAGATTTAAAACAATGTATTAATATCTAATGCCACCTTTAGATATCTCTATGTGCCACAATAATGTTTCATATATCTTAATTTGTGGGTTTTTCCAAGCAAATATTGAAATATGTGATTGTTTGTGATTAAATCTGCATATATTTCTGCAACGCCTTAAAGTCTCCATGCCACCTTCTGGACACCCCATGAATATTTCTTTAGATCCACCCATAGAACCCAGACGCCTTTGTTAATTAACGTAAGTTAAAAGGATAAACACCATCCAGAGAGCTTTTTTACATCCTGGCAGCCCAAAACCTACTTGTAGTAATGGCTTAGGACTGTTTTATATATGCAGACAAGTCACAAAAAACGACAGCAGCTCCACCTTCAATTAGTGTGTATTAGGCACTATACCACTGTTCCTAGGGGAGCCCACTTTTTCTACTGTTGTGGGGGGATATATTTTCTGATTTGAAGTTAATGATACTGGGCTGTCACATTTCAGTGGTGATGGCAAGAATAGAAGTATCTTTTTAAAAGTGAATCAGTGATGAGTCAACCCTCATGCACAAATCATACATACATCAATAGTAAGTTTACACTTACTCCAAAAATAGAAATGTATGGAATGGAAAATTCCCCCCAGGAAGTTGCAATCACAACAATTTACGCAAATCCAACCAATTCCTGTATCACTGGAACAAGTCGAATTAGATTTTTAATTAATTATTTCACTTTCTCCTGCATTTTCATTGCAAAAAAAATGCCAAAAACTTTTCTACATGCGTCACAATTTTCTAGAAAGAAAGACATTTTAGACGTTACTAAATGTCTTTTGGAGAGGCTGATATTGCCAGTATATTATACAAATAATCTGCTCGGAACCATACCGTGTGTGTGTGATATGTTTTTTAAAATCCTTAAAAAGTTATCTACTCCTTCTACCTCATTTAACATTCCAGAATCTCTGAATATGCAAATTACTTACTTCCCTCCTTTTCAATGAGCACAGAGAAACTTTCCACTTTCAGCAGATGAATGTGAAAACATCCCTTGAGTGTCAAACTCTGCACAGACATCATTCAAACAGCACACTGTAGGTAGATTTTTGAGGGGAGGAGGACTTTAATCTCTTATAAAGGGTGCCTTATTACAAAGTGGTACCAAAGAATCCTCTTCTTTTAGGTACTTGACAGGCCTACAGTCAGAATAACACAAGATATGTGTGGTTGAAGGAGGTCGGGAGAGGATAAGAACAGATGTAAGAGGATTGTTTGAGTCTGAAGAATATGACTGCGGTGAGCCAGCGGTGCACATGTGCTCAGAATCCTGCTCACATTGTTGGTGCAAAGTCAAGAGAGAACATGCATATTTATTAAGTGACATCATATGCTATATACAGATGATCCAAATGTGTTCTGAATGTAGAAAGCTTTCTAGAATCAGGGTTGGTTAGAAGTATAAAAGCCATTTAGATAACAGCTGCCCAGACAGATAGTTAGCTACCTTTTTGTTTCTGTCTAACCTTCAGTGTAATTGCTGTCATGTTCTTGATGTCTGCCGTTGGATGTGTTTGCTCAGATAGGAAGTCTGGACGACCATTACCATTTCCGACACAGCCGAGTGGTTCGCAGAGCTGCATACTCTTTGAAGGGCCCCCACAGCTTCATCCATATGGATCCTGAGGTGAGACTGAGTTTCTTTCAAGTCAAAATGCACAACAGTGGAGATGTGGTCACATTAACAAACATGTTCCTCATGTCTGAGGCCTTTCAAGCAGATCTATCAAGTGGAAGTGGTATTTATTTTTGAATGCAGTGCTGAACAGGAAGGCTCACGAGGGGGGTCTCAGGGACCTGCCAGGGGGTACTTGAGATGATAGTACATTATTGAAAACTACATTACATACAGAATGCAATGGTCCTTGTCAAAGTCGCTCACTTCTAACACATCAACTTTGAGAACAAAATGTTCATTTGCTACCAGATAATCAGTGTTATTCACTTCACCAGTCAGTGCTCAGAATGATATGGCCCATCGGTGTATATAAACATGACAGCTCTCCAAAAGTGAAGCCAAAACATCTCAATTGCCCCCAGGTGGCCGACTGCAGTATAGGTCATATAGCCTGCTGCCTCCATGTTAACAGATAGTACATGGGCCAAACAAAAAAAAACGAGTACATGTCAAATAATTTTTTTTTAAATACATATAAATGTTAATAAATATAAAATATTCCGTTTTGTTCCACATAAAAATGAATGGGAAGCAAATTCTGGTCTGACTGCATCATTAACAGTGATGCGGAAATCTGTTATTGATGAAAGTAAGAACACATGCACATCCATCTATAAGACTATTTTTGGTGTTACATTTTGGTCATCAGCAAACATCATAATCTATCCTTCAGAAAATTAAAGTATACAAATTTGTGTGCTACTCCAAATTGAGAATGGGCCTCAGCCTGGCCACCCCTATGAAAATTGTCTGTGTCTGCCACTGCACTCAAAACTAATTTGTAGTGTTCTTGCCATAGGTGGAATGGGCCCAGCAGCAGGTAGTGAAACCAAGAGTAAAGAGGCAAGCCCAAAGTGACCCGAGCTTCATTCATTTCAATGACCCTAAATGGTCCAACATGTGGTACATTGTAAGTACACTGAATTATTCATTCTGCCAGTTCCATTTTTGATGAGACAGGATGTTGATGATGTTTCGCATCTGTGTTTTTCTTCAGCACTGCAATGATAAGAGCAGCCGCTGTCGCTCAGAGATGAACATTCTGGCAGCCTGGCAGAGAGGCTACACCGGCAAGAATGTAGTGGTCACCATATTGGATGATGGCATCGAGATGAACCACCCTGATCTGGCTCAGAACTACGTATGTGCTATCCATCTAACCATCTCCAAATATGGATACAGTTAAAAATCAAAACACGTCCTTAGGAATTTAATTTTCACATTAACATTTTGGGATTTTCCCCAAAATGTGGAACCCACAATCAAGTGTAGCCAAACATGGTTGACATGAACCATTGGTTTGTAGAGTACTGTTTTGAAGCCTCCAGTTTGGCATTATGGCCGTTGCCATGTTGGGTTTAGCTGCATTCATTGGCTGCTGTTTCCACTTATTCTTATATTCCAGATAAACAGTATAAATATGTTTCTGAAAAGATTTTAGGAGAGAAATAGGCAATGCAGTAACAGAATCTTCATCCACATTTGATCAGCTTTTTTGCCTTTATTTGTTGGACAGCTGAAGGTTGACAGGAAAGGGGGAGAGAGGGGGGGATGACACGCAGCAAAGGGCCACAGGTAGCATTTGGACCTATGGCCGCTGCAGGACGGACTCAGCCTTTGGTACATGGGGCGCCAGCTCTACCAGACTTTTTTGAAGCCAATGGAGCTGCCCCCTGCTGGCCCTTACATAAAATGCATGTTTAAGACACTTTGGTGTTGGCTTCACTTCACAGATCTGGAGACTGTCCTATGTAGACTGTGAATGGCTACATTTAATCACCCCCAATAGCACAAAGCACTGTGATAAAACAGGCAAAGGGTGACTAACTATGTTTTTCAGTAACTGTGAACTGTTTTCTCTGTCTCAGCCTCATGTATTTGCTCTGTTGTCCTTTATCATTTCTGTAGGACCATCTAGCAAGTTATGATGTAAATGGGAATGACCATGACCCAACACCACGTTATGACTCCCGCAATGAAAACATGTAAGAAAGAATACCGGCAAAGTCAACTTAAGGCTATTATCTGTAACCTCTCCACATTAAAATGTCTATAAACTCTAGAGCTATGTTCTATGTAGTTGAGTTGTGTTCTTCCATTATCCCAAATGTTTCCAACAATATTCAAACTCAGAGAAATCTGTCATTTTATTCAGGTAACACTGCGTTTCACCGGTCGCCTGTCAGTGGCGTCATATCCCCTTTGTGCCTGTGTCAGCGTTGTGGTTGTCTGCCAGAAGCTGTCATACATTGACTGTTTATCCAGTCTGAAGCCACATTGTTACCATCCACTGTTTAGATCTTGGTGCTTTTTAACTCAGATTTTTAACTTAGATTTGAACCGGATGAAGGATTTTAGTCATTAGACGTCTGGATCTTAAGTTATCAGAGAAACAAGCTGAGCTAATGTTAGCAGCAGCTTGGCTCGCAGCCCCTCCGGGACGTCCTTTGTCTGTCCAACAGTGTGGGAGAAGCAGTGATTTTTATTTAGCGGTTATAATCAACGGGTCCATTTGTTTTTTTAGAGGAGGAGACCTCTGTAGATAATAAGCAACCGAATTCATACTGTCAGGTTATTTTATTTCTAATATTCCCCTAGACATGTTTAGTATAATCTGCCCTTGAACTTGGCATTTAATTGATCACAGCTGTATGTCAAGTTTTATACCCTGTGTTTGCTCTCTGTATACATGTAGACATGGAACTCGGTGTGCAGGTGAAGTTGCAGCAGTGGCCAATAACTCCCATTGCATCGTGGGGGTTGCCTACAACGCTCACATTGGAGGTACAGTTTTCTGTCCTTTTCTCGACACTTGTTATCAATGCATTCTACTTATTAATTTAATGCCACAGCCCTAATTTCTTGTTAACCTGGATTGGCACCAATTTTCTACATGATGAATCCCTAATGACTCTGTTGATCTGGCTATTCATCAGGTCCAAATTATAATTATCCCAGTACTTATGGTACTTTGGTTTATGACCAAATAGCATGCTAAACTAAGGTGAACATGGTAAACATTATACCTGCCAAACATCAGCATAATAACATTGTTATTGTGAGCATGGGCTATACTTATGTTAGCATTTAGCTGAAAGAGAAGGCACTATCTATTTGGGGGAAGACTGGGTGCCCTATATAGCTATACTGTATATACATTCCATTTGAAACAAATTCAGTGTGGTGTTGAGATTAATGTTACCTTGGACTCAGGGATACGAATGCTGGATGGGGATGTGACTGATATAGTAGAGGCCAAGTCCCTGGGAATCCGGCCGGACTACATCGACATCTATAGTGCCAGCTGGGGGCCAAAAGATGATGGCAAGACAGTGGATGGCCCTGGGCCGCTAACTAAGCAGGCTTTTGAGCAAGGCATCAAGAAGGTTTGATCAGTCACAAAGAAAAAACAAAATATCTCTAAGCAGGCTTCTGTAGGTATGGTTGGAGTTTGAGTGGCTTTGTATTTCTATACACAGGGCCGCAAAGGCCTGGGGTCAATTTTTGTCTGGGCATCGGGTAACGGTGGTCGGCAGGGTGATCACTGTTCATGTGATGGTTACACCAGCAATATCTACACCATCTCCATCTCCAGCACCACAGAGAATGGAAACAAGCCCTGGTACCTAGAGGTCTGCAGCTCCATCATGGCCACAACCTACAGCAGTGGAGAGTTTAATGAGAGGAAGATTGTGAGTACTGGATAAATCACTGTTTAATCAACTGTAGCTCAGACAGACATAAAGTATAAAATATGTGTTAGGTGAGAATAAAAATTAGTTGCATATATTAAATGAATACATTTCTAATAGTAAAAGTACAATGTGCACATAAAAGAAAGAAATAATAAAAAATAATATATATAATATATATTATCAGTTTTAGTATTACTCTCCTGTAAAGTTGGTCAAATGTGGCTTACGCCCCCCGGGTTCTCCATCCATATGACGTGTTTATGTTCTAGTCATTTTACTGGGGAATAGACCAACCACTATCTTGCTGTAACCTGTGGATAAAAAGTAAAAAAAAGTGTACAAAAGTTATTATAAAGGTGTAATTTGAGAGTTGGAGTGGAGGATGTGTTTGTTTAGACTGCTTCTCACATTATGTGCAGAGTAGGATATAGAAAATAAGAGAAAGAAGACTGCCCCACTAAAGTGCAGCACCCTGCTCCAGTTAACAACAAACTGTGAGATTCTGGAGCTGGGTCCAGTCTTGGCCATGGCTCGTAGCCATGTCTCTCTGTGGCCCGTTTCCTCAGTGCAAATATTGTGCTTTGGCTTGTGTAAAACTAACCAGAGTGAGGAGAGAACGAGCTCCCTAGTGAAATGCGTATGGTGGAGGCTGGCTAAGTTGAGTCAACTTCCAACACCTGTCATACTTTTTTACAAGCAGTGTGTAAAAGCTGTCTGATCATGGCCTTTGAATAAAGAAGGATCTCGATCAAGACAAATCAAATAATTGAACAATGATGTTAAACAGGTCTACAGAGTTAGACGTATTATTACTGGACGACAGGGACCTGTATCCAAAAAAGATCCAATTACCTTGCAGATGGCAGATGAACTCACAAAGTCACATGAATCCATCTTACCAAGCTTCAAGCTATGTGCTTGTCTGAACCACAGTGGTTTGGACCAATCAGTTTCCTTTAAGGAACTGCTGGGAATGTGCAGTGAGGAGTGACTGTTTGAAAAGGACAGTGGTGGCTCAGTTCTATCAGAACTGGAGAAAGAAGAGCAAAGAACGGCATAGAAGGCTTTTTGCCACAGAAAATATTTCTTCTCTCCTCTCCCGACTGGATTACGGGTTCATTGATCTGAATGGTGGAAGTTTCCCCGTGATAGATTGTGATAGACACATGGTTCATCCAATCACCTGCTGAGTATTTTTGAAAGTGCCTGCCCTTTTCCAAACAGTTTGCAATGACGACTTCCCAGATGGTTCAGTGTAACAGGGGCAAGATGACTCTTTACAACTGGACTATGTTTGGGCTCCCTTGCAGGTAACCACTGACCTCCGGCAGCACTGCACTGATGGTCATACTGGCACTTCTGTCTCTGCTCCCATTGTGGCAGGAATCATAGCTCTCGTCCTGGAAGCCAAGTCAGTTGAGTGTTTTTACTCTGTCACACTGTTTTTCTCCTTCACCATAGGTCCTCTCTCTTTCCTTGCATCTCTTCAGGTCTGACATCGAACCCAGGGGTGCTAAGACAATCGTATCTCCATACTGCTGGTTATACCGCCAAAAGTATTTTCTCTTAATTAGCTAAAGAAAATTGTCATCTGTTCAGATGTCTGATGAAATTCACCTAGAGCATGTGACAACTGTGACTCTGATATATCTATTAGACTCATAAGCTTCCACTTATAATGATTTATATAACGGATCAATTTCAAGGGTGGTTGTACTTTTTCAACTCATTAAAGAATGATAACATTGACACCAATACCTTACCCTCAAATATGATCTACTTGACAGGGACTGTTCTCACAGGAAAAGGACTAATGGGAAAATCTTTTACCAGTCGGCTGTGGCAACTGCAGTATTTCTTACTGCAGTGTGCTTGGGCAGCAGTGTCAGAACCACAAACTTAACAAAGTAGAAAAAGTTGGCACACCATCAAAGCAATCTTCACACTGTATTAAAACATCACTGCTGACGCATTTTGCCCATAGGCTTTCTTCAGAGCATGCATGCAAGACCCTAATTTAATGCAGGTGGTTGTGAACTCTCACATAGCCAAAAGAGGCAAGAAAAAGGATAGAAAACAGAAATCCAAGCCAAGTAACTCTATCTTGATTCAAGGCTGCACGATAGAGATTTTGTCTTCTCCTGTCTTGCAGGTGAAAAGATATTATTTTACTGTGTCACATGCCAGACTTTCCTTGCTTTGCTTTTGTTTTGTAAAAACCCGAGAGCCTTTCCAGCAAGCCAACATGCGCAATAGCAGCACCCTGACTCTGTTTGACCTGAATGGAACATAGCCTTTATTAGTATCATTGGTAACTACTGTGATTACCCTGCTATTTGTCAAATGCCAAACAAAGCTAGTAAAGATAAAGGTCACTAGCTGATCTGTCTGAACGAATGAGATGAGCTGTGTCTATGTTTCCTACAGCCTTTTGCTGACATGGAGGGATGTGCAACATCTTCTGGTGAAAACATCCAGACCAGTCCACCTGAAAGCTGACGACTGGATGATCAATGCTGCCGGACATACAGGCATGCTGCATTCTTCTTCTATTACTAACATAGTACATTGACTGTTTTGTAGCCTATAAAAATGTTTTGTTCTGTGAAGTAAAATGAATGTTATGAAGGCCATTTCAGCAACACAGAAGCCTTCGGTAATAATAGAAGCATAATTACTCTCTTCAAATTGCTGTTGTGTAATCACTGTCTTTTCTTACAGTCAGCCACCTGTATGGTTTCGGCCTGGTGGATGCAGAGGCCATGGTGTTGGAGGCTAGGAAGTGGATGACTGTTCCTCATCAGCACACCTGTAGTCAGATTCCTGAGCGTCGTACCAGGTGAGGTGAACTGCAGGCAGGTGTAGCTGACTGTATACTTCTTGCAGAAATTAAACCTGGCAAGTCACTAGGCTTACTTCTATACCCCACTTACACTGAGTCACTTTGTGCATCTGGGCTGAATCAGCTCATTTTATGATCTTTAAAAAGCGTAAATGCATCCAAGAAGCATTCAAAACGGATTGAAACTGTTTAAACAACCTCTGGAGGAGGTTTAAGACTCATTCTAGCCAGATTGACACACACACACACACTCTTTACTCCTCCCTCTGTGTAACTGTAAGCAGTGTATGGAAATATTTACTTACTGTCTTAATAGTTCGGCCTGCACCTGCTCTATTTGAAAAGTGTCCTGAGATAACTTCTGTTATGAATTGGCACTATACAAATAAAATTGAATTGAATTGAATTAATACATCCGCCTCTTCTGGCCTTGTCCTAAAGTTACACTATAATGAATAATTGAGCAAGCAATTTGTTCTGTCTCATTAAAGCAACAGGGAAAATGCAATCAAATCAAATCTGATCCCTGATCAGTTTGACCAATAAGCATTGATCTGTGTGGGTGAGGGAGTGCCATGAGTTACAGCTGTGAAGATGATCAAACTTTTCACCCATAGTTCATACATACAATTTCATATGTTTATATGTATGTTTATGGGTAGGTGTTAGCTAATGCTAGAAAACTGTTTGAGTTTTTTGAAGTGAACTACATGGTCAGTTTATTACCTGCAGTAGACAGAGATTGCATGGAAGCAGTGCAATGCACTGCTGAGGATGGAGGCCTGCAGAAAAACAAACGTTAGTTGCATAAAAGAGGTCCCAAAAAATAGTGTACGCTATATTTAGAAGTTCACCGCTTTACGTTGTTTCTTTGGCATTAACTACAGAACTTCCATATTATTTTATTTTGGAGCTATTTGTTTAGAGTTAAAGCATTACAGCCCAGAAAAAACACAAGCATGCACCATCTTTGAAATCTTTAGAAATGTTTAAAAAGTTGTTTTCAGTCTGACCTCATGACTTTCTGACTAAGTCTGATAAGCTGACTCACCCTAAGTTCTGTGTTTTCTGTGTCCTATGTTTTTTATTTATTATTTATTTTTATTTACACTCTTCTGTTTCCTCTTGTGCATTCACACTGAATAGTCATCCAACCTCCAGATGAATCCGATGTTTCACTCAAACAGTGTTGAGGCATCTTGGCCTTAATTCACAACACCCATGGGCAACTGTTGACCTCCTAATTGACTTCATAATACAATCATGCCTCTGTGCTTTGCATTCTGACTGAACAGACGGACTAGTATACGGCCATACCACCCTGATCTTGTCTGATCTCGGAAGCTAAGCAGGGTTGGGCCTGGTTAGTACTTGGAAGGGAGTTTCCTGAGCTTCTGTTATGATTTGCTACTATACAAATAAAATTGAATTGAACTGAAAACACTTCAGAGTTAAAAAAAAAAAAAAAAAAGACCAACAGAATGCATGACTTCAGAGGTAAAGAAACAGTTTGACAGTCTTCACTTGAAGATATTACAAGGATGCAAAAAAGTCCAAAAAGGTCTTGGATGGGGCAGAATCCAAAATACTCAAGCTTGGCCAAAAATCAGGATCAGAAAATTACAGGCAAAATACTGACGCTGGAAAGCTAAGGCTGACCGCACATAGACAATCTGGCAGTCGATGTGAACCAGTATGCTGGGAGCTAATGAGGTAATGAGGTGATTGTGGTGAATGGGTGAGGTGACTCTAATCAGAAGACTGGCTTGAGGGAGTGGCTGGGTCTGAAATGACTGTGATTAATTAATTAATGAATGTCCTTAATATGAACGCCACAAGTTGATATCTGGTTGTGACTCCAGTATGCAGAGCGTGTGGAGGTCAATCTATTCTAACAGTTTCCATGTGTTCACATAATGCTCATGCTTACGGCTGTCTCAGGTACATCCATGCTGGCCAAAGTCTGAACAGCAGCATTACCACCACTGGGTGTTCAGAAGACCCTGAGCAGCACGTGGATTACCTGGAGCATGTGGTGGTCAAGGTTCTGGTTGTCCACCCGCGACGAGGAGACCTGGAGATCAACCTCATCTCTCCGTCTGGGACGAGATCACAACTACTGGCCAAGAGGTGAGAGTGACACAAAGGCCTCAGTTGAATCTATTCATGCAGATGCTGCAGTTTCAGTTTTCAGTAAGTGTGGAGAGGTTTGGACAGGCTTTGCTATTGAAAACAGTTCACAGTGAGGTCGGTGGATGACAAGCCCATGAACAAGAACCCTTGTGGGTCTTTTATCCTCTTTCATCAACCTGTCTGTTGGACCCAATCCCAACTAGGCTGCTTAAAGAAGTCGTACCCTTATTTGGCACTTCTTTACTGGATATGATTAATCTTTCTTTATTATCAGGATATGTACCACAGTCCTTTAAAGTAGCTGTAATTAAACCCCTTCTTAAAAAGCCCACTCTTGACCCAGGGGTTTTAGCCAACTATAGACCGATTTCTAACCTCCCCTTCCTCTCTAAGATTCTGGAGAAAGTAGTCGCCAAATAGTTGTGTGAATTTTACATAACAATAGTTTATTTGAGGATTTTCAGTCAGGATTTAGAGTTCATCACAGCACAGAGACAGCTCTGGTTAAAGTTAATAATGACCTTCTGATTGCTTCAGACAATGGACTTGTCTCTGTACTTGTATTATTAGATGTTAGTGCTGCATTTGACACCATTGACCATAATATTCTTTTACAGAGACTTGAGCATCAAATTGGCATTAAAGGAACCGCACTAAGCTGGTGTAATATTACAAAAATTAGACACATCCTATCACAGACAGATGCAGAAAAACTAATCCATGCATTTGTTACTTCAAGGCTGGATTACTGCAACTCTTCATTATCAGGTTGCCCCAATAAGTCCATTAAAACGCTCCAATTAATTCAGAACGCTGCAGCACGAGTACTGACAGGAACTAGAAAAAGAGATCACATCTCTCCTGTACTAGCTTCTCTGCACTGGCTCCCTGTAAAATGTAGAATAGAATTTAAAATCCTCCTCCTCACCTATAAAGCTCTTCATGGTCAGGCCCCTTCATATCTTAAAGAGCTCATAGTACCCTATTACCCCACTAGAACACTACGTTCTCTGAATGCTGGGCTACTTGTGGTTCCTATAGTCTCTAAAAGTAGAACAGGAGCCAGAGCCTTCAGTTACCAAGCTCTCCTTGCTAGCTGATTGATAGCTGGCTATGTTTACAGTAACCAAAGCTAAGCCAGTTATCCCAAAAATAAAAGCCCACTGCTCTGAAAACATTCTGAAGTTGGAGTTCAGTGACTGCTGGCTTTACTACTTTCCAGACCCCATTTATATATTTCTGAATTTAAGAGATAACTGTTAAATCATTTCATATGTATTTCAGAGTAGTAGCCTACTGTTCTTCTTTGTTGCAGCCCGATGCAGACCTCAGTTACGAAGTGCCCTCACCAGTGTCAAGTGAAGCGAGGGCTGGTCAGATGCCAATGATACTACAAACAGAGGTCAGAGGACAAGCTAGAGGAAGAATGAGAGAGAGTGCAGGTCCTAGTGAGAGAGGTGGCAGCAGATGAGGTGGTGGTGGAATCAGAGAGGGGAGAGGAGGCAGAGGAGGAGGAGATAATTCAGGTTCTTCAAAATTAAAGAAGTTTGTATTTTCAGACATTTTGACGATGTATGCAACTTAGTACAGTACAATGTTACAATAGTTTATCAAGTAAAAGATTAGGCTAATGTGGTTGCATCTGTGATCTGTTTACTTAGGTACTCATTCAACAGATTGTGGTGGATCTCTGGGAGTTGGCGAGACAGCTTTTTTCCATGGAGCCAGGGCTAGTTTTTGATGCTCTGATGATCCACCAGAACCTGCATCCTATTGTTTGTTTGGGAACTGTATGTAAATGCCAACAGACTGGGCCCAGACATTGTATTAGCCAGCTACCACACTTTAATTCAATTTAATTCAATTTTATTTATATAGCTCCAATTCATAACAGAAGTTATCTCAGGACACTTTTTAAATAGAGCAGGTCTAGACCGAACTCCTTATAACATTATTTACAGAGACCCAACAGTACCACCATGAGCAAGCACTTGGCGACACTTCACCCTCTACTGTCTTAAAGACAGCTATATGCATCTGCACTGACAGTACGAGAATGAAGTGTTGGTGACTGGGATGACAACCAGGAGTTCCAATACGCTGCTTATTGGCAGTACATCTTCTGGCAACATGGGTCATTGGTTCAAGGAAACAGGCTTGTTCTCTCTAGCTGCTGTGTCTGGCAGATCAGGGTCAAGTGCCTCGGGGCCAGTAAACTGGGTTTCTCCCTCACCTCTCAACAGTAAGCTCTCTTTCTCTGATGGCATTCCCATGCAAACCTTCTGGAGCCAGGTGGATCATCATAACACCCAGCTACCTCAATTTGATTTATTTATTGTTATACTGAAGATCCTTCCAGGTTTAACCTGATTTATCCTTCCAGGTTTAACCTTATTTATGATACCACTGTTGTTTGTTTTTGGAGTTATTAAAGAACACAACAAGAAATATAAAGTGACTATTGGCACAGGTTTGAGGCTCCTACTCCAGTGGAAATTGCAGCTCATCAGTCTGTCTGGAATGCTGGCACTGTTAAGAATAATTGCAATTTGGTTATTGTGTTGTGGACTAGTGCCTGCTACCATGGTCCTGCTTGACTCCCACTGCTAATATTACTGATATTATTATTATTATTATTATTATAGAACAGAACTAGGACTAGGTTTGGTACATAAACTCTGCCTGCATACCATCTAGGCTATCTTATCTAATACAAATCATGTATCAGTTTTAGACTATTTGATTTTGTTACTGAAGTAATGTGTATGTGCAAATTTAGCTGTCATTAGATAGCCAGGATATTTTAGTGAAACAATGTTGGATGCATACTAAAGTTTGTGGCACCACATTGTGGAATCCATATTTCTTTGTGTACATAGGTTGATTATGCCATATTCTTTTTAACTCTGAGACTCCAAGCACCTCCATTTTTTCATTTCAATTTTATTTGTGTAGTTATCTCAGGACACTTTTCAAATAGAGCAGGTCTAGACCAAATGCCAATTTGATGCTCAAGTCTCTGTAATAGAATATGATGGTCAATGGTGTTAAATGCAGCACTAAGATCTAACAATACAAGTACAGAGACAAGTCCATTGACGGAAGCAATCAAAAGGTCATAATTAACTTTAACCAGAGCTGTCTTTGTGCTGTGATGAACTCTAAATCCTGACTGAAAATTCTCAGGAAGGGGAGGTTAGAAATCGGTCTATAGTTGGCTAAAACCCCTGGGTCAAGAGTGGGCTTTTTAAGAAGGGGTTTAATTACAGCTACTTTAAAGGACTGTGGTACATATCCTGATAATAAAGAAAGATTAATCATATCCAGTAAAGAAGTGCCAATTAAGGGAACAACTTCTTTAAGCAGCCTAGTTGGGATTTGGTCCAACTGACAGGTTGATGGCTTAGATGTAGAAATTATTGAAGTTAATTGATGCAGCTCGATAGCAGAAAAACAGTCTAAGAGTATATCTGATTTTACTTTTGTTAAAATTCCTGTATTTGGAGAGACAGCTGTACCTGTTGAGGGCATTTGGTGATTCATTTTGTCTCTAATAGTAATAATTTTATCATAAAAGAAGCTCATAAAGTCATTGCTACTGAGGGTTATGGGGGTATGTGGCTCAATAGAACTGTGACTCATCTTGGCTACAGTGCTGAAAAGGAACCTGGGGTTGTTCTTATTTTATTCTATTAGTGCGGAAAAATAGGCTCCTCTGGCATTATGGTGGGCCTTTCTATATGTTTTAAGATTATCTTGCTAGGTTGAACGAGATTGTAATGGTTTGGAAGAGCGCCATTTGCTTTCAGATTTCCGCACTTTTTGTTTTAATTGGTGGGTTTGGTGGTTGTACCACGGTGCTAGTCTCCTATATGTTTTAATATTTTCCTTTTTATAGGGGCAATAGAATCTAGTGTTGTTTGCAGTGAGCCTGCAGCACTATTAACAAGATGATCAATTTGGGAGGGACTAAGGTTATTGTAGGAATCCTCTGTTATATTCAGAAATGGCATTGAATTAAACATTGATGGAATCTCCTCCTTGAATTTAACTACAGCACTGTCAGATAGACATCTGCTGTAGGAAGTTTTGCCTAGTGGCTTGTAATCTAGTAATAGAAATTCAAATGTTATTAATGGTCAGATAGAAAAGGATTTTTTGGGAAGATTATTAAATGTTCAGCGAGGTCAAGAGTGTGATTAAAACAATGAGTTGGTTTATTTACACTCTGACAGAAGTCAGTTGAGTCTATTAATGAGATAAATGTGTTACTAAGTCATTTTCAACATCCACATGAATATTAAAATCACCTACAATAATTACTTTATCTGATTTAAGGACTAAACTTGATAAAAACTCTGAGAATTCAGATATAAAATCAGAGTACGGTCCAGGAGCGTGGTACACTATAACAAATAGAACTGGCTGAAGTGTTTTCCAGTTTGGGTGAGAAAGACTAAGAACAAGGCTTTCAAATGAATTATAATTTAGTTTAGGTTTAGGATCAATTAAAAGGCTTGAATCATATATGGCTGCTACTCCACCTCCTCGGCCAGTGCCTCGAGGAATGTGAGTATTAATATGACTGGGGGGGGAGATGATGATAGATGATGAATGAGTAGAACGAGCCAGTGGATCTCTGTGTCTCAAATATTCACGGCTTTGATAACCCAGCTGCACACGGGTCACAGAGAGAGTTTGTATACTTGGTTTATCTTTATGTGGACTAATCCCTACAGCTTGTGTCTCCATAAAGTCACCTTCGTCACATCTCATTTCACTTTTACTGTTATGTTTACAGGTTGTTTGACAGTTCCAATGAGGGTTTCAGGAACTGGGAGTTCATGACAGTTCATTTCTGGGGCGAGAGAGCAGAGGGTACATGGACTCTGGAGATAATTGACTCACCGTCAAAACTACGCAATGCTGAAGTGCTGGGTAAGGTCCAACAACACATGTAAACTCAGGCACACGTTCACATTTAGATTTACCATTGCAATTGAAGATGATGTCTTTATCCAGAGCAACTTAAAAAAGGCTTTATTTGTATGATTATTATTATTATTATTATTATTATTATTATTATTATTATTATTGTTTAGGCAACCTAAAAGAATGGACACTGATCCTTTATGGCACATCTCAGAACCCTTACCAGCCTGGCAGTGCTCAGCACTCCCATTCAAGGATGCTGGAGATCCCAGCCCCAGAGGAAATCCTGGATGGGCCAGAACTGGATGAGGAAGATGAGTACAATGGTGAGAGAATCACACTTTCACATCTAAAGTGAAATGACAAGTATGTTATAAAAAATGTGCAGGACTGACACAAGCAGCAACCTCCGTGGCTGCAAATGAAGACAACACAGAAGTAACACAAACTTCAAGTCCTTAAACGTCCACTTGAGGCTGGCTCCAGTAATGAGTCAATCTCCGTAAGGCCCCATATTAAAATGCCCAGATGTCATAGTCATAACATGTTAGAATTGGCAGTAAGCCGACATACATTTTTTCACGTCTCCCTATAGAACCAAAGTGGAAATGATCTCATCCAATGTTATAGAACAATGAACAGAAAGAGATTGTTGTGGAAATAGATTTATAAGCTGATTGCACAGTTGATGAAGATGTTGGAGATGATGATGACAGTGGTGGTGTTGATCATAGTTAATGTGGTGTTTGTCAAGGACCATGCCACAGTGAGTGTGGAAACCAGGCCTGCGATGGACCAAAAGCTGACCACTGCCTCAACTGTGTCCACTTCAGCTTTGGCAGCTTGAAAAGTGGAAGGTAAGAGTTGATAGAAGAAAATGGAACCCGACCAGGTAAAGTGAAAAGTCACAAACTTTAATATACAATGTGTAATTTATTTCATCCTCATGAAATCCTTATCTATCAGTCGTGTTATACTTTGTAGAGTAGCATGAGATTAAGGAAGTTGTTGTTATTGCAGTCAGTTTCTCCTGGTTTGGATTCCTTCAGTGTTCATGGTTCAGGAGGTTTCTACCAGGGGGCAAAATTTTCAACAGAGGTCTCCTCCTCTCCAAAACAAACAGACCTGCTGATTAAAACCGCTAAAAACACTGAATAAAGCAATTACACCTTTTAAAAATAAAAAGATGTTTGTCTGACGCTGGAAAGGACGTCCCAAAGAGGCTGCAAGCTGGGAGATTGGAGTTTGGTGGTCAAACGTCACTGTGACCTCAAAATCACTTAACCAGATAATGTCTCTTTTTCTCTCTCTGTTTCTCTGCTAAATGCTAAAATAAGTCGCCACCCACTATAATTGATATACTGGACATCCTGCCCAAGTGAATCTATGTGTGCATCATCTGATCGGCTCCTTTATACATTCAGAATATCTGCTCATAATGATCGGTGGCAAGCACTCAGGCCACACTTTGTTAAGTTGTTAGTTGGTACAAATAACTTATATTGAACTGACACTATGTGGTTAATTTGCTCCACTTGTTTCATCAAAGTCGCTAATGTTCAAATGAATCAATTCTCAAAATCTCAATGCATAGCCACTGATTTAAAAGCACCAGTACAATACAGCTGTCAGTAAGGTTACCTGTTCAATGTAAACCAATGTTCTTATCATGTGTGACAGAAACACCCTACTGCTTCTGCAATCAAACTCTACTGAAATATTGTGGTTCTTAAGCTCTGCAACATTGAGTTTAACCAATTAAATGATCCCTCCACCAAGATCAGCTCAGCTTTTGAGAAAAATATATATATATAAAAAACCATATAGTCCATAATCTACTGTCAGCTAACTCTCTTTGTGTGTGTGTGCGTGTTATGTAGAACTTGTGTGAGCCACTGTCCGCTGGGATACTACGAGGACATAGTGTCTCGTCGCTGTAGACGCTGTTATAAAGGTTGTGAGAGATGTGCTGCCCGATCAGCTGGCGATTGTCTCTCCTGTCGAAGAGGCTTTTACCTCAACATACTCAACTCCAGCTGCACTGATACCTGCCCCCCAGGGTACTTTGCTGATGAGAGTAAGTCAATACATCTACTGTAGACCCATGAATGTGTTGGGGGTGTGTGTGGTTATTGCTGGTATCACAGTTTAGATGTTTGGATATTACACACCACAACTTTTACTCCCCTGCCTAAAACGCTCTGAAACTGTCTCTTAAACTTATAATGTTTCTGTTCCACATTTTTTCATTCAAATATACAATGTAAAAAAGAAATGGCTGAAGATTAAAATGTAAACTACTACTACTAAGTTATAATGTGGAAATATACAACTGTAAAACAAGCCCCAATCCACTCAAGTCACTCATCTACACAGAACATGTAGAATCACTTTCCCATAGAGTATATACACTGAACAAAATTATAAACGCAACACTTTTGTTTTTGCCCCCATTCATCATGAGCTGAACTCAAAGATCTAAGACTTTCTCTATGTACACAAAAGGCCTGTTTCTCTCAAATATTGTTCACAAATCTGTCAAAATCTGTGTTAGTGAGCACTTCTCCTTTGCCGAGATAATCCATCCACCTCACAGGTGTGGCATATCAAGATGCTGATCAGACAGCATGGGTATTGCACAGGTGTGCCTTAGGCTCGCCACAATAAAAGGCCACTCGAAAATGTGCAGTTTCACTGTATTGTGGGGGTCCGGGGGGGTCCGGAAACCAGTCAGTATCTGGTGTGACCACCATTTGCCTCACGCAGTGCAACACATCTCCTTCGCATAGAGTTGATCAGGTTGTTGATTGTGGCCTGTGGGATGTTGGTCCACTCCTCTTCAATGGCTGTGCGAAGTTGCTGGATATTGGCAAGACCTGGAACAGGCTGTCGTATACGCCGATCCAGAGCATCCCAAACATGCTCAATGGGTGACATGTCCGGTGAGTATGCTGGCTATGCAAGAACTGGGATGTTTTCAGTTTCCAGGAATTGTGTACAGATCCTTGCAACATGGGGCCATACATTATCATGCTGCAACATGAGGTGATGGTCGTGGATGAATGGCACAACAATGGGCCTCAGGATCTCATCACGGTATCTCTGTGCATTCAAAATGCCATCAATAAAATGGACCTGTGTTCGTTGTCCATAACACACGCCTGCCCATACCATAACCCCGCCGCCACCATGGGCCACTCGATCCACAACGTTGACATCAGCAAACCGCTCACCCACACGACGCCATACATGCTCTCTACTATCTGCCCTGTACAGTGAAAACCGGGATTGATCCATGAAAAGAACACCTCTCCAAAGTGCCAGACGCCATCAAATGTAAGCATTTGCCCACTCAAGTTGGTTACGACAACGAACGCAGTCAGGTCGAGGACGACGAGCATGCAGATGAGCTTCCCCGAGACGGTTCCTGACAGTTTGTGCAGAAATTCTTTGGTTATGCAAACCGATTGTTGCAGCAGCTGTCCAGGTGGCTGGTCTCAGACGATCTTGGAGGTGAAGATGCTGGATGTGGAGGTCCTGGGTTACACGTGGTCCTGGGTTTCACGTGGTCTGCGGTTGTGAGGCCGGTTGGATGTACTGCCAAATTCTCTGAAACGCCTTTGGAGACGGCTTATGGTAGAGAAATGAACATTCAATTCACGGGCAACAGCTCTGGTGGACATTCCTGCAGTCAGCATGCCAATTGCACGCTCCCTCAAAACTTGTGACATCTGTGGCATTGTGCTGTGTGATGGAACTGCACATTTTCGAGTGGCCTATTATTGTGGCCAGCCTAAGGCACACCTGTACAATACCCATGCTGTCTGATCAGCATCTTGATATGCCACACCTGTGAAGTGGATGGATTATCTCAGCAAAGGAGAAGTGCTCACTAACACAGATTTTGACAGATTTGTAAACAATTTTTGAGAGAAATAGGCCTTTTGTGTACATAGAGAAAGTCTTAGATCTTCAAGTTCAGCTCATGATGAATGGGGGCAAAAACAAAAGTGTTGCTTTTATAATTTTGTTCAGTGTATATAAAAGGGGCCTAATGACGCAGTGGTGTCTCACATCAGCAAAAATATGGTGTCTTTTGTCATTTTCTATTAAGAATAAAATCTATTAAAAAGGTCCAGTGTTTAGGATTTAGTGGCGATGTAGTAGCGGGCAGGCAAAATGATCCGAGGCACACAGAGAAGCAGGGTTAGTGAATCAACAAGTTAACAAGAACAACATATCTAAAACACACAATTCTAGAGGCCTGAAGCCCATAGTACCACTGTTGGTGATTTAACAGAGCCGCAGTTGACTGCAGGGTTTATTAGTGGATGGGCTTCAGGTACAGCTTTGAGCAGGAGTGAAGAATCAAGACCCAGAGGATAGAGAGCGATGCCACGTCCACCACACACAGACACACACACACACACACACACACACACACACACACACACACACACACACATTCATTGGCATTCATCTTTCAACCTTTATGTATCAAAAAAAATATATAAACACTCCTGGAAACCTGGAAACATGTTTTGAAGCAACCTCACACAAAGATTACTCATTCAAAACCAACTTTAATGAGAGAACCACTTAAACTGAAGGACTGGAGCGCCCACTATAGGCACTATATAAAACAACATATCAATACAATGTCTGAAATTATATAATAGAAACTTGGAATGGAGTTTTTGACTATTGGTCGCTATGGAGCAATGCTTTTTATTTGTGAATCCTTCTTACGCTATCCAACTGACTGACAGTGTTGGATGTTGTGTGAGTACCCCTATTGTGTACTGCCACCTCCTGGTGAGTCTAGGTACGCACCCCTGAACGCCTGCATGATTTTTTTTTTTTTGTCCCACCAGAATTCTGGGAAAACCCGCCCTACTCTGCCTCTGATTGGCTAGTGTTTATTGCCGTCGTTGGTTAGGTTTAGGCATGAGGAGTGACATAGTTAGGGTCAGAAAATGTTCATGATTAATCGACCCACCTAGGCACTGACATCTGGCAATGATGTAAACAGTGCAAAATAATAAAAAATGTGGCTTTGAAAAGGTTTTACGGGGAAGAAAATGCATACATATTAGAAATCAAGAAGACCTTATTTTGTTCCCACTTTATTGATGCTTGTGCATGCTGTCTGTGTCAGATCAGAGACAGTGTCTGAAGTGCCTTGACCCTTGTATGAGATGCCTGAGGTATGCAGACAGATGCACTGCCTGCAGAGAAGGGTACAGGTATGTAGAGACAGTAAGCCATCTATACTTGAACTTTGGTTTAAAACTACGTATTGTAATCTCGTTGTTTTTTTGTTTATAGTCTGGCGGGGATGACTTGTGTTCCTGAATGCACCAATGGAACCTTTTTCCATCTGGAAGAGATGACATGCAGCCCGTGCCATTCCTCTTGTAGGACTTGTACAGGTCAGTGTGTCTAGGTTTGAACAGTGGCAGCAGAAATAAAACTTCTTAGTCATAAGGTAAATGCTGATTTAGAAACCTGAGGTAAACAAGACCTGTGGCCTAACAGACAAATCTGAAGAGATTCAGGTATAGACATGAATATAGTTGGGTTTTTCCAAGCTATGTGTTCCTAATAATGTGACCTGGAAGTTTTCATCTTGCATGACATCAAGCTCTATATGTCCCAGGGCCAGGTAAGGAGGAGTGTATCCAGTGTGCTGAGGACTACCTGCAGCAGGAGTGGAGGTGTGTGCAGACCTGCATTCCTGGCTACTACTCTGGAGAGGCAGCAGGAGTCCCTCATAAGATGTGTCACAGGTGTGTGATTGTCTTTGATGCTGTCCCCTCGGGTATCATTTCATGAAATGTTTTTTTTTCATATTTGCTGAATCTTTCACTATATCCTGACAGTAGTAGTACAGTAGTACATGAGAATCAGGGAAAAAATCTGTTTCATATGGCTCCTCCTAGTGCTCCTTATGGAATTTGCCAAAATACAGATGTTTGGGTTGGTGGCTTGAAACTTTGGGAACCAAAGCATCGGTGAAGACATTGTAATAAGACACAATCATCCATCTTTCTGATTGGTTGTTATCATTCAGGCCCCGTGGATTCTTACAAACACCATTATGAGCAGAACCAGATTTTTTCAAAACTAAATTATAATTCATTTGAAAGCCTTGTTCTTAGTCTTTCTCACCCATCCTGGAAAACACTGCAGCCAGTTCTATTTGTTATAGTGTACCGCGCTCCTGGACCGTACTCTGATTTTATATCTGAATTCTCAGAGTTTTTATCAAGTTTAGTCCTTAAATCAGATAAAGTAATTATTGTAGGTGATTTTAATATTCATGTTTCACCAAATGTTAGTATTTTTACTTATTCAATTCAATTTTAATTTTTAAGCAAAAAGCCAAACTTTACAGAGCTCAATGTCCATATCAAACTGCCTTTTTTTTTTTGTCCCCCTGGCGTACTTGTTATTATAATGCTGTATACACAAGCCAAGCTGTTTGAACTTGTTGTATACTTGTTAAATAAGTTTCTTTAAAATAAACACAAAAAACCCCCAAAGCAATCAAATATATGTCTCCCTAGTTAGGCTAGCTATGATTCTAAATCCAAAACCGAAAGAAAATAGACGGTTTGTGTGTGGACAGATTTGTTTGTTTCCACCACAACAGGTTTACCAGTATGCTTGATGTGTGGCAAGAATGGCTCTTTCTATAGTAAAGGTTGGTGACCACTGGAATAAAGTCTGCTGCAAAATCTAAATCTTGGATCGTTCTTTTATCACACTTACATCTGAATTGTACACCTGACATCTGGTGCAGTGGCAGAAGCTTCAGTTTCAGTATTTTAATTTCAAAGTAAAATTAATGACAATTTTGCAAGCATCTCCCTTTCTATAAAAAGAAACAGGTGTTTAAGATTGGATGATTCCAGGTCTGTTCTACTGTATCTGTGTCTCTCCAGGTGTGAGGAAAACTGTCTGAGCTGCAGTGGCCCCGGAACCACTTGCACCAAATGCAAAGAGGGTTACAGTCTGGTCAGCAGGACTTGTATTGTGAATGCATTCTGTAATAATGGTGAGTCTGAAGTTATATAAGTCTACATCAGCTTTATTCACCTGGGTTTTTTGTGTCACATACACTTCTGCTGGCAATACTGGAGCTGCTGTGAGCGACCTCCAACATCCAACATTCATTTCTGTATTTTTATCTGATCTATTTTATGTGACTTATGACTAGTATAATTAACCTTCCTCTGCACTTTACTGCTTTGCACTTCTGGTTAAATGCTAACTGCATTTCGTTGTCTAGTACTTGTACTTGTGCGATGACAATAAGCTGAATCTAATCTAATCTTTCTGCCTTGCAGACCCATTGGATTTGCATGCCAAAAGACCTAAAGGCACTCTGTAAGAGCAATGTTTTTACTAGGGATGGGAATCGAGAACTGGTTCCGAATTGTCTGATCCATCGGAACTGTGTTCCACTGAGCTTATCAATTCCTTTTATCAATGCCAGCATGTTTTTCAGTTGTGCACTGCAAAACAATGACGTCAAACTTGTATATCTACGCTGCTGGGAACAACAAAGAGGAGTTAGGGTTGCAGGCCTTCATTTCACAAAGAAACTCAAACTACTTTAACGCTACTCTGTTTTTTACACTGTGTTCATACTCAGAGATCATAAAACAGTTGCGACTACTTTTTTCCATACAAAAAATTGTTCAAGAATCAATCAGTAAGGGTATCGATAAGAAATCGGGTCGATAAGCAGAATCTATAATAGCATCGGTATCAATAAAATCTTATCAATTCCCATCCCTAGCTATTATGGGTGACTGCGCATTGTGTGTCAATCATGAAAACAGTCAAGCACATGGGTGCCAGGATTCACACACATTGAGCAATGTTGAATGTTAAAAAAAGTCAGTGGTTCCAAAGTTGGAGGTCCATGGCAGATTGGAGGGATTGCGAAGATACACTTATCAAAAAAACTTGAGAACTGGCCAAAGTACATCCACCAAAAGGTTTAAACAACTATCTGGCGATGAGCGGTTGATATATAGGGCGGCTGTGACTCAGAGCCAGAGCGGATCGTCCCCTAATCGAAAGGTTGTTGGTTCGATCCCCGGCTCCTCCTGCCACGTGTCAAAGTATCTTTGAGCAAGATACTGAACCCTGAATTGCTCCTGATGCTGTGCATCAGTGTGTGAATGAGTTAGTTTCTGTTCGACTCTACCATCGCTGTGTGAAAGGGTGAATGTGGCACGTAGTGTAAAAAGCGCTTTGAGTGGTCAGAAGACTAGAAAGGCGCTATACAAGTACAGGTCCATTTACCATATACGGTTGATGGCGTGATGAGAGGCAGGAAGACGGATGATGAGCTGTTTTAGACCAGGTTTGTAACTGCAGCAGAGCAGGGAGCCAGAAAGAACAGACTCACTGCATGTGGGGGGTACAGTAGAGAAATGTGGGGGTACATTAGAGAGTGGCCCCCACTGGGCTAAACCACTTCTGGAAGCGGTCTGACTTGCATTGGGATCAGATCTCAGCCAGGTGTGAATGACGTTTGTAATAGGTGACCACATCTTTTAAAAAAGGCAAGAGGAGCAAAGACAATGGTAATACCAATTGACAGTTGAATCAAAAGTTCTTGTGCTCAGTCTTTATGCTGATCTCTATCTCTGCTCTGATCTGTCTGGCAGCTGATGAAGTGTTCTGTGAGATGGTCAAGTCCAACCGTCTCTGTGAGAAGAAGCTTTACCGACAGTTCTGCTGCCGTACCTGTCTGATGAACGGATGAGGAGTCTACCACACACCAACACTTGCTTCTTTTTTACTCTCATCAGTGTTAAAAAGAGAACTGAACTGGATCATTCAGTCAAAAACGAAGGTTTTGTTATGGAGGTAAAATTGCTATTAATTTGTGCTATTCATCTTAACAGTATATTTAAAGATCCCCTCCAGACATGTATTCAGACATTTATAAATAATAATAATAAAGTTTAATTTCTACATTAAAAACCTTAAAAAGTCATCTCCTCCTTACCTCCTTACATACCTCATTATAAATTCCAGAATCTCTGAATATGCAAATGTTGTTCATTTCTAAAGTTTTCCTGTTGGACACAAGATGTCTCCTACTTCACTGTAAAGTCCATTCTCAGTGGATGAGCACTGGTGGCTTCAAGTTTTTACATCACACTGTACAAGTTGCATCCTGGACCAGGACTGACTTCCTAACTATTGTGATGTCACAAATCATGCTGGTAGGACCCGTCCCTTAAAATCAGATTTTCAATGAGCACAGAGAGAGAAAGAGAGGACAGAGACAGAGACAAAGGTGCACAACAACAACTATACTAATAGAAATGACTGATGATGATGATGATGATGATGATGACAACAACAGCCACAACGATGGGGGACGATGGACAATAATAATAGTAACAATAATAATAATAATAATAATAATATCAGTATATCAGTGGCAGTCAAGCAGGACCATGGCAGGAGGCTCCACCAGGATCCATGAGAACCTGCGAGACGAGAAAGCACAAGAACTCCGGGGAAGAAGTGGAGTTAGTAACATGCATTAATGGGACATGAATGAGTGCAGAAAGAGAGAGAGACGAAGAGAGGAGCTCAGTGCATCATGGGAAATCCCCCGATAATCTAGGCCTATAGCAGCATAACTAAGGGATGGTTCAGGACTCACCTGATCCAGCCCTAACTATAAGCTTTATCAAAGAGGAATGTCTTAAGGGAGTAAGTGACATATTGTATGGATATTTCATATTATATCCAGTGTATAACAATAAAAGTAGAGAACAACTGATAAACAGTAGAATGAACCCAAACAGTGAACACAATAACAGGAATCACACAAATGCAGGAAGCGTGTGTAAAACCAGAGATTTGATTGAATTTTGAGTAGATTATTTCCTGTAAATGTTGCATTCAGAGATTAGTTTTTCTGATATTTTTAAGGAGCTTAATACAACTCTCTATTATTTACAACCTTAACTACTTAAGTGTTTTATTCTCTCTGATGCTTATACTATTAGCTCTTTGGTTGTTTAAACTGTGTACTTTTCTAATGCAGGACGAGACTGTGTATCAGAGAGTGAAGGTTCTGTAAATAAAGCTTGTGTTCAGGTCTTCAAAGTTTAGATGTTAAATAATAATCTAAACTTTTAACATTCATTTAGTTTTCTTCAAAGAAATGCTGAGATAAAGGCCTCCTACAGTGTATATTTTTACTTTTTCAAGAAGGCCTTGCGACCCCCTGTGAAGATTTGGTGCCCATAGTGGGGATCCCGACCCCTGGGTTGGGAACCACTCTTCAGAGTAATGTTTACTGTACGTATAATATGCATAATATGCATATCTAATATTTTACAATATTTAAATCAATACATATTGATGTTTTTAAAAAAACAGATGCATAGCCAGCCAGCTGCTTTCAACTGTCCATCACACTCTGAACCCCCACCCCCCGACAGGTGTGCCACCCCAACATTTTCAATGGCCCCATCTGGCCACCTTTCTGAAAATTTCATAGAGGCGCCAAATCATATGTTTAAGAAATGTAATGCCATAACTTGAAAAAAGGTATAGGGTATTTGATCCTACTAATAGGAAATGCTGACTTTAGAATGCACTGATGAAACACCTGTTTTGTTGTTCAGGTATGTAGACTTATGGAACATTATATTTTTTACAGCCATCTGAGCCCTAGTGGGTCTCTGGGGGTCTGCATTGACACATATGGCAGATGTAAAACATTTCATAGCACAAATCACACTTTATTATTACATTTGGACTGAAATGGTGAGAGCCCTAATGTCACGAAAAAAATGTGGATGGGGATGGAGCACAGAACCATGGCTAGCAGTCAATCGCATATGTTCCAGCTTCAAAGACACATATGGTCTGAAGTGTTCTAGAGGAAAACACACAACAGCTGCAAACTGGTGAGTGACCTGAGGTTTAAATTCTTGAGATGAACCAGCCGGAATGTTCTTTTTACATCCCCTGATAATAGTGTTTGTGTTTGTGTCCTCATACTGATGTTGTTCCTGGTAATGATGAAGATATTCTCATTATGGAACAGACGGGTTTGTTCTGTCTTATATCACTCTTCAGTCCTGTTAACGTCAGCGGCTTTACAAGTGAGGACACTATTTCATTTTGGAGTAAACACATTTCTCAATATATCTGGACAACAGATGCCATTAACAAGAGAATAACTTAAGCCTGTCAGTGAATTGCAGTTTGCGGTAGCACTGGTGCTTTCTGAGCTCTACATACCTGAACATACAGTTACAATATGTGCTCCACATTTCTAAATAGGGCTTTTAGCATGAGACTGAGATGTTTGTACAAACTGAACTGTTTAAGGACTACATTGGTCAAGGGAGAAACTGCACTTCACTTTTAAACCTGTTTTGGGGGTAAAGTTTTCTTTGTTAATTACCTGGCCTGTTGATTGTTATTATGCAACAGCTTACAAAAAAGAACACTTACATGTTGGTTACATCTGGGGCACGCAGTAGCTCATTTGTAGGTTGAATCCTTACCACAGCAGTCCAGGTTCGATTCCAACCTGCAGCCCTTTGCAATGTTTTACCAATGAGTCCCTTCTGCTAGCTAGTCCTGAGACCTAAATAACACCCAATAATGTTCAACCTCAGACCAAATCAATAAAGAGATGCTTGTCTGGAACCTTTGACAAATCAAACTCTAAACACTCAAAACAAACCTAATTGTTATCTGGCTCTAAACCACAAATACAAGTTGTCAGAGTATCTGTTTACTGTCAGAGATACAAAGCAGAGACGGATCCTCAGTGACCACAGTCTATCCATAGAAAAGGACAACACAGGAAGTCCTGGCTAGCAACAGAGGAAAGAGTCATTGCACAACAGGTGAGGTGGAGACAGAGATGCACTTTCTGTTCAAATGTGAAAGGTTGGAACACTTAAATACATTTCATTTGCTAAGAGTTAAATGACCATGGAAAACAACAGATCTTATTAGGAGAGGGACATACAGCAAACATAGCAGCACAATATGTGACTGCATGTCACAAACTGAGGGACACATATTTAAAATGTCCTTACTGAATGTGACACACACACACACACACACACTTTTTATGAATTGTATTTTTCTTTTCTTTCTTATTTTCATCATGCAATGTATTAATGTTATTTCATTGCATTCTTAATGCTTTGGTAATATTGCTTTTGTAAAATTCATGCAAATAGAGCAAATCAGAACTGAATGTATATCAGCTCTGGTTCTCCACCCACTTGTCGACAAATCAATGAATCACCCACTGTGGTAGACTGTCTCACACTCCTTCAGTTGTGCATTCAAGTTGTTTTTGCTCGTGTTTTTGGATTTGTTCCCATTGTGCCTGGTATCATTCACAGCACTTTAACATTTGTATTTAATGTAGTATTTAAATGTGATGGCCAAACTTTTTTGTAAAATAATCAGTGAAAACAGATTTAGTTTTACATTTTAAAGCTTTCAGCAATGCAGTCTACTGGTGTTATTCTTGATATTACCACTAGATGACAAAACCTTAAAGAAATAAAAAACCCTGCACAGAATGCTTTGAAACATCTGTAAAGAACTAAAACAAGATAACTGTGTTTGGCTTAAATCTCTCTTACACAGGATATTTCACCAACCCCTGATGTAACTGTGACCTAAACCTAAATAAGAAATATTTCAGAAATCATTTTAAGATAGACTGAATACTGCAGACACATTCTACCTTAAGTTTTCACCAGAACCTCAGTAGGGGTGTCTGAAATATCTGGTTGACCTAAAAGCTCCTGAAAACATAACTCTTTAATTAAAGCTACTATGAGGAGTTTTTAACCGGTTATGAAACAGTCTCAGTTTAATACTAATAGCTCTATATGACCTACATTAACAAACAAGACCATCAGAGAGAAGACTGGCTATTTCTATACAATTATTCTTAATGCCTGCCACTGGGTCAGATTCCCCTTGAAATCAATTAAATTATATTTTTGTCCACAGACACAACACTCTGTTCCTTGTAGGGGCTCTATAGTCTTAAATATTTCTTTATTTCTTTCTTTTCTTTGAACGTTAAATACTCATGACTGAACAAGAAGCAAAGTCCCCTAATCGGAAGGAAGATCCCGGGCTCCTGCTGCATGTCAAAGTGTCCTTGAGCAAGATACTGAAGCCCAAATTGCCCCCTGATGCTGTGCAGTAGTCAACAACTATTTTACTTAGATACTTTTTTAGATTAATGTACTTTTTAACATTTAAACACAAGGTAATTTTTGTAAATAAAGTCTGAATGGTGAATAATCACCAGGATGATGTCGAGGATGTAATCTAATGTGATGGATCCATTTGTTTTTACATTGATCATACTGACACTAGTAGGGCTGACCCATTAGTTGACCAATTGTTGCACATTTAGAATATTTATTTATTATGTTTTTGTATTTTTTAACAGCTGACTGTTAAATGCTAACTAAGGTCGAGACAGACGACCACCCACCTAGAGCCGGAGGATCTGTCCTAGGTTTCTGCCTTTTAACAGGCAGTTTTTCCTTGCCCTTGTCGCCAAGGTCTTGCTCATGGTGGTACTGTTGGGTCTCTGTAAATAATGTTGTAAAGAGTTCGGTCTAGACCTGCTCTATTTGAAAAGTGTCCTGAGATAACTTCTGTTATGAATTGGCGCTATACAAATAAAATTGAATTGAATTGAACTAAATGTGTCAGAACAACCAGCAAGGAGACTGAGCATTTAATTTATTTATTTTATCACAGTATAAGATCACAAAAGTCTCATTCAAAACACATTAAAGACCTTCCAACTTCACAAAAACACATACAGGTTATCGATACAGTGGATGACGTATAATGTTACTTACAAATCAATTGCTACAAACTCGTTCCTCTCCCATATCACCATCCTCTTCATCATCCCCAGAGAGAGTCCTGGTCGGTTCCACTGTAACATCACGCAGCCTCTGCTGGTTTCGGAGGATGTGAGCCCAGTTCCATTGCCTGTCCGCCCTGCTCTTTCTTGAATTTCCCTCGGGATAAATAAAGTCTCTCTCTCTCTCTCTCTCTCTCGTGCTCATTCCAGCCCCGCCCCCCCTGGCGGCGTACCCTCGGAGTCAGCTAATAGCACCCCTAAGTAGCTAATGCCACTGGTACATTTAGCAATATCTGATTGGCTTACCCTGATGTCCTAGCCCAGTAACAAGGTGCAGCTCCAGAACACAATTTAACGTTGTTTTTGTTTTTCTGTGACCATCTGACTAATGAAATGGGTTGATTCAGACTCTTCTCATCGACTAACGGTTTAGACGACTATTAGGGGTCAGGCCTAGATGCCCTAGTATCAATTCTCAAATCAAGACTTCACATTTTTAGAATTAATATTTTGGAGTATGACGCAAATAAACAGTAACACAGCCAATTTACAGTAGATAAAAACCTTTCTCAGAAGACATCATCTGTCCCATTGTGTGTGCTGTTGAGTCGATGCTACAGCACAGTGAGAGTTTTGAGGAGGCTCGTCGTGGATCTTCTCATTTAAGATTCTGTCATCGTGGTAACCTGTCAGTCACTTAATGATGGCTGTATCTGCTGGTAGAGCATAGTCATGTTGATTTCCTGGAAGGCTGCAGTCAGCTCTGGTAACGACTGGTAGTTCTTCACCACGAAACCCTGGAGACTGACAGAAAGACACAGAGATGAGTCATAATACTTCTGTGTGATCAAACACTGATTATATGGATCAGAGTCATGTGTATCTCAACTATACCCATTTCCACAGGAGGAAGACAAAGTGGTTTCGATAAGAACCTTCATCATCCTCTCTTTGCATTTCTTGCCTGAAGAATCCACGTCCACCTTCACTGTCTTCAAAAGGCGACAGAACTCCTGAAGAGACATATTAATAATAATAACATAATATTATCAGAAGACACCACAGATGGAGACACACTACGTGGCAGGAGTAAATCATGACCTGACAACAAAAAATCAACAAAGAAAATATACAACATGAATTCACATGTCGAGTCAGTGTTTCAGTAGGATCTGAACTTCCAAAGAACACTTGAGGGGTTTAACATTCAATGATCCCTGTGCCCTTCACACACTTCTATTGAGTTCCTACAGTGGAACTTGTTTCAGGCAGCCTGGCCAGCTCTGGTTACTCTCAGTAATCAGAATCAGAATCAGAATCAGAATGAGATTTATTGCCAGGTAGGTTTTTACACATACAAGGAATATGTCTTGGTGCAAAAAAAAAAAAGCTTCACATTGTAATATTCAAAACTTTTTTTTTTTACCTGACATACTGCCAAAGTCTTTAATACTGATGTGGTCTCTGAAGTCCTTAATGATGTCCTCTTTTTATTAAAGTATGAATAAAACTTTTCTTCAAAAAACAACAACTCTCATAACCGAACCTATATCTGTCATGTTTCTCTGCCCAATGTACAGCAGTAATAGCTCATCAATATAAAAGCTAAATGGAATGTACTTATATGGCGCCTTTCTAGTCTTTTGACCACTCAATGCACTGTACACTACATGCCACACAGTCATTTATTCATTCATTCATTCATCCATTCATCGCAGTGCAAGGTGCGGGAGCAATGTGGTAAATGGTAAATGTACTTGTATACTTGTAGTCTTCCGACCACTCAAAGCGCTTTTACACTACGTGCCACATTCACCCTTTCACACACATTCACTCAGTGATGGCATCAGACAGAAACTAACATTCATCACTCACACACCGATGCACGGCATCAGGAGCAATTTGGGGTTCGGCATGTGGCACCAGGATCGAACACACAACCTTCTGATTAAGGAACGACCCGCCCTGCCTCTGAGCCACAGCCGCCCAGTGCTCAGACATGCAGCGAGAGGAGCTGGGGATCGAACCGCCAACCCTCCGATTTTATATGACAGCTGCAATGATTAGTTGATAAATTGATTTGACCTCAATTGTCAGAAAATCAATTTTGTAAATATTTTGATAAGCAAATAATAATTTAAAGACCAGTGTGTAGGATTTAGTGGTATAACCATTTGAATACAGTTCACCTGCCAAGCATATTCAATTCCAAACTCATTCTAAGGTAACAAAAACACAATTCTTATTTTGAGGTAATTATACACTAATGAAAACAATATTATATTCCATTTCTGACAATAGATCCTGCTAAATGTTACACACTGGACCTTGATTAAAAAATCCCAACTCCTTCTCTTGTTTCACAAATGTGAAAATGTGCTGCTTTTTCTTAACCTAACATTACAGTTAATTTAATATTTTTGGATTTTAGACAAAACGACACATTTGGTGATGTTACTTTGGGCTGTAGTGAATTGGGATGGGCATTTTAACTGCTTTCTGGTATTATATATCATCAATGAGGACAATAATCTGTAGATTGAATGGTCCTTAACTGCAGCCCTATTTTGAATTGTGTGAAGCCAGCTGGATTACTTTACATCACTTAACCAGAAGAGGGCACTGTTCTTCATTTATAGGAAATGTGGTCAGAGGCTAGTAATCAACTTTATCATGGTCTCATTTGTCTCCAGTGTAATGTTACCATACCACCATTATGCAGTAGAGATGTGTTTATGTAAAGCCCTTTGAACATGTTCTGTATGTTTCCCAGTGCACAATCAGTATATGTACTGTGTGTACATACACAGAAAGAAGTACTCAATTTAAATTTTTAATTTTATTTGTATAGCGCCAATTCATAACAGAAGTTATCTCAGGACACTTTTCAAATAGAGCAGGTCTAGACCGAACTCTTTATAACATTATTTACAGAGACCCAACAGTACCACCATGAGCAAGACCTTGGCGACGGGGGCAAGGAAAAACTGCCTTTGCAGACTTAGTGTGATGCCATGTTCAACATGTAGGCTGGTACCTTGATGTTGGGTCTTCCTCCCTGCAGAATGACCAGTATACTTCGTCCATGTAACAACCTCCCAGTGAGCTGCAGCTGCTGGGTCCAGCGCTTCAGCAGTCCAATGTAACGGTTTTGAGATCGGATGTGGTCCAACAACAGCACTGCAGTAAACACCTCCTCTTTTTCTCTCCCTTGCACCTCCTCCTGTCCTCCTCTGCAGTCCTCTGTCACCTCCACACAATGCTATTATTAACACAGAAGACATGATCATTAAAGATCCCCTCTAAGCATGTATTTAGACATATATTATTGTTCCAAGCTGACTATTTGCATATTTCTTAAATGTTTTTTCCACATTAAAATCATTCTACCTCATAAAAGGCCCAATACATTCCTATTATGTAAAAATGTTGTTGTTCAGTTATATGTCACAAGCAACTAAAAAATGTGCAAAGTTAGTGCTCATCAGACAGTCAGTGTGTCCACTGTTTACCTGTAAGCACTCCACCAGCTGATGAACCATTGGCTCCGGTGGTAAGGCTCCAGCGTGATCCAGCAGCCTCTGTCTGATGTTGGAACACTGAGTCCTGGAGAGACCGGTGGAGGAGACAGAGATGTCAGGGGGACAGGAAGGGTAACGGGGGTGGAGTTGGAACAACAGGCTGATGTCCAGTCCTCTATCTCCTCCAATGGTGCGGTTGATTTGGACCACGAGCCCATCCTGAGCTAGAGGGAAAACAGAGCCATGTTACAGCACTAACAGACTAAATGAAAAAGAGTCTAATATCCATACTGTTAACTGAACAGATGACAAGCAGTAGTAACTTATTACAATTAGGATTACAAAAAAAAAACAAGTAACTATAGTCAGCCCAAACTACATTTGAAAGTATGTGTTATTAGATGATAGTTACATTGTCAAGGATTACTTGATAACATTTTTGATTAGCTCTTTAAAATATGGCAATTTTTTCACGATTACCAATACTCTATAAGTCCCTCCAGGAAGTTACAAAATTGCGTTTGTAACAAATGAAGCACAGCGTTAGTTCAGCTCTCAGTTCCAGCCACATCAGGGATCACAGCTAGTGTAAACACACAGCAGCTGAGTCCTCCCAAGCTTCCTATTGCTGCACGATTCTGACACACACTGTGATATAAGTTAAATAACAATTAGTGGGAGTGATCATTTGTGCATCAGAAACTGTTTCACCAAAAAAGGAAAAAAAAGATTCTACTCCTCAATTGTGATGATGTGACATTTCTCCATATCTGTACCAAACAAACAAAACACTAATGCTTTCTCACATCTAGAGAACAAGATTTGCATATGTATTGGAATTTCGATATAATGGTGCAACCCTACTCAGGACAGAAGCTTTTCTAAAATCTGCTTTTGTCCAATGTACCAACAAGAACAGGGAATAATAATAATAATAATAATAATAAGAGGCAGAGGCCGCTGGAAGGCGACCATCACAACTGGGAAACTTTAGCTTCCTTTTAAGCTAGCTGTGTTGACTTTGTGTGGGAGACATTGTAAAGGCCGGACCTGTAACAGCGCTGCTGCTGAATCAACTAGCAAGAGAAGGATAGATGTTACAAGGGAAGGGGCATAATTATTAGAAATGGAGATATTTTTGAAGTTAGATAGACGTTAACTAATCGTTACCAGACTGCTGGAGGAGCAGGAACTCCCGCTCTCCGCAGTAAATGGACGATAAAGCGGAGATTTCCTCAACAGCAGCTTCAGACATTGTTACCGGCTCCACCGTCTGCCTGTCTCTCCACCGTCTGCCTGTCTCTCCACCGTCTGCCTGTCTCTCCACCGTCTGCCTGTATGGTATCTCCACCGTCTGCCTGTCTCTCCACCGTCTGCCTGTCTCTCCACCGTCTGCCTGTATGGTATCTCCACCGCCGCTTTAAACAGCGCACATCTCTTCAAACATTACGATATCTGTTGATTTATTTATATTCACCATATATTTCACTACATATGAAGTTGCTACACATGTCCGTACCTGTTCGTCGTCCGGGTACACATACCGGGTTGAAGAGTTCCGAGCCACAATGTCCTCCTTGTGCAGAGCACACTGGTAGATTTATTCATTCTGTTAGTGACTTGAACTCTATGAAAGCTCATTCTGTAAGTCCTTATGATGAATATCAATCAATATTTATTTATTATTAGTATCCCAAAATAATGACTTTGTGATATTAAGTCATTATTATGAGATACCATATTATGGAGAGAATTCTGTTCCTTTATTATTCAATCAAATAGAATAGATTTGAAACCAAAAAAGAGATTTGAGAGCAAATAAGAGTAAGTGGCAATCAAAAAAAATTTTTTGAGATTGAAACAGAACAGGTTGCAATTGAAAAAAAAATATGAGAGAACATATTTCTTCAACTTCAATCAAAACTAATGTTTGTAAGTAAAAACATACGACCATTTTGCTTATAAATCAGTCCTCTTTACTTGCGAGTTCTAAAGTTTTGCTTGCAAATTCAACTGCACTTGATGGGCGGGGCCTACGCTGGTGGATGAGAGAAGAGTTTCTATTGGTTGGTTTGACCTGGCTACGTCTTCCGCATTACACCCACTTCTCCCTGTGCTGTGCTGCTTGGAGAAGCCTGTTGCTCTTGAAACGTTTCCTATAAGTAATGAATTGCGCTATATATCGTTGGCTACAGCCTGCCGTACATTCACAACAACAACAACAACAACAACAACAACACAAGTAATGAATTATAATGCCCTGCTGCTGCAAGCACACTGATTAGCAGCAACATGGTTGTCTCTGCTAGTCACGGCCTGAGCAGAGTAGCCTAATGAGTGAGTGAATTACAGGGAGGCGTACAACAAACACACGTGGCGAATAATTTAACAAATTCACGCACATATTTCTAACCAGCCAGCATTACTGGTCTATACAGGAGCAGCTGACCTCAGAGATGTACAATGTGTAGGCTATAGAAGAGAAACGCAAATTTCAGCACCACTGATCTGTATAATCAGACCAAAAGACATGTCCTGTGATTGTAATTATTTGCCACGTGTGTTTGTTGACATTAGAACAGCTGTAGCGAGAACGGGAGCCGGGAGGAGTAGCAGCTGCCCGCTACACAGTGGAAACTGGCACCGGGTTCAGCGGTAGTTTAGTAATCCACGGTAGTACTGTTGTGTAGGAACCGTGGCGTTTTGGCACCGCGAGTACCATGCAACACTAAATGTTAAAATCACAGCCCTACGTTGTATACGCCTCCCTGTAATTCACTCACTCATTAGGCTACTCTGCTCAGGCCGTGACCAGCAGAGACAACCATGTTGCTGCTAATCAGTGTGCTTGCAGCAGCAGGGCATTATAATTCATTACTTGTGTTGTTGTTGTTGTTGTTGTTGTTGTTGTTGTTGTTGTTGTTGTGAATGTACGGCAGGCTGTAGCCAACGATATATAGCGCAATTCATTACTTATGGGAAATGTTTCAAGAGCAACAGGCTACCTCCAACAGCACAGCACAGGGAGAAGTGGGTGTAATGCGGAAGACGTAGCCAGTCAAACCAACCAATAGAAACTCTTCTCTCATCCACCAGCGTAGGCCCCGCCCATCAAGTGCAGTTGAATTCGCAAGCAAAACTTTAGAACTCGCAAGTAAAGAGGACTGATTTATAAGCAAAATGGTCGTATGTTTTTACTTACAAACATTAGTTTTGATTGAAGTTGAAGAAATATGTTCTCTCATATTTTTTTCAATTGCAACCTGCTCTGTTTCAATCTCAAAAAAAAAAATCTTATTACCACTTACTCTTTTTGCTCTCAAATCTCTTTTTGGTTTCAAATCTATTCTATTTGATTGAATAATAAAGGAACAAAATTCTCTCCATACTAAATCATTAGTTTGAGACCCCAAGTCAATATTTTCTAAGTTAAGTTTCTCATTATAATAATTTTTTTCATCACATTGCCGGAAATGGGCTTTTACACTTTATTACAGTAAATTATTATATCACCACTGTAGTAATACGTATTACAAAATAGTGGTAACAATTCTCAATGAAGACCACATTTGTGGTGCGTTATGGGGGCATTTATAGTGAATTCTAACATATTCATAATGATTTAGGACTACACTACACATAATGCTTTCTGATGCACTGTTTTATAAAAGATTATAGATGTGGCTTATAATGAATTATGACTTCAAGGGTCTTAAGGATGAGTATAGTCCATGCAGTATCATTAATAAGGTGCAATATTTTCAATGTTTGAAGTAATCAAAAAATTAATATTCAGATTAGTTTGAATAAAGTTAAGTATAAAAGTTTTGGGGGGTAAACAAAAGAGAAATAAAATAATTCTAAAATATTGACAATATGCTATTTTTGCCATGCATTTTTATTTTTCTATATCTTCATCATCATAAATCATGTGTAGTATTATTGTTGTATGATATTTATTCCTATTTTATTTAACCAATATTTAACCAGGTAAAAACAAAAAGTTTTCAATGATAACCAGGCCAAAAAGGCAGCAAAGTTTCACGTTTAGTGCCAAACAACCACAGGGGTTAAATGAGCACAGAAAAATAACTAAATTAATTATGCATTGTAGCAAGAAAATTTTGGAATAAAAACTTCAGTTAGCTTTTGTTCAAAACGGGTTAGATCATTATTCATTTTTCTGTTTTGTAGTCAGCATACTGTAAGTCACAGTCAGATCTCTCAGTGAGCTCCCCTGAAAGCCATGGTTTGCAAGTTTGCACGCTGCTGACAGTGTAACCCTACAGTTAGAGGGGCCTCAACATCATAGAGGAGCATTAGGAATTTAGTGTTACCTGTGACAATGATGGAATATACCATACCAAAATAACAAAGCAGCTTATTGTTTGCACTAATTCAATTTAATTCAATTTAATTCAATTTTATTAGTATAGCGCCAAATCATAACAGAAGTTATCTCAGGACACTTTTCAAATAGAGCAGGTCTAGACCGAACTCTTTATAACAATATTGAGCAACCATGAGCAAGCACTTGGCTAAGGCGGCAAGGAAAAACGTCCTTTTAAGAGGCAGAAACCCATGACAGACCCTTCGGCTCTAGGTGGGTGGCCGTCTGCCTCGACCAGTTGGGGTTAGAGTGCGCGCACGCGCGAGAGAGGTAAAGACAGAAGGACAGAGACAGAGACAAAGGTGCACAGCAACAACAGTAGCAACAACTACACTAATAGTAGTGACTGATGGTGATGATGATGATGATGAACATGAAGAAGATGATGATGACGACGACAACAACGATGGGATACAATGAGCAGTGACAATAGTAATAATAATAATAATAATAATAATGGAAGCTGGTTCCACAGGAGAGGAGCTTGGTAACTGAAGGCTCTGGCTCCTGTTCTACTTTTAGAGACTATAGGAACCACAGGTAGCCCAGCATTCAGAGAACGTAGTGTTCTAGCGGGGTAATAGGGTACGGTACTATGAGCTCTTTAAGATATAAAGGGGCCTGAGGATTTTAAATTCTATTCTGAATTTTACAGGGAGCCAGTGCAGAGAAGCTAATACAGGAGAAATATGATCTCTTTTCCTAGTTACTGTCAGTACTCGTGCTGCAGCATTATGAATTAATTGCCTAGAAGCCTAGAAGTAACAAATGCATGGATTAGTTTTTCTGCATCCATCTTGACAGGATGTGTCTGATTTTTGCAATGTTACGTAAATGAAAGAAGGCAGTCCTAGAGGCTTGCTTTATGTGGGAATTAAAGGACATATCCTATTTGAAGATAACTCCAAGAGTCCTGATGGTGGTGCTGGAGGCCAAGGTAATACCGTCTAGAGTACCTATATCTTTAGACAGTGAGTCTCGGAGGTGTTTGGGGCCAAGTACAAGAACTTCATTTTTTTCTGAGTTCAACATCAGAAAATTGCTGCTCATCCAGGTTTTTATGTCCTAAAGACATGCTACAAGCATTTAGATAATCGATTAATTTCATCGGGCTTGATTGATAGATATAACTGGGTATCATCTGCATAACAGTGAAAGTTAATGGAGTGATTCCTAATAATGTTGCCTAAGGGAAGCATAACAAAGTGAATAGAATTGGTCTAAGCACAGAACCTTGTGGAACTCCTTGACTAACTGTAGTATTTAAGGAGGATTCATCGTTAACATGTACAAACTGAGAACGATCTGATAAATATGACTTAAACCAGCTTAGTGCAGTTCCTTTAATGCCAATTTGATGCTCAGGTCTCTGTAAAAGAATATTATGGTCAAAGGTGTCAAATGCAGCACTAAGATCTAATAATACAAGTACAGAGACAAGTCCATTGTCTGAAGCAATCAAAAGGTCATTATTAACTTTAACCAGAGCTGTCTCTGTGCTGTGATGAACTCTAAATCCTGACTGAAAATCCTCAAATAAGCTATTGTTATGTAAAATTCACACAACTATTTGGCGACTACTTTCTCCAGAATCTTAGAGAGGAAGGGGAGGTTAGAAATCGGTCTATAGTTGGCTAAAACCCCTGGGTCAAGAGTGGGCTTTTTAAGAAGGGGTTCAATTACAGCTACTTTAAAGGACTGTGGTACATATCCTGACAATAAAGAAAGATTGATCATATCCAGTAAAGTGCCAATAAACGGTACAACTTCTTTAAGTAGCCTAGTTGGGATCGGGTCTAACAGACATGTTGATGGCTTTGATGTAGAAATTACTGAAGTTAGTTGATGCAGCTCCATAGCAGAAAAACAGTATAAATATATATCTGATTTTACATTTGTTAAAATTCCTGAACTAGGAGAGACAGCAATATCTGTTGAGGGCATTTGGTAATTAATTTTGTCTCTAATAGTAATAATTTTATCATTAAAGAAGCTCATAAAGTCATTGCTACTTAAGTTTATGGGGATATGTGGCTCAATAGAGCTGTGACTCTGTCAGCCTGGCTACAGTGCTGAAGAGGAACCTAGGGTTATTCTTATTTTTTTTCTATTAGTGCTGAATAATAGGCTCCTCTGGCATTACGGTGGGCCTTTCTATAGGTTTTAAGACTATCTTGCCAAATTGAGTGATATTCTAATAATTTGGAAGAGCGCCATTTGCTTTCAGATTTCCGCGCTTTTTGTTTTAATTGGCGGGTTTGGTGGTTGTACAGTGTTATTTTTATAGGGGCAATAGAATCTAGTGTTATTCGCAGTTAGCCTTTAGCACTATTAACAAGAATATCAATTTCAGAGGGACTAAAGTTATTATAGGACTCTGTTAAATTCAGACATGGCATTGAATTAAACACTGAAGGAATCTCCTCCTTAAATTTAGCTACAGCACTGTCAGATAGACATCTGCTGTAGGAAGTTTTGCCTAATGGCTTGTAATCTAGTAATAGGAATCCAAAGGTTATTAAACAATGGTCAGATAGAAAAGGAAGACTATTAAATGTTCAATATCAATGCCATATGATAGAACAAGGTCAAGAGTGTGATTAAAACAATGAGTTGGTTTATTTACACTCTGACAGAAGCCAATTGAGTCTATTAATGATATAAATGCATTACTAAGGCTGTCATTGTCAACATCCACATGAATATTAAAATCACCTACAATAATTACTTTATCTGATTTAAGGACTAAACTTGATAAAAACTCTGAGAATTCAGATATAAAATCAGAGTACGGTCCAGGAGCGCGGTACACTATAACAAATAGAACTGGCTGCAGTGTTTTCCAGTTTGGGTGAGAAAGACTAAGAACAAGGCTTTCAAATGAATTATAATTTAGTTTAGGTTTAGGGTCCATTAAAACGCTCAAATCATATATGGCTGCCACTCCACCTCCTCGGCCAGTGCCTCACATATTCATCATGGGACAACCAGGTCTCAGTAAGACAAAGTAAATCAATATCATAGTCTGATATTAATTCATTCACTAAAACAGCTTTAGAGGACAGAGACCTGATATTTAACAGTCCACATTTCATTCTTTTATTTGTGCTACTGAGGAGTTAGTTTTAATTTTTATTAGGTTTTTATGATTAATTCCTTCTTGTTTTTATTTCTTTAAATAATTTAGGTGGTTGGGGGACAGACACAGTCTCTATGGGGTTTTGGGTGGGTGACTGTTCTAAAGAAAGCGCAGAGAAGTGTGTAAGACAGCAGCTCTGCTTCCTGGTCCCAACTCTGGACTGTCAGGTTTTAGAAATAAACTTTGTCATATTGCTAGATAAGAGAGCTGCTCCATCCAAAGTGCACCTTGTAACACTTTATGTTTCTAAAACTGTCTGTGGGACATCGTGGACCTGAGACTATCCTGGCCAGCATGGCCTTGTCAGAGGAGCAACAAAGGGCCATCAAGGTGGCAACAACTGGCCAGCACACCAATCCAAACTGGAATGATGTTTCCCAGCTCCCTCACAGTTACATTGCCCCTTTTGGCTTTATCGATTAATTTGATTTAAATAGAGGGGCAAAAAGGTGGAGGAAGATAAGATTACTGACCTTCACAGTGAGGTGGTGGAAAGAAGAGCACATGGTGGAATAGCCCGGTGTAGCTTAGCTAGCTAACGAAGAACAAAATTGGGAAAGAAAACTATTACTTGTTTATTCTAGAATTTATAAAACTACAGTTTGAAAAGAACTACAAATGAAAAATACTACAAACTGAATCTACAAGTTGGAAAGTTTGAGTCAGACCAGTTTGCAAGAGTGCAAGTATAACAAGACTGTAAAGGCGGACGAGTGAGTGGATAGGTCTCTGTGTTCTAAAGTCAACCACAACCACTGTAGTCTCATTTAACTACTTGTTTAGCAACTGCTTTTTTAAGACGTAAGACACGTGAAAGCTAAAAATTCCCAGGTGACATATTTTGTAGTAGAACAAAACATCAAAATCTCTTAAGCTTTCAAGTGAAAAGCTTTTGTGAAGTTCTATATATGTATGAAAAGGGTCCCCTTCCAGTGGATAAAATGTATGTCCTTCCAGTAGACAAAACAGAAGAAAGTGGCCTCTGGGTGTCCTTCCTGTGGAGAAAATGGAATAAAGTTCTCTCTAGGGTGCTAACTCCAACTAAGCTGTTTCACCATAAATGCATTAAAACTTTCTGTGCACTTGTGCCCTTTTGTAGTGCTGAGTGTAGTAACATGAGAGGCCACTACAAAGTTCATCATCCAGTTGGTCCTGTGTCCTCACAAAGGCGTATAAAGAGGATACAAACTACAATATGTTACCCTAAAAACTCCTTCTGTCTGGAGTTTAGTGAATTATGGAAATGTTTTTTCCAGAGTAAGTTCTGGATGAGAGGACTGCTGTGTGTGGATCTCAAAGGATGCTGCAGCAGCTCCCAGTCTGGATCAGTTTATGTCCCACTTTGTATATATATATGTGTGTGTGTGTGTGTGTGTGTGTGTGTGTGTGTGTGTGTGATCTCCACGCAGAGAAAAGAACTGCTCGATGCAGTGCAGATCGGATAAAGTTTCCTCTCAGCGAGGTCTCGGTGCTCACGGTGAGTTCGGAGGATGCACACAGCCTGCTGTCGTGTTGCTCCTCCTCGACAGACTTTTCGATTCAAGAGTGTGAGGGACTTTAACCGGAAACCAAACTTTTTTCTTCGAGCTTCTTTCTCTGAGGCAAAAGAGGAAAAAGAGACGAGCTTCGGTGTCACAAACTACACGGTTCCTCCTCTTTCTCCATTTACGCGTGCTGTTGGAAATGTGTGAGCTGCCGACCGACAGGGGAGAAGGAAACCGTTTCAAGCGACGATAAGAGCGACGTCGACTGATTTTAGGCTACTGAACACTCACATAACGGATTGTGGTCCTTTATCATGGAAGATGTGAGTAGCCCTTTCAGTCCCGCTGTGTGTGCTGCTACGCTGTTGCTGTCCGTTTCCACTGTGTTTGCAATGTGGGCTCCCAGTTTGGAGATAGTTCAGTGAAAGTGAACACTTCAGTAGACAGTGACTATGTGATGGTTTAAACCTAGGGAGGAAAATAACTGTACAAGTTATTAGAGAGAGAAAGTTAGGCCCAGAGAATTGGTTCTTTTCATGATTCATGTAATAGTCATTGGAGAAAGACGGTAGTTTGGTGTGTAATAGCGATACCAGACCGAGTCTGCAGCCAGCTAAAGGCAACACTTTTTGGCACAGAGCACCTGCTCACCTGTCAATCTGTCGCATCAACGTGTTGGTCAGAGGCCAAGCTCCGACGGCAGACAGCTGCGGACTCCACTTGAAAAATCTTCTTTTTTATTGTAGCGCAACGCGTGGGTGTAGCCCCATAACACTGAAAACACCATTTCAGAGCTTGTCTAAGTCAGATGGGTCTTTTGGTGAATTCGGCAGTACTGCAAACCTCATATAGCACATATGTGAATTGCGTTTTAACATTGAGTATTGAGTAACGGTTCATTTCGACAGGATAGGATTCGGGGAATAACATCGAAAGGTTGTCATTTCACACAGAAACCTTTGCGGATCCACTGTGGTTGACGAAGGTGTCAGAAAAAGTGTTCAAAGGGCCTAATAACGTTTCCTGGTTTGACAAACCAAGTAAAGTGTAAATTGCCGTATTTCTGACCGATGTTTGGCATGCAGGGTAACAGTCAACTACACTCATCACTATTGTAATACTTTGTGGCATCTGCTTAAAAGAATCCTAAGCTCATATAAGGCCTTGTGCTGATGTCTACAGTAAAGTAAACTGCATGCTGCTCACAACATTTGGCATTTTGAGGAAGCCAACTTGCTTGAAAAAGGAAGTGAAGTAGAGACAGCCTATGTTACAGTATGCAGGGAACTTATTGCAAACATTGTCAGGCTGCACCCCACCCTATGATCAAAAACTGGTAGCCTATTTAGCTGCCTTCATCTTTCCATTCAGAATCCGATGCTTAAATGCAGCTTTTTCACAACTTGCCTAATTTTCTAGAATCTATGTAGGCTACCAACCACCAAACAGCTACAAAGCCACATTTAAAGTGTATTAGGATTATGTTGTCATTATATTCTAAGCATCTTTAACCATAAACAAAGTGTGCTGGTAAGTGAACACAGCCAGACAATTATAAAAAAAATTTAATTGTTATCAAATTTAGTTATAAGTAGAGCTTAGTTATAAAGCTGCAATGATCGATTAACTATTTTGATTAATAGTTTTGAGTCATTTTAAAATATTCCAAATTCTCTGATTTCAGCTTCTCAAACATGCTAACTTTCTGCTTTCTTTAGTCCTCTGTGACAGTAAACGGAATATATTTGGGTTGAGACATTTGAAGACATCACCTCAGGCTTTTCTGACATTTTACGGACCAAACAACTAATCCATGAATCAAAAAAATGATCCACAGATGAATCGTTAATAAATATTTGGTAGTTTGTTTAGAGACAAATAGAGCCTGTACTTAAAGCGTTTCTCCCATGGTACACACATTACGCAACACAATGGTCATTTCCAGATTTATAAGTGATATGCTGGAATTTCTCTATGAGGGTTGTAGGGTCTGATTGGCCATTTCCATTTTGCATTTGTCAGTGTTGTGTATGAGTTCTGTGGATGGCCTTGTGTCAGAATTTGAGTGGATGTGTGTGCAGCAGATGTTGGATAGGACTCCGGTCCTGCATTGTATTTCCTCTTCATTCAGCATCACCTGCCAGTCCTCAGATCAAATGAACACTTGATGACAGTGTAAACTGCAAACATTATAACGCATAGCATGTAACAAGAGTATATCAGTATTCAACACTGCTGATTGGAGTCTGTGAGGGTAGATGTATTCTACTGAAGAAGCTCTTAAAATCACGCTGAAACTATTTTGACTTGTGCACAATAATGTGGCTTTGGCTAAAGTTGTAATTACCAAAAATAAGAAATTAGAGTTTTATTTATTCTGCAGCGACAGAAGCACACACATTCAGCCTGGTGGATTCTTACAAATGCCATTAGGAGCACTAGGAGGAGCCAGGGAAGCATATATTTTTTCACAGATTATCTGTCTCGTGTAATACTGTCAGGATATAGTGAAAGTTTCATCAGATATGACAAACAGTTATTTTTATAAAAGTTACATACTGCAGCTTGGAAATTGTGTGCGAAAAGTTCTAGTATGAGCTGTAGGGGTGTAAGAAAATATAGCAGTGTTGACATCTATCTTCTTCTATTTAACTCTTCTACTCCATAAGACATAACATAACATAAATTGAGACATGAATAAGTTAGCACATATTGCTTGTGTAAACACAAAGAACACAGGCCTGTGAAACAGGAAGAGTCATAAAGGGTGCACTGCTAGCATTAGCAAACCCAGCTGACTAGTAGAGTTACTACCAGTGGCTGAAAGCGAAAGAATTAGACCAGTCCCTGCAGCGAACAGAGCTCAAGTGTGAAAAGTAAACTTTTTACTCAGATTGAATGCATGTGGTGGTGTGTTCTTTATACTATGGCAGTTTTCCTAAAATCAGATTTTTAAAAAATGGCAATATATTGACTTTCTTACCGTATCACAATATTGATTGTAACCCCTGTAACGTGATACGTATTGTGTTGCCATCACACAGCCCAGATTAACCCCCACTATTTGTCTGGCTGCCCATTGACATCTGTTTAGCTCTTATGTCTATCTTCATCTTTAACATGTATTTTCCTGCTCCCCTCCTCAAAACCACGGTGGCCCTATGATGATCATTTGTCTCAGCTCTATGAGTCATCCTTTTATCACCATCCCACTGACCTAGAGTGCATAGCGTGACGTGTCTGCCTGACCCATTCACTGAAGAGGAAACAGACTGCCACATTATGTGTTGGGCAGAAAACAATTAACCCTCTCTCATAATCATCCTGCTATCCAGGCCGCTGCCACACAATGGATGTGTGTGTGCTCATCGTCTTGCTGGGGCACCACTCTCAGTTTCTGGGAAAGTGCTTGTATGAAAAAGAAAGTTCCTGAATTAGTGTCCTTGTAGGGACAGAAAGTCCTCGAAAGATAAGGAAAATGTTCTTCTGGAAGACATTTTGCTCATATTTACTGCACAAGGGGGTTCATTTCTGAGTAAATGGAAATAGTGATCTAATGCTCTTATTTGCTTAGGCTATGTCTTTAATACCTCTCCATATTTCCACTTTCGATTCTTCTAAATATAAGAGACTGTCTTTGTTAATCAGCGTCCTACACACATATTTGTTACAAAATGGTAGGGGTGTGAATGCAATTCTAAAATAATTATCATCAATTATTTAATATTTGATGTCTATTTATGATTTATTTTTTCTCACTGTGTGGCCACTTGCTACTTATCTGTGTATTTGTAATGATCCATAATTAATATAAAGAGAAATTATATTTTAATAATAGTGACAAATGCAAAAGATGTGTCAGCTGGAAGGTTCCATTTGCCAACATATTTCTCAGCTCAGAAAATGCTTATATTAGAGAAGCCGGAACCAGCAAATATTTTATTTGAAAAGTGACAAAAAAAATATATCAATGGATTCACTTCAGGGTCAATATTTTTGTGTTTAGAATTCTCTCCAGCGCTGAAGCATGCCTCTGACTATCTTCTCCATAGCAACAAGCTCATGGGTATTGTAGTATTAAGAGCTGTCTGCCATACTTACCTGATGGAACAAATTACATTCAGGAGCCTTCCTTGTTTCTGTGTTGAGTCATTTCATTAAAAGAACATTTTGAAAGAGGACTTAAAGGTTCAGTGTGTAACATGTAGGAGGATCTATTATCAGAAATGGAATCTAATATTCATAGGTATGTTTTCATTAGTGTATAATCACCTGAATATAAGAATCCTGTTTTTGTTACCTTAGAATGAGCTGTTTCTACAGAGGGAGCGGGTCCTCTTCTACGCAGTCAGCCGTGTTGAACAGCCATGTTTCTAAAGTAGCCCAGAACAGACAAACCAAACACTACACACACACATACACACACACACACACACACACACACACACACATATTTCTTCTGTAGAGGATCTTTCAATATTCCACAGTATTTGTCTGTGACGTTCCAAAGAATTTGATGCTCAAGGCATAAAGCAGGAAGTGAGTCATGGTCATCATGGGGTTTTGCTTTGTCAGTCTTCTTTTGGTGACTTAATTTTGCAGTCAGTCAGATTCTAGCGTTCCCACTGTGAGGATTTGCTACCCTTCTCTTTTCACAGCAGTGTATACTGAATATCTTTGGGGTTTTGAACCGTTGCTTTGACAAAACAAGATGAATCAATAATGATAACCCTTATGGTAACTATAATTCCTTATTGCTGATATGATGCACTTTCTTGTGTTGTGAGTGTAGTTCTTTTTGCATTGTTATTTGTGAGTTCAGAACAAAGGTCTTTGTATCATATGTGACTCCATTTGTGTTTGGTGGCAACAGGCTATGCAATAAGACTTTAAAAAGAACGTGGGTGTTAATGTGCAATGTTACGCGTGCATAAATGTTCACACATGGCCTTGGCGGAATGATAAAAATAGATTTCCTCCCTGTGCAAGCAGTCGATCTATAAAAAAACTGATCAACGCCACAGCTACCCTCTTTCGTCACCATCACATGAGGTTACTTTTTTGGTCTCTTAACACATTGACATTTCACTGAGCATTATGGCTTAAGTTGGGTCCAAAGATTGTAGTTTGGTGAGTTTCAACCAGTAAATTCAGGAGCATTTGGATTTAGTTAAAAAGAGTGTACACAATAAGTGAAAGGAAGCGTTGGCTTAAGGATTTTCATACACCATGTGACAGTAAAATAAAGAATGTTATTTACATTTATGGGCCTTTAGCAAACACACCAGAGCCTTCCAGAGCCCACCTGTGGTCTGATATGTAGAACAAAGGCCTGAGTGTCACACCTCTAACCATACAAGTAAGCAAGTTTCACTGTCTTCTCTAGATGGAGAATGCATCATTGTGTGTAATGTTTGACTTGCTTAGGAATCACAACGCAACCCTGAGCAATGGGTGAGCCTGTATCTGTTGTTGATAGTAGGGTATGGAGAGTTTTATCAACCCCACTGTGTGTGTGTGTGTGTGTGTGTGTGTGTGTGTGTGTGTGTGTGGCTGTGACAACATCGGCAGCAACGACACACAAAAGAGGAAGTATATATCCTCACAATGGAGTTGAGCATCTTTGAATTTGACCACTTTTAGGTCTGAAATTAAGAACCAGGGGCCTCATTCATAAACGTCTTAGATTTGAACTTGAACCTGGTCCTAAGATCATTTCTGATGGTGTGAGTTTGATTCATAATGGATAATGAGCATAAAAAAACTTGCTTTTGAAGGTTCTAAGAAGCCCATCTATAACTCACACACGTGTAATCTATAAATCTAAAATGAACTCCAAATTGACCTCACCTGCCTTAGCCTTCTTCCTTTATTTAATGCTAGCACATTAGGGTTCAGTCAGGAATAGCCAGGGGCCAAAAGACACGGTGACAGACGGTGACTTAACAGTGTCGTGAGTCTGTGTTTAACTGAGTGTGTATCTGATCAACCAACCAGCATTAGTAAACAATCCTAATTTTTGAAATGGTTCACCTCTCATTCCCACTGAAAGAGCACAGCTACAGACTCTTGGCCAGTTGAAGCAACGGGATGTTTAGACAGAATACACTTTATCTTTACGGGTTATATTGATGCCGAAGCTAACGAGCTTTTCTAACTGCTGAACTTCTAACATTCTGTCACCACTATAGAAACCCAAAAGTATGATAAGGTTGTCTGATGTTCACTGCTGTTAGTTATTGGTTTGGCTGCAGTTATCCCCCTTCATGTCACTTCATTGTTGATCTTTTCAGCTCTTGCAGCATTTCTTGTGTGGCTTGTCAGGCAGAAGTGGCAGACAGAACTGATTGGTCAGTAGCTTCTTTCATTTAAGGTTAATAACAGATTTCATCATACCAGCAAAACAATATATTGGTCTGGCCCCACTGTCTCCTCCCAGCTTGAGCGGTAAGGGGTTAGTGGGGGTGAAGTGTGAGCTCCAGTGAGGCTCAAGCTGGGCAGGTCAGTGTGAAAATCAATGATTGCCAGATGCTCCCTCCACTTCATCAGAAACACATGTCTGCTTAGGTGTGCCTCTTCCGTAAAAGCTTTGCACTCTGTTTTCTCTTTTTAAGATGTAGCTTGCATGAGATACCTTATCTTCAGCATATTGTAATGTCACTGCATTACCACGTATCTGCATATTATTTTAATCTGCACAACAGTAGACAGCAGTTGATCCATTTCAGTGTTAACCACAACACCGCAGATAGTTTTGGGTAAAAGTTTTGGTCAGGTCTATGTTTCAGTGCAGAGCAGACTTCCTGTGTGAGCCCAAAATTGGAGCCACTTCAACCTACTATGTGATATCACGGTGCAGAGCCCTGAGTAATGTCACTGCTGCTCCGCTGCAAGCTACACCGTACTAATACATTCCACCTAGCCCCATCACTTTTTCCCATGTTCACCCATGTCAGAGGTATGCCAAGGCCACTCTGAGCCCCACAGTGCTTTGTCTTTCTTCGGTGAACTATCATCTATTCGGTGAATCTATTTTAAAGTGGTTTTACAAAGTAGCTTTTTATTTTATTTTTCTTCTTGCTCTCCGTCTGGCAAGTCTTTTCCTCCCTGCTTGGCGTGCCTTTCTTTGCAGCTGTGCTGCTGTTTACCAAGTTGAGACACACTTGCAGTTACAGCGAAAGTGGAAAAACAGTTAGATGACCTCCCACCTAATCCCAAAAAGGAAAAAAAGATATCCTGTGGAAGTTCCTCCAACAGAAACAAAAGCTGTGAATTTTGCAGGATATAGTGAAAGTTGCAGCATATATGACAAAAAGTTACTTTTATAAAAAAAAAACCTACTGCAGCTTTAACTCTTATTTTCTAAATAAGAATCTAATCTTAAACTCATCTATAAATGCCTACCACACCTTGTGGTTCCAGTCAGAGCTTCAGGCTCAGTAACACGCAGAGCATCCAACAGGAACTGTAGGTGCCCTTATGTAAATCCTCCTTTGGACAAATGTGGAATTTGTTACCAACAGAACTCAAATTGGATCCTGACTGAGATTATTCATTTTAAACTCAAACGGAAACAGTTTTTGAAGAGGGATCATGTAGTCATGAATGATCCAGTGTGTACTGTTTTATGGTGCTTTAATGAATGACTTTGTTTCCTGTATTGTTACAGCAGTTTTTCTTGCTGAGTTCTACTCACTTTTTGTTGAATTTGTGTTTTGTACTGTCTCTGGTGTATTTGTCGAGTTTGATGTATTTTAAAGGCCTATCTAGGGACAGGCATCGCAAATTAACTTTGGCTATAAATGTTGTGATGTGTGGCATTTGTTTACGCTCCATACCTGTCCCTATACACATAAAGAATAAAATATAGTCAACATGTACCTTTGCAGTTTGTACCACTTTCATTATGAACGTGAAGTCTTTCAGTTCCTGTATGTTTTGCTCACAGATTCACTATTAATCACACTAGTGGATGTTAGTGTTTCCAAGCAGATGCTGATGATGATGAGATTATTCTGTGCCCTGATACTTCGCTTTCTGTGTGCATCTATGAACAGTTATGGGACAAAACAGCACAAAATAGCCACTCTCCAAAGGTGTTACAGTGTGAGGTGTGAAGAGAGTGTCAGTGGGCAGAAATTAGAGTCTGATAACAAGTGAGAGCTGTTGATCTCAACAGGCCTCAGCTCAACTTATCTGTCACTAAACTATTTTTGCAATGACACTAAACTGTAAGCAGTACTTGGGTTTTTCCCACTCACTGCACAACCTCGATCTGAACCTACAGTGGTCCCACAGGCACATTTCGTCTCTGACTACGTCACTCACAGACTTACATCATAGGACTGGGAGTGGTTGAATTTTGTAATTAAAGAGCAACATCTGCTCAAAATTTTCTAAATTATCGGTCACAGTCCCCTGGACCATAGGATGCTAAACATGACTTACATTAAAAGACCAGTGTGTAGAATGGCATTTGCAAGAATCCACTGGGCCTGAACAAAAAAACAACCAATCAGAGCTGCCATTAGGAGTGATAGGAGGAACCAGAGGATTTTTCAATTCATACATTATCTGTCTAATGTTCTACTGTCAGGATATAGTGAAAGTTTCAGCAAATACGACAATAAGTTATTTTTATAAAAGTTACCTACTGAAGCTTTAATGTTACCATGTACACTATATATACTGAAGGCTTTGATTACTATAGGGTTTTCTTTCCCCCACAACGTGATACAATATATGAAGGAATCACAATGTATGTAACAATTTTGTGCAAACTGCAGCATAGTAAAAACAGAACTTAAAGATAAAAAAGATATGTGAACAGCTTTGCTTCCTTTGGGACACTTGATAGTAGAGGGCGTGCCCTATGTAAAAAAGCTGCAGCGGCCCAAGTTGGGTTCCAACCTGCGGCCCTTTGCTGCATGCCATCCCCCTCTCTCTGTCCTCCAAATTTAAAACATTGCTTCATTTTGAAAAGAAAATATTTTAAAACAGTTGTATAAAAGCTATAAGCTTACATCAAATATAGTTTTTGAAGTATTCAAAGAGATATTTATCAGATGTTCTATTGCACAAGTAACGACTAATTGTTACAGATTGTTGTGTGCCTTGGTGTTTTGCCTATTAAAGAGGCTTAGTTGTGTGTTATTAATTGCTGAGTTATAACAGTAAGAAGGATAGGCAATTAATAGAGCTCCCCTCTCAATACGTGCTACACAGTTTGCCCAGACTGTAGCGTTCTTCATGGAAAAAACAATATGGCTGTCTACTGGAGAGTTATGGCAGTTGTTTCAGCTATGCAGTATATGAAAAATCCGCTATGTCAACCAGCACTGGTAGAGATTGTAGAAGTTGTCAGCAAAGCGTCAGCAAATACGACAAAAAGTTACTTTCATAAAAATGACTTACTCCAGCTTTAACTGTCAAATGAATACCTCAGTCCTTCTCTCTTACAGGCATACTGTGTAATACCGCATAGTAACAATGACAAACTGAAAGTTAAAAAAAATCTGCACTCTGCTAGTGCGCTGGTGTGTAATTTCCCTTCTCTGTATCGTCGTAGGGTGTGAAAGAGGATCCAGCTCAGAGTAAAGAGCCAAAGTTCCTGGGTAAGGCTGGCTGGGTGAAGAAGGCCCCCGGCAGACTGTTGGCGAGCTATAAGGAGCGCTACATCCACGTGGAGAAGACAGAGATTGTGGTGTATGAAAATGAGGTACTACTTCTGCTCTCCTCATGCAGCACTCAACTAACCTGCAACAGCATCACGGAACTGTTGCAATGTCATTTTCTGTTCTGTTTTCATGAAATCACAGAAGGCTCTCAACATATCTCAGCCACACACTTATTTCAGAATAAACATCCATGTGGCTACAAAGACAATACAGTACTTGTTAGTAGGTTGTTTGATTTGCTGATTGATGAAAAGCTAAATTATGTCAGCTTTATCCTTTAATTGGAATGATGAATGTGCAAATATTTACCTGTGCTTTGCGTTGCAGGACCGGCAGAACTGCTTAGAGAGGCTTGACCTGGAAAACTATGATAAATGTCATGAATTAAAGAGCCCCTTCAAGAAGAAACACAGACTGATACTGATTCGATCACCCAAGTCTGGAAATAAGGTGAGCAGAGAGCTGCTTTGGGTGAATGTCAATGTAAATTGCAACATCATATGTCATGGTACAATAAAATAAGACATTTAATATAGTTCACTGTGTGTATAATATTTGATCGTTCACTTACAATAGTTCCAACAACTTTAGCAGAACAAATATTAGGTGACATAATCCAAGGATGGCTCCTGTCAGGAGGTTGAGAGCCAGCAGGGTAAGACACTGACTGGTGATGTGAGAGCTGTGACTGAATGATGATCACGATGATAATGATTATTCCTGCAGCAGTTAAACTCAAGCATGTAACTGAAAAACTCATCTTCTTTTTGTCATCTTAACGCAAAATTCCAAATTGATCAATGAATGATCAGTTATTGGGCAAAAAATGAGAGGAATGAATCATGCTTCCTGAAGTATCTTGAGAATGAATCATATTCTACAAGACAGTAGTCTAAGGACTTGTCTCTTCCATATTGTCGGACTTCCCTTAATCAGTATTCATCTGAAATACAGTGGACCATCTCTTTGGAACAATCTACCTCTATCACTACAGTCAATATCTACCTTATCTTTATTCAAAAAGCATCTCAAAGGGTCTTTAATTAGCAAAGATTTATAACACTTCTTGGATTTCTGTATAATGTATTTCACCTGGTAAAATAATGTAACATTTCTATTCATATTGTATTTCAGCTGTTTCTCTTTTGTCTGTTTTTCTCTTTTTAAAGTATGATTATATTTATTATGGGGAGGTGTCTTTATAAGCCATTTTTGGCTTCAAACCAGTCCTGCACATTGTTTAAATTCTGTTGTTAGAGATACATTTATTTTGTATGTGCAACTGATATATATATGTATCACTGTTTCTCCCACGCTGTTGGACAGACAAAGGACGTCCCGGAGGGGCTGCGAGCCGAGTTGCTGCTAACGCTAGCTCAGCTTGTTTTTCTGATAACTTAAGTCCGATGACTAAAATCCTTCATCCTGTTCAAATCTAACTTTTTTATTTTAAATATTTCACTCTGTGCACCAGCAGTGAACTGTTCTCTCTGTTTGGGTTCAGGCTGTTAATTCTCCTTCGTGGTGTAACAGTGCAGTGTGCAAATATAGAGATGCTTCTGTGTCACACAGTGAAATATGGAATGAAGGAAGTGAAACTGAAGGAAAAAAACACATATGAAGTTGAATAACAGAAACTAGCATAGGCAACATTTACTTACAGCGAAAGCAGAACAATATACAGAACCAAAACATGTGTTTGCACTACCCTGCAGGAAGTTTGAAAAGATCACACCATAAACTGGTTCAAGAGAAACTTGAGTTTTGAAGATGCCCCCTCATATCCAAAAGCTTTCAATCCTTCACACAGCACCACCACAGACACAATTAACACTGATCAACACTTTAAACTACTTATGAATAACTGAGGTATTTACACTGAACAGATTTAATGGATTTTCTCTTGAAATAAGTTCTGTTGAAATGAACGGTGCAGACACTGAGACCAGAATCAACAGAAGTGTAATAAAATGACATGAAACATATTCACCAACGCAAAAAAGTGTATTTAGTGTGACGTTAATTTTACTCTCTCGTAAATAAGGAGCTAATATCGGGGGGGGCAGTGTTTTACTGCTATGATTCTGTCTCATCGCCCTTATTAATCTGTTTTTTTGCTAAAAGCCTCTGATAAAGCCACCGTACACGACCTGTCCAGCTAACAAACACTGACGAGACCAGCTGGTGAACACAGTAGAGCATTTAGCAGCTAAAGAGACACAAACAGAGCTAAGAGGAGAGTGAAGATTGGTAACAAATGCTTAACTAATCATGATGATTTAATGCATGAATGAATGCAGTACGTATCATGAATTCCTGTTGCTAGCAAGTTATCATCTGACTGTGACTTCCTGCGATTAGTTCACACTTAATAGATCATCAGTTAAAGAATGTTAATTCACAGTTACTTCATATATGAATTGATATGCAATATTGGGCTAGTTAGTCAAATTACTTGTTACCCTTTTCAAAAGTAATATTATTACGTTACTTATTACTCCCTGCCAACAGTAATTAGTTACACTTCTAATTGTTTTACTTTTCTGTTACTCCCCACAGAATTAGTAATTGTGTCTCTTCCCCAAAACTTATGATGATGAAAAGTTTTGTTTGTTAAAATTAAAGTAATGGAATATTTCCAGCTGCTGAATGTATGTGTTAACAACAAAAGTAAGGCTGGGGTAACTGTAATATTGTTACTAAATTGTATTAGTAATTAGTTACAGTACTAGTTACTTGGGAAAGTAATATTGTTGTTGTAATATTGCCCAACACTGATGATATGCGACCAATTAACTTGATTATACATAAAAGTATTTTCAGGACCTCGTATTTTATCAGGCTCTCTGATAAAAATTAGCTTAATAGTTCTTTAAGAAGACCAAGTGGTGCCTGTGACACATTTGAAATATAATAGATAGAACATAGTAATCATTTTATTTTTTTGTAAGTTGTGTTTGTGTTGCTGAAAGCAGTGGAGCTTAAAGTCTGATCATTCTCCTCTAATTTGTTCATTATGTTGTAAATGTGTCAAAAATACCACTAGGTTTATTCTCATTTATTAGAGCATATGTATGGTCCTGAAATAAACTTTTATTTAACTGGAATTTGGTCGCATATCAATTCATGTATGAATTAACATTACCTAACTGATCATCTACTGAACTAATCACAAAAGGTGATAGTGACTTTATCATTTGTTAGTGGTGAGCAACAGGAGTTCATGATACATCCTGTATTCATTCGTGCATTAAATCATTATGAGTCATGCATTAGTTAAGCATTATTTCAGTGTATGATTTGTACCAGTGTTACCAAAGGAGGGGACTTTCTTTCATCTGGGAATTTAAACATGACTCCAAATGAATGCTAATGTTACTTTGGGTCTGCTGAACGTGTAAAGAGGAATCTGTTTGCATACATGTTTGCTATTACAACTTACTGTAAAAGATGATCATATGTAAGCCTTGTGTTTGTTTCTGCTGCCCTCTAGTGGCCAAAAAAGTCAATCAGAACCAGGTTCATTGCCAAGTAGGTTCACTTAAACAGTAAGTAGAAAATGTAAAGAAAGATAAAAAGCAAGTATTGCAAGTCAAGAAGCATAAATGGAAAACAGAAAATTGACAATAAAATGTGAAGAAAATATTATACATTATACATGAATGCAGCTTTAACATTAATTTAATTTAATAATGTTACATTTTCAAATGAAACACAATTACATTGCAGTCAGCAAAACTGCCCAGGCTGACGAGCCTCCCCACAGGCGCACTCGACAGAGTCGCTGAATTTCTTGGATATTGTAGGGAAACGGGATCTCTATCTCTGACCCTGACTTCAGATATTCAGAGTTGGGGTTGATGGAAGTTGTATCCTCCTCATCGAAAGCAAAATGTGCATGAAAAGACATGATTTTTTTTCTATCTGCCCATTATGCAGATATTTGAATAACTTGTGTAACACAAGTAATTACATAATTGTTTGATTAGCAACTTTTAATGTGGTTACTGAAATTAGAACAGTAATGCGTTATAGATAAATGTAATGTGATTACAGTAATGTATGTAATGATTAGTGGAATATTGTGACACCCAACACTTGTTGTCACATTACTCTACTGATCTACAGGTGGCGGTAATGTACGCAGCAGTACTTCCAAAGCAAACATGATTGTTAAAAAAGCAGAATTCAAACTTTACTTGGTTTCATGAGGAAGGAAATGCATTCACTACATTTAGACTGTAAAGTCCAATGTGTAGGATTTAGTGGCATCTATCGATGTAGTTGCAGATCGCAAATCACTTGCTTCACCCTCCCCTTCCAAGTGTGAGGGAGAAACTACAGTGGCCGCGATACGCATGAAAAATGTGAACAGCCCTATCTATAACCAGTGTTTGGTTTGTCCGTTCTGAGCTACTGTAGAAACATGGCAGTTCAACATGGTGGAAGAGGACCCGCTCCCTGTGTAGATAAAAACAGCTTATTCTAAGGCAACAAATCTTAATTTTCAGGTGATAATGTCTATTAGATCCTCCTAAATATTATACACTGGACCTTTAAGGATGCAATTTGGTGAACAAAACTAAATGTAAATAGAACTTTTGTCAAGTTTGGTTTCAGGCAGAAGGTGAGTGTGTACAGTGGATCAGTGGGAGTCACTATGATTACATATTATTGTGATTGCAACTACTTGCTACTTTATTGGCAGCCTAATGAAAGTTGAGGCTAAACCAGTTGATTTGCAATGCATTGTTTTTGCTATTTTCTGAATAAAGGGAAGTAAAAAAAGTGAGTGGCTCTGACCAGGAAGTGAAGAGCTACTTGGCTGCCTCTCGCTTTCTCCGGGGCAACCCTCTTCAGCTCTGGCTCTGCACAGCTGAATGATGCCAAAAATGTTCTTAAAGCAACATAGTGGCAGCAATGGGTCCCACAACTAACTGCCTGTGCCTGCTTTTGACTTCAAATACTTTAAGTTATACTTACATAGTTAAGATGCTCAGAAATGTTTAAAGAGGTTGACTGAGAGGAAATTAGGCTGCTTAGATCTCCTACACAAATCTAAATGTTTAAACATACCCATCATTAGATCAGTTAGATTCTCTACAATTCAGTCCTTCAGTTCATTTTAAAGAAACATTGAGCACCAAAGTATCAAAAGATAAAATGTATGATTCGTAATTGATACTCATTAACCTCATTTTTATACAAGTAATATTCATACTGGTTTAAATAAACAATATGATAGTATTTCCCTGTCTTTGCTGAGCAAGAGTTTTGTGCTAAAGGAAGGTCTGTCCCATATAGAGGCCTGTTCCAAATGAAGGCAGGTTGAGTTCAGTGATTGCAGCAAATAAAAGCCTGTGATATTCATTGGTATACTGTGCTCCTACCACAAGAGCATTGGTTTTAATTGTAACTAACTAACTTCCACTATATCCTGACAGTAGAACATGAGACAGATAATCTGTGAAACAATCAGCTTCCTCTGGCTCCTCCTAGTGCTCCTAATGGTATTTGTAAGAATCCACCGGGCCTGAATGAAAACAACCAAAGACCAAAAACAAAGAAAGCCACACGTAGTCCTTAGTCCTCCTAAGAATATAATTATTTCAATTAATTTTTTTATTTCTTTTTTTTTTAAATCTGAAGCATGCAACAAGTTACCAAAAGCACGCACATCCAAAATGGATAAATACTATTACCAAAGTACATGTGAAAAACTGAAAAAACAGAAGCCACACACTAGATAATGCTCCCATAAACATTTATTGGTATATTACATGTGACATTAAATAATCTGGGAAAAAACTTGTGATGATGACGATGTGTGTGATACGTGTGTGTGAAGGCTCTTAAAGAAACTTAACTTACTCCACTTTCATTGCAGTTTTGGTCTTAGATGTTAATAAATTGACTGTGCTTACTAAAATAAATAAAATAAAATGTAATTCTTCTAATGTAAAAGAAAAAAAGGGTTTGGAAGAAACTGCTACTTATTGTAAAATGATTATTACACGAGTGGTCTCTGTGCTTTATGTGACTGACAGATCCATGATGTGAAGTTCCAAGCTCAGACTGCAGAGGACAAAGAGGCTTGGATTAAAGCTCTGAGCGATGGCATCAATCGAGCAAAGAACAAAGTCTTTGATGAGGTAAATGTCTGCGTAATCCCTAGTTTTTATACATGTTCAGCTCAGATGGATTCAGTGGAACAAGCTTTATTTGTTCACAGGTGATGGTTGATGAAAGCAGTAATTTAGAGCATGTTACTCGAACGAGGCCCAAAGGGAACCGTAACCGGCGGCCACCGACCAGGATACACATGAAAGAGGTTTGTGTGTGTATTTGTGTGTAAATGTGAGAATCCATTAATCTGTGTCTGTAACAGACAGTGGTAGTTTAGCTCTGTTACTACAGTACGTATGTCTAGGTTTGAATCTCAACTCAAATTCGAATGGCTTTCTTATTGGTTTAAACACACAGTCTGAAAGTCATTCTGGATAAGAGTGTATTTATAAAAAAAAAAGACACCTTTATTTCTAATGTAAACCCACTTATATACACAGTGGGATTTTATCATTTCCAGTTAAATATGACATTGACGTTATTTTTGCATTTATTTAAGTAAATCAATAACCAATTAAGGAATGATAAATATGTGGAATCAAAAAGTTTGTTTGTTTGTCATGTGTAGCCACATGTCTGGACAGTTTCCACAGCAGATTTTGTTTACACCTCCAACAGAATTTTTTTTTTTGCCGTTTTATTCGTACTAAATATAGTTGTTAAATGTTATTAGGTTAATAAAAGTTGCTTTTATGTATGTTAAGTATATTTAATATATATATTTATGATTTCTTTGTTAAATATTTTTCTATATTAGGTATATTTTACCATATTTCTGGTAAACATCTTTCTGTCCTGATCTGTTTTTGTTTTTAATTTGCCTGTTGACTTAATCAGCTCTACATGATGTGCAATTTATTCCTACTGCTTTTTAAAAGAAACATGATTTATAGTCACTAATTAATTCTGTTTACTTCTACTATGCTGCTAGATTGCCATTGCCAATACTGTTGTTGCTGTGCACCTGTCTGTCTGTCTCTCGCTCTCTCTCTCTCTCTCTCTCACCCCAACTGGTCGAGACAGATGACCACCCACCTAGAGCCGGAGGATCTGTCCTAGGTTTCTGCCTTTTAACAGGCAGTTTTTCCTTGCCCTTGTCGCCAAGGTCTTGCTCATGGTGGTACTGTTGGGTCTCTGTAAATAATGTTTTAAAGAGTTCGGTCTAGACCTGCTCTATTTGAAAAGTGTCCTGAGATAACTTCTGTTATGAATTGGCGCTATACAAATAAAATTGAATTGAATTGAATTGAATTGAATTGAATTGGAATTGGAATTGAAATTGAAATTGAATTGAACTATGCTGTGTTGATGAAAGTCAATACTCCTTTTATGGTAGGCCTTTAATGTGAAATATCTCTGCAGGAAGAGCTCAGTGACACTGTCTTGTCTATATGAAATCATTTTTTCCTTATAGGTAGCCGTTGTGTCGTCTGATGGCATCTTGCGTTTGGATCTTGATCTTGAGGATGCCATAATGCCTAATGGGACAAATCATGCCAGTGTTGATGGCCCAGAGAGACCCAAAGAGGCCATCAAAGTCCCAACGCCTCCCTCCAATGCCAGTGAAGCTGCAGAGACACTGTCGGGGCCAAGTGATGAGGGAGAGGCTCAGACTGAGCCAGAGGTCAGTCCCCAGAAAAAGGTTATCAAACCTCCCATGCCCCCTATCAAAGAGCCTAAACCCAGTGCAGGACCTGAACATGAACCTGAGAAGGATTATGGCCAAGAGAAAAAGGTTTGTATAATGCTATTTAGCCCTTGTCATACAATAAATATTTGTGTATGTCTTTCTAATTGGATACCATGGCCTATAAAATATTTTTATTTTATTTTTTTTAAGGACCTGAAGCCACCTATGCCTCCATCTAAAGAAGTCAAGCCCTGTGTTTCATCTGCTGAAGAAGCTACAGAGGAGGCCAATACTGAGAAGATGTCTGAAAAGAGTCCTGATGCCAAGAAAAAGACAGGTCCACCTCCAACACCCCCAAACAAACCCAGCTCCAGCAGCTCCACAAGCAACCTTGCAGAGGCTGCACAGTCCAGGCCAAACTCCCACCCTCCTACCCCTCCATCCAAAGAGAAGAAACCCTCCCATCCTGCGGAGCCAGAAGAGGTTCAAGACACAAGTGGTGAACACAAGGAGAACGAAGAAGACGATAAGAAAGAGGCAAGAGGAACATCTGTGGGAACTGATGAGGCAGAGCAGTTAGTTTCTCAAGAATCTATACAAGATGATGAACCTAAGAGTCCCAGCGAAGAAAGACAGGACATTAAAAAAGAATCAGGGGAGACTATAAGCAGTGGCATAAACAAGGCATCCGGCAATGAGCCACTCAGAAAGAGCCCTAGTCCTCTGCTAACCCCCAAGAAAAAGCCAGAGAATCTTGTTCAACACCTAGAAGACCGAACAACTGATTCTAATAAGGAACAGGACCCTACCGCATTTCTGCAAACAGCCCCAGATACCTCAGCCAGTTCTCCTCAAGCAGAAGAGACACTACCCAAGACTGAAGTCCCCTCAGTAGTTGTCTCTTTGAATGACCCGGTCACTGACGGCCTCAGCCTGAGTCCACTACTCTGTCACTTGCCTGGGGAGAAGAAAAAGAAGGCGGAGGAGAAATCTGTAGACAGCGGTCAGCACTCAGATGATGACAGCGAAGGCTCTGGGAGTGAAGACACGCTGGCAATGTCCACAGCTGCGTTGAGAGGAAGCCGGCCCAGTCTGGATGTGTTGGACGCCAGTGAGGATGACATTCAGATCCCTGTCGATTCAAGGCCGACACAGGGCGCAATCAAGCCTCAGGTTAGATCGAAGGTATTTCCCACTCGTCCTCTTAAACCCTCAACCAAGGCCAAGTCAGCCTCCATTGGAGATCTGCTTACTGATTCTTCAGTCTTTTCTCAGGTGAGACAGCAAGCCAAAGCTGTGGCTGGAAGCAACAGGGCTCCCAGCGATGATGTTATGAAACTTGAGGCTGAAGTGGCTCTGGAGATGGAAAAGACGAGTGAGCTCCTGAGCAGAGTGTCCCAGTCCCAGAGGGTAGGTGACGGGGAGGGCATGCCAGAGGATCTGCTGGCCGAGGCCATGGAAAAGCTGAAGAAGGCTGACCATGTCCTCAGGGAGGTCAACAAACTAAAACCTCCAAAGAACTCAAGCAAAAGGAAGAGCTGGTGAATGTCAGTCATGGCAGATTGACTGGGAATTGACCTTTCGCTAAACCCTTGTCCTGAACAGTGACTATGCAATCACAGGCAAGCTTTGCATCTCTGGACATAGCCTATTGTATGGATAGCGATATTCAGTATACAAAGAGTTTGAAGGGCCATATGTTTTTTTTTTAGGCTTTCCAAGAGCAAAAGTGAAAGGAATAGATTAAATGTACAGTCTTTAAGTAAAGTGTGTAAGTTCTGCCAGTAAGGGGTGTCACATCAAAACAATAACAAAAGATGTTTGATGACGTAGTGTGGGATCATAGGAGTTTTTATCTTCACCACCATTGCAGTCAGCTTCTCCCAGTTAGGATCTCTTCACTGATCATCATTCAGGAGGTTTCTATTGGGAGCCGAATTGTCCACATAGGTCTGATTAAAACCAGTAAAAACACTGAATAAAGCATTTCCACCTTAAAAATAACTGATTCTCCCATGCTGTTGGGCAGACAAAGGAGCTCCCGGAGGGGCTGTGAACTCATCCGGTTCAAATGTTAGTTAAATAGTAGTAAGATCTTAAGTGATATGACGGCATTGACAGGCGACCGATGAAATGCACCGTTACCTGAATAAAATATTTATCGTAGGTCTAGTGTGACATTTTAATGCAGAAATATTACATGTTATTGCTTTAAACTGTGTGTTTGTATGCTCTAACATAAGCTGTAACCATTAGCATCACCAGCTAACTAGCTTACTACTTCCTGTAGACACTCAATGTTACTTTCAAGGCCTTTCAGGTAGCCTACCTAACCACATTTGTGAGGTTACAGCTTACAAAGAAGCCCTGTTCACGACAAGCACATCCACTACTATTTCCCCACTGTGTGGAGGCTGCTTCTGGATGCTATTAGAGTTTAGGTTGACGATAACAGCTCTGTCCTGCTCTTCATTGGATTTGGGAAAGTTTTTGCTCCAGTAGCCAACATTAGTGTTTAGTTTGTCAAATACATCCTAAAAGCCTTTTCCTTTGTAACGTGTAATTGAGACAATTGCGGCAAAAATGAGAAGCTGCTTTTGACTGGAATCAAAAACCCACAGGTTCAAAAACGAATTTTGAGTGTTAAATTGTATACAGCTACCTGACAGGTGTAGAAACATTAGCTAAAGGGGTCAGGGTTTAGAGAATAGAGCTAAAGGGGTCAGGGTTTAGAGAATAGAGCTAAAGGGGTCAGGGTTTAGAGAATAGAGCTAAAGGGGTCAGGGTTTAGCGATCGGTCAATCGATGGACTCATTTTTGATGGTTATGCAGCACATGCAACTGTTCGCTCATAATTAATTAAGTGCAATTATTTCTAGTTTAACTTCATCTGCAGCTGAAAGTAATGCTTAATGTTCTACTTTGTGTTTTTTATTTTTTGTTATATATGAAATCAGACATTTTCAAGAATAATTACTTGAAAGCTAATTTGAGAATTAGGCTATTAATATAATGACAAAGCGGCACTGTCAATAAATTGAGAACATTAAAAAAAGTACTAGAAAGTGTTAATACCAGATTACTGAGATAACTTCTGTTATGAATTGGTCCTATACAATATATAATTGAATTGAATTACACAACTGTCATAATAGTTCACTTTGTGTGGCAAAGTAAAACTATGTTTTTTACTGGCAGTTTATATGAGGGAATTTATATTGTACATACTTTATACTTTTACCACAGCATTTTCTGTTTGTTGTTGAGGGATAATGTACCAACATAGCTCAGGAGTTTTCTGAAATTAATCTTTTTAGACTAATCATGTGATTAAAGAAAACTGCTACTCTACATAGCAGGACTGCAGTTTTTTTTATTAATGATCTGTTTTTATTACTGATATTGTACATAGCACAGAATAAAGAGCTTGCAGCAGCCCATTTGTCTCTCATTAACCCCTCTTACAATATGTGCTCTTCAGTGATGTTCCTCCCAATTTGGATCATGAGCTCTGAACTTTTGTCCAGTGCTTTGTTAAAAAATGTGATGTTAGTTTTTAAGGCCATTTTAAATATGCCATGCCATTTAGAGTATAGAATATTTTCTAACATTAGATATAATTTTGTACTCTTTGATACAATTTGCTATTGCCCAAATAAACAAAGGGAAACTGTTTATCTGTTTATGTTTTCTGTCTTTAATGCAGTTGTACATCTAGAATCTCAAAGATTTATTTCAGGAATTTACTTTGTATTATTATTGGTTTCCTGTGGGGAAGGCATCAGGGTTTCAACATTTTATTTTATTTTTTCATACCTGGCGGAAACCTACTTCAAATTTTATTTACTTATTTTTAGTGCTGAAACAATACTTGATCAATTAATTGAAATTGACAACAATTTTGATAATCACTGAATTTAAGAATAGTAAACTTTTTGTTACCTTAGACTGAGCCTATTATATCTACAGATGCCGGGTCGCCCTGTGAGGCATGTTTCTACAGTAGCCCGGAACGGACAAATCAAACATTGGCTCCAGCTTTTTTTGTGTGTTTCGCAGCTACCGTAGTTTCTCTTTCGCACTTGAAAGGGGAGGAATTAAGTGAGGGAGCTGTAAGTACACTGCTAGATGCTATTAAATCCTGCACACTGGTCCTTGGTAAAGTATTTTTCCGCAAATGTGAGGGGAAAAAATCTGTAAGTCATATCTCAAAATAATGACTAAGTATCTGAAAATGACAGTACCTAAAAACAATGACCTAGTATCTCAAAATAATAAGAAATTCTCAATATTTTGACTTAGTATCCCAAAATAATGGCTTTGAGTCATTATTATGAGATACTAAGTCAATATTTTGAGAAGCTTTCTCATTATAATGACTTTTTCCCGTCACGTTGGTGGAAATTCAACTCAATTCAATTCAATTCAATTTTATTTGTATAGCGCCAATTCATAACAGAAGTTATCTCAGGACACTTTTCAAATAGAGCAGGTCTAGACCGAACTCCTTATAGATAGATAGATAGATAGATAGATAGATAGAAATACTTTATTTATCTCCAAAGGGAAATTATAATGTTATAGCAGCTGATTAAGAGTCAATTATTATTAGAAAAGTCTTATTGCAGTGGGGAGGAATGATTTTGGATTATTGGGCTTCCATATTCCTCGGAGCTGGCACAGGGGGAAACAGTTTTATTTTGAAGGTCGTGACCGGAAGTCTTATTAACGTTACGCTGTCAGCGGGCTTAAACCGGCTGATAGCGGCCGGGTAGCCTGCTTTGATGTGCCGGGGAACGTTCCACAGCACTGCGATGAGAGCGGGGACAGCAGAGACAGCAGAGCGGCGGTAGAAGATGGAGGATGACCTGGTGTCCGAGAATGATATCTGTAAGTATGACCCAGCTGTGTGCTGCAGGGGACAGACCTGACATCTGTTTGCAGCAGGATGTCCGTATTGAGCACAGGGACAAAAACGGTATTCAACTAAACGGTGTGGACGCTGTATTTCAGCACGGTCTGACACCGTAGGACGGTGGACGGTGGACGGTGAGGTTACTTCTAATCATCTAACAGTAATATTCATTTCCTCTTACCTTCAAACACAAAATACTGTCCTTTTGCACAAATGTGTTCCTCATAAAAATTGGGGAAATATTGCTGTGTCCACATTTTTAAAAAGTTTGTCCCTCGATGAAAGTGGAGCTCACAGCACCCACAGGAGGAATTAAATCACCAGGAAACGTCGTTGATACATTAAAGGACGATTTCAACCATTTCCATGTGCCTGTTCTAGAGTGAGCACATGAACGCATCTCTGCTCCTAGTATTCCATTCCTTTCATGAAGAGCATGCAGTGGCTGTGTTCAGTATGTCATATGTAATGTGATGTAATATGTAATGTGCAGTGTTGGGCAGTAACTCATTACTAGTAATCATATTCAGTGTTGGGCTTGTTACTCAAAAAATGTAATCTATTACTTATTCATCATTACTCTTTTAAAAAGTAATATAATTACTTTACTTATTACTCCCTGCCAACAGTAATTAGTTACACTACTAGTTATATTACTTTTCTGCTACTCCCCAGAAAATTGGTAATTGTGTCCTTTCTCCCCAAAATTCAGACTTACGACGATTAAAATCCAGTTTTGTTTGTTAAAGTCAAAGTAATGTAAGTGTTTCCATCTGCCAAACTAATTTCCTCCACGATTACAAAAATGAATTCAAGGATGTGATTGGTTGTTGGATTTCAAATCAGTAGAGGGTGACAATAAAAGTAATATTGTCACTGATTCTTTTTTGGAGGAGTAACTATAATATTTTTACTGAAATGTATTTGTAATTAGTTACAGTACTAGTTACTGGGAAAAGTAATGTTATTACTGTAATATAATTACTAGTAATGAGTTACTGCCCAACACTGATCATATTACAGTAATATTACTTGTCCCAGCAACTAGTAGTGTAACTAAATACTAAAACATTTCAGTAATAATATTATAGTTACTCCTCCAGAAAATAATTTACAATATTACTTTTGTTGTCACCCTGTACTCATTTGAAATCCAACTGGTCAATCACATCCTTGGATTCATTTTTGTAATCATGGAGGAAATTAGTTTGGAAGCTAGAAACAACTAACTAATATTTTAACAAACAAAACTGGATTTTAATCGTCGTAAGTCTGAACTTTGGGGAGAAAGGACACAATTACCAATCTTGTGGGGAGTAGCAGAAAAGTAATGTAACAAGTAGAGTAACTAATAACTGTTGGCATGGAGTAATAAGTCAAGTAATGAGTAATGAGTAATGTAAAGTCTCCTGCCATGGTCCTGCTAGATTTCCATTGCCAATACTGTTGTTGCTGTGCACCTGTGTCTCTCTCTCTCTCTCTCTCTCTCTCTCTCTCTCTCTCTCTCTCTCTCTCTCTCTCTCACCCCAACTGGACGAGACAGACGACCACCCACCTAGAGCCGGAGGATCTGTCCTAGGTTTCTGCCTTTTAACAGGCAGTTGTTCCTTGCCCTTGTCGCCAAGGTCTTGCTCATGGTGGTACTGTTGGGTCTCTGTAAATAATGTTATAAAGAGTTCGGTCTAGACCTGCTCTATTTGAAAAGTGTCCTGAGATAACTTCTGTTATGAATTGGCGCTCTACAAATAAAATTGAATTGAGTAACTAGCCCAACACTGGTAACGTGATGTGATGGGAGTGTTGTTGTTATTGGTCCGGATCAATAATAAGAGCAGGCTGTGTTTAGTACCACTTCTGGGTTTGTAAAAAATGTAGCGATGTTTTGACTAATGATTGCTGTATGTGCACATAGATCACTCACAAAATTGATATTCATTTTTTCTTCCTGTAAAACACCATGTGACGAATGCTTATGTAAGTGTGAACCAACAATTTCAACCAATAATATCACAACATCCACCTGTCAATCAATCTTTAACCTTTAGCAGCACAGAGCGGAGACTCATTGGTTAGCTAGCTCGTAATACCATGGCTTTATTGGCTCACTGATACAAACAGACAACTTTATCAGTGATTTTGGGTCAGACTGGATTTTATTTTATTTGATAATATTTTTTATTCCCCCGTGATCTCCAGCTGTGCTAACTGCTGCTGTAGCTGCGGTTAGCATGCAACGGAAGCAGGCTCATTAGCCATTAGCCTCCCAGTGAACACAGCCTCCGAGACAAAATGGAGACCAGTTTGACAACAGTGGTACCGAAGTGATTTACAGAGATACTGATGGACTTGTTGCTGAGAGTAGCTAACTTCCACTAATGGTAATGTTAGCTGCCTTAGCTCAGTACTGTGTTCCCTGTGGTCCAACTGGCCTACGTCAGCGTAGGATGCTGTATTCAGGGCTGTTCACTGGGGGCTATACTGGGTCCCTCCCCAACTGCCTAGTTTTGTAGGAAATGAATAAATATGAGGAAGCAAACAGCTTTCTATATCACGTGGACTAATGTAAAAACATCAAACACTGTTCCACCTGTTTATTGAACATTTTATTTATACTGAGCTATGTACCAGTGATTCTTGACACTCCAGCCAACAATATGTTGGTTTAAGGCATAGAATACAAATCCAAATTCCACTGTTGTTGTTACCTTTCGCTGGCATACAGAATAGACTTGAACACTTCCCTCTTTGTGTATCACTGCTGACAGTGCTGTGGTCAGAGAAGGAGCTCCATGATGCTGCAAAGAGAAACGACACAGAGAGAATGCAGGAGCTGATCAAGAAGGGTGTGGATGTCAAGGCCAAGAATAAAGTAAGCCTGCTGAAGGACAAGCATGTATACTTGTCTTGGCCTCACCACTCACTGCTTTCAATCAATAGGTCTTTTTCACAGCGGCCTGTTATTATTTCTATAGCACAAGGTGAAATAATAACATTGATCAAGGCTCACTGTCATACACCAGAACTGAATGCCATTGTTAATGTTGTTAATTCCACCTGAGCTTGTCTGGTTAAAATGTTTTTGAAAAAGGTGTACTGTCTCAACAGTAAGCTAGTTGGTTAGATATAAGTTTAATTTTTGTATTATTTCAGACTGAATGATCAACGTGTGTTTATCTGTGCAGTCTCCTTTGTGAGCAGGGGATTTAGTTTTAACAATAACTAGTTAATATCAACTAAAGGTTTGTATTTTGTCATTTTCTAGAACAACTGGATTTTAGTCAGTATTTTAAGTAAGTTTTTTTTTTTTTAAGCCCTAAGATTGTCAGCCTGTTCATGTGTGCATTAAAGGATTGAGCACCTGATAGCATTAAAACCCAGTCACATGCAAGGCAAAACCAAAGAGATAAAAAAAGATGGACATTGCTTCTCCACCTTCTCCCTCTGTACAAAAATAAATGAATGAATAAATGCCGTTTGGAGCCAGAGTCTGCACAATAATGATCGGGGTTGGCGCCGTAGTATCGAAGTCTCGTTCCTACGTCCATCTTACTCAATTGCAAGCAGGGCTCAGCTGTCAATCATGACGTGAAACCCCCTTTTTATAGCCTCAAATAACTAATTAAAACCAAGCTGATCAGAAAAATTTACACTTGAACAAACATCAGTGTGTTAAGAACAAGCTCAAATGACAGAAACAATCTTAATCTTAATGTAATCCTTGATGTTATTTTAACTGTGCATTGGTGTTGTAACCATGTTAACTGTCCTGTAGCGTAGCTTTACCCTCTCTGCCAAACAGACACTGATAGGGAGCAGAGGACCAAGAGAGAGTAACAGCGATGTGAATTGTTGCTTTCATAGAGTCCGATACTTAGACCCTGCACCACAGGGGTCTCTACAGACACAGCCACACACTGCTAGACTGCATAGTGTACCTTTTAAAGATAAACAATATCCATGAACATCCCTTCCCTAGTGTTCTGTAAAAAAAAGAAAAAGAAAGAAAAAGGCTTATCTGTTTGATTTTAAGGACTAAGCAAATAATGTATTAATGCTAAAGGAAGAGGCACAGTTCCATTCTGCTTGCATTGTGGAAACGATAAATAGGTTTGAAATCTCTTTTACTACTGACGCAGCAAGAATATTTTGATGAAATAAAACTAAATCATTAATTACACATTTAAAATGTAATTTTCAAATTATGACAGAACTTGCAATAGTTTCTAAAGCTCCAGTCCATTTAAAAACAGAATACTGAATGCAGACCTCCTTTATTTTGAACGTTACACAGACTTTTGATGCTATCAATGCAACACTCTTGCAAAAAGGAAGTGAGGCATATAAATGCACATTTTGGTTTCATAACCTCAGGATGGAGAGAAATACATCAGTGAAGTCACATTCAGTGCCTTTTATAGAGGTATCGGGCGATTTCATTTTTGAATAGTCAGTATTTGAGGAAGTTGGCCTGATGTGCACGCACTGTGAGGATTCAATTCAATTCAATTTTATTTGTATAGCACCAATTCATAACAGAAGTTATCTCAGGACACTTTTCAAATAGAGCAGGTCTAGACCGAACTCTTTATAACATTATTTACAGAGACCCAACAGTACCACCATGAGCAAGCACTGGCGACAAGGGCAAGGAAAAACTGCCTGTTAAAAGGCAGAAACCTAGGATAGATCCTTCGGCTCTAGGTGGGTGGTTGTCTCCCTCGACCTGTTGGGGTGTGAGAGAGAGAGAGAAAGAGGGGGTAAAGAGAGAAGGACAGAGACAGAGACGAAGGTGCACAGCAACAAAAAAAAAAACAACAAGCACAGCGTTAGTTCATGCAGGCCACAAAGCTCAGCTCTCAGTTCCAGCTACATCAGCTGATCACAGCTAGTCGTAAACACACAGCAGGAAATAAAGTTTCTTTTGACAAAAGTGGTCCTGACTGAACTATACTAATAGAAGTGACTGATGATGATGATGATGATGAACATGAAGAAGATGATGATGAAGACAACAGCCACAAAGACAGCACTCTATCATGTATCTATCTGTGTGTCTCTGTACAGATCGACCGTAAAGCGCTGCACTGGGCAGCGGGAGCTGGTAGTGAACAGGCTCTACGCCTCCTACTGGTCCATGACAATGAAGTTGATGAGAGGGACTCTGTATGTACAAGTTTGTAGTAAGATCCTAATTTACCACTAAATTCAATCATTACCAAAAATAAAAAGAATTCACTATTATGTTATATCACACTGGTTCCAACTTTTTTCCTGAAAAGACTCAGTGACATATTTTAGGGATATTTCATGTTATATGGTAAAGGGTAAATGAACCTGTACTTGTATAGTGCCATTCGACCACTCAAAGCACTTTTACAGTATCTTGCTCAAGGATACTTCGAGAGGAGCTGGGGATCGAACCAACGACCGATTACCTTCCGATTAGGGGACGACCCGCTCTGCCTCTGCACCACAGCCATATATTCAATGCATAACAATAAAAGTAGAAGACAGCTAATTTTTTTCCTGTGAATATTGAGCAGAGATGAGTTTTCCTGATATTTTTAGGCACTTTTTATACTTTTTATATATCTGTATTATGTGTTAATATTTAACAATCACACATACGTAATAGGCTTCTTTTTTCATAAACTCAGTGTTTCCTTCTCATCGTTCTATTAGCTCTTTGGTAGCGCTTTTCTAATGCAGGACGAGGCTGTTTATCAGAGAGAAGGCTCAGTGAACATAGCTTGTGTTCAGGTCTTCACCCTTTTATTTATGTACAAGTACTATGAGACTTTCACTGTTCTAAAATAGTCAAATGTCTGCCCACAGTTTGGCATGAACGCTCTGCTTCTGGCATCCTGGTTTGGTCACCTAAAAATCCTGCAGATCCTGGTGTCCTGTGGGGCTAAGCTCAACTGTGAAAACAAAGTAAGAGCTGCTTCATTTCATTATCACTGTAAACATGAAGGTAATTATTTAATTGTGTCATGGTCTGTGTGTGTGTTAGGATGGTCTGAGTATGCTACACTGTGCTGCTCAGCGAGGCCACATCAGTGTTTTGGAGTTCATCATGGAAGACCTGGAAGACATCTGTCTCGACAGAGCTGACAAGGTAATTCCTCGCTTGACACTTTTCAATTTACACACTGATGATGTACTCATTGTGGAAAGAACGTATTGTTGTAGCAGAATATGAGTCTAAATCTTCTCTTTCTTTCCATGTCTTTACTATAACAAACATTTTGCTGTTTGTTATCAGAATATCAGTAATATGACAGTAAATGCAGATGAATGGAATCTGAGGCTTTTATTTGAACACTGTGAATACAATATGTTATACAGTATATAATACAGTAAATGTACGACAGCTCCTGTGGGTAACCTGCTGATGTCTCTCTGACCAGTCAGGGAAGACTGCACTCCACCTGGCTGCTGAACATGGACAATTTGAAGTGGTGGAGTTTCTGATTGGAATGGGTTGCACACATGGTTTGAAGGACAAGGTAGTGACAGACACACACACACACACACACACACACACACACACACACACACACACACACACACACACACACAGATCAACTGTACTCAAGCAAACAAGCAAACACAATTGGCTGTTGTATATGATATTTGAAAACCAATATGAGGTTTTAAATAGCTAAGATGTTACTTTATGTTATACTTTTGTATTTGATGAGCAAAACCTTGGCCGAGTTGATGTGGGTTGGAATACATCCATCATTCTTACGTTTTAAAGCTGTCTTTACTCAAACAAACAGCATAAAGCAGGATATGTTCAGACTTTAAATCCTGTGTATACTGGTAGGGTTGAGTTGGTGTCCTGTTTTGGCGATCCTGTCCGGTATGAGCTTAATCCGGTTTGATTTCATGCTTTATGCTTTAGGCTGCACTCATTTTCAAATGTGAACTCATTCGGGTGCAGTGGTTCGGGCTTGGGCTTTAGACGCTGTACAAGCACTGGACTACCTTGATCCCACACATTGAGTCCCCCCACAGACACACACACGTACCGGAGAGTTAGCCTCTCTGAGCCGCTAGCTTAGCTACAACGCGATTGTTAGCTTAGCTACAAACAGGTAACACACAGAAACTAGTCACTATAAAATCCCCAGTGGACTCTCTGTTTCCATCACAGACACGGATAGTCTGACAGCAACTGCCTATGGCTGGTTAGCTCTGACTACCAGCTCACTGTTACTGCTCTACTGCTGTGGTCAGTCTGTCAGTCACTGTCCTTTGTAGGCATTGACAGTATATAATTAATGGACAGAGCTTCTGGGTCTGTGAAACGCAGAAGTGTCTTAAACCTGCATTCCTTTAATGGCCAGCAGGGGGCAGCTCCATGGGCTACAATAAGAAGTCTGATAGTAATTAAGTCTTATGGAGAACTTGATTTATTATCACAGTAAACAGTTTCCTAATAAGTTTATGGTCATAATCAGTATTCTACCATACAGCATGGTTTTCATTTACTAACTGATGGTCCTATTTAGAGCGGGGCTACCTTGTGATTGACAGCTCATTCTCAGTGAGTGCGTCCAGCTCAACGCACCAAACTCAGATCAAACTGTCAAACTAGGCAGTGCTGATCAAATGTGAATCCAGATACTGCGTTGCCTATTTCTCTCCTCAAATGTTGTAATCTTGTATCTGTAATACGAGAATGTGTGCAACCAGGCGAGCTGCCATTGTTTCATGCTAAGGACAAGTTGCAACTGAGCAGCCAATGAGAGCAACTCAACTTGAAGTCCGTAATGCCAAACTTGAGGCTTCAAAACGGTACTCCACAAACCAATGGGTGATGTCAAGATAGGTTCACACTTGTTTGAAGGTCTCTGATGCATTTGTGAAATCTGAACCACAGATGGGAGCTACAGCTTCCTCACAAAATAACCTCTTCATTTGGAGTGGGATCAGATCAAGGATTTATTCACTGTGCAGCCAATGTTATTGGTTTGCTGAGCCCCCAGCTGGAGAGAGCATTTTAATATTTTATCTGTGTAAGATCCTTGAAGCAGAACTGCTGCAGAAGAGGAAAGGGAAGAAAAAGGCAAGATCGTGGTGTAGCTCAGCTACTATGAATAAATAGAAATAAGGATTTGGTAATGTGTGTGGGAAAATAATGGATTCATTGTAGAAACATTCAGCTTCTGTCACTCCCAGTGGTAATAGTCCTCATGCAAACTTGTCCAGAACTATTAAAAAAGAAGAAACAAAGACACAGAACCTACACAGCAACACTAACAATGCCACAATACTAATACCTCATCTGACCTTAGACAAAAAGGTTGGGCATTCCTGGATTATGTGACATTATCAAAATGAATGGACCATCACACCGCCAAGGTCAGTGTGTATAGAAACTGCCCTTTTCCTGCATGTTTAGACCATAAAACCAGTGTGTGTCAACAGCTACTCTTGACATGTTTTGGTGGATATACTGTATGTAGAGGAGGTAGTGTGAGAATGGGCTCCTGGTTGTAATGTGTTGTTATGTCTGCATCACAGGAAGAGAACACAGCCATGCATCTGGCAGCAAAGTGTGGGCACAGCGAGGTTCTGCGGAAGATCGTGGAGACTGGAGTCGACGTCGATGAGAGGAATATAGTGAGTGGACTGGACAGCATACTTCAAGGCCAGATTTTTTACTTTATCATGGTGCACAATTGGCAGCCTGTTTGCATTTTCTGTACGTTACCTTTTATTTTACAGAAGCACTTTTTCAGTTCTCACATTAGTACCATGTTTTTGGTTGGGCTGCAACTATTGATTATTTTCATTATTGTTAATGGCAGTTATTTATTTAAATACTGATTAATTGCTTGGTTGGGTTGGTGGGCGGCTGTGGCTCAGAGGCAGAGCGCGTCATTCCTTAATCGGAAGGTTGTGGGTTTGATCCCCGGCTCCTGGTGCCACATGTCGAAGTATCCTTGAGCAAGATACTGAACCCCAAATTGCTCCCGATGCCGTGCGTCGGTGTGTGAGTGTGTATGAATGTTAGTTTCTGTTCGATGGACTTTGCCATCACTGAGTGAATGTGTGTGAAAGGGTGAATGTGGCACGTAGTGTAAAAGCGCTTTGAGTGGTCGGAAGACTAGAAAAGCACTATACAAGTACAGGTCCATTTGGTTTATAAAAATCCATTGCATCACTAAAGAACAATGTAATATCTTCTAATTGCTTGTTTTTCAGATTTTCAGTTTGAAGAAAACTCCAGATTAACTAGCTAAATGGAAATATTTGGATTTAATACAATTTGATGAACCAGCGGTCTTTATGTGGGGTTAGGGTTAGTGTCATAGACGAATCGGGCTCAAATTTCTATTTCTGCTAAAGTGACTCGTCTTATAAATAAGGGTTAAGGTGAGTAAGAATTCCTGGTTCCCGCTTCTCAAATATGGAGATTTTCTGCTTTCCTCTGGTTCATATTGTAAACTGACCTTCTTTTCTGCGTGTTGGTTGGACAAAATTTTAAGATGTCACTTTTATTTCTATAAACTGATGGCACAATTTACTCATGATACACACCAGTCTGACTCAGACTGAAATGTACCTGTTGTGTTTTTAGGATGGTCTTCAAGCACTGCACGTGGCAGCTGATGGAGGTCACTATGAAAGTGTCAAACTGCTGCTGGAGTCCGGCTGTAATATCAATGCACAAACTAATGTGTGGTTTGTTCATTTAAATGATATTATCTGCAATAAACATAAAAGATAAAAAAAATACATTTGAATCTTTTGACAGTGTGACAGACACTGGGTTTGTTTGTGTTTGCAGAAGAACATGAATGCTCTCCATTATGTGGCAGAGCATGGCTTTGACAGAGTGGCCAGTTTGCTGCTGGAGGCAGGAATTAACGTAGATGCTGTAAACAATGTAAGTAACGTCAACTCCCATGTCACTTGTTTCTTGGTTTGTATGATGCTAAAGTTTACCCACTTTATCCAAAAATAATAAGAATGTGTGACACTAGACTAGTGGGCAATCTGATGATGTAAGATTAAGACTATGATCTAAGGCGCCCACCATTTCCTTTTAGGTGAATGGTAGATATTGCAGTATTTAATATCCTCAATTTCCGTTTCCTTTACATTACCTCATTTACTAGCAGATGTGCGCTACATTAACAAACCAATAGAGTAAACTACTTAAATTACTTCACGTTGCTCTTCCTTGGATGACATATTGTGAACAATGCAACTGAGTTGTAAGTACTTTAAAAGTGTTCTTTTATATATGATTATTATTATATTTTGGCTTCTGTTTAAAATTTCAATTAAACTAAGGTTTTATCCAACATTTTGAAACCTGTGCCATATCTTGAACGCAATGTTGTGTTTTAATGGGGTCAAAATTCATGGGCTATTTCAAGTCTAGCTTTCAAAATGGAAAAAAAGATGACAATTTAGATCATGGATTGTAATTGTGATTAAATAGATTGTGATGTTTTCTCCCACCTCTACCTGTGATGGTACATGCGTTTTTTAATAGAACTTTCATTCAAAGAACTTTAAATTTGCTTCTCTTCCAGTGGGTGCTCTTAATAACATGTTCATTCACATATCAGATGAAATGTTCTTGTTGTCTTCTTTATTTGTGTTTGAAACAGCAACACAACACACCCCTCCACCTAGCTGTGATGAGCAATCACACAGAGGTTGTACGGCTGCTTATAGATGCTGACTGTGACCTGGACATCACTGACAATGTGAGTGGAGGCCTCTACAGTGCCACAGCTACACAGTAAAGAACACAAAAGCACCTGGCTCTGCAGGACCTCTGTGTGCCCACATTCACTAAAACTGATAATGCCACATGTTAAAATTATAACAATTCACAATGACAGGTGATGGTTCTACAGTGCAGTAACTGACTTCTGTCACGTGGTTCACAGAGACAACAGACTGCTCTGCACATAGCAGCAGAGCATGGCCTGCAGGACGTGGCTGAGATGATGCTGATCTCTGGCGTTAACCTCAGTCTGACTGACAAGGTACCAGACAGCACAAACTTTGAGCCAAGCTTTTTCAAACAATTTGCTAGTTTTTCTATTTTTTCCTAATATTTTATTTACATGTATACATTTCATACTCAATAATTAAAAGATTGAAAACAGAATAAAACTGACTATATGATATACACAGCAGGGGAAAACGTGTCTGGAGGTGGCAGCAAGAGGAAATCATGTCATCCTGGTCGACATGATCATCAAAGCTGACCGCTTTTATAAATGGGATAAGGTGAGTTTATTGCATTGCATCTGGACCTGCAGTGGCTCACCTGGAATAATGTTATTAAACAGATACAACTTCAGATGCTTTGCATTGTAAACCACATGTATATGTACACTGTGAATAAAGAACTGCCTCCCCTCTTGGCTTCAGGATCATATGGGCAGTGAGCAGGACCAAGACTTGGGGAGGCCTTTGAGCTTCAAGCAGGACCACCAGCCAGAGACACAGCACCTCCGCTCTGTCCTGTGGAGACTGGCCACCAAGCACCTCTGCCGTGGGGAATGGAAGATTCTGGCACAACACTGGGACTTCAGCGACGCACATATCAGAGCTATAGAACAACAGTGGACAGGTGAGCTACAGTTGACCTCTTGAAAATGGTTTGAAACACAAATTAGATTATTACATTAGACACACGACTGCTTTTAAACACTTGGGCACATTAGTGGCACCAACAGGGCGGTATCTGTTTGAATACCATAAAATGCACACAGCATGTTTCCCAACCTCTCTCGAGCTGTCTGAGCCCGACAGCTGGAAGATAAAGTGCACTCTCATGTCTGTATATAATTATGGAGCTAGTTCACGTTAGAACTTTACACTGACATCGCCCATACTTTCTGGGTGTATACGTATACAGGTTTATGTGTATAAAAGTAATTTTATTCTATTCTAATTTTAATATTTATCTGCAACTTACTGCAACTTACTTTTCGTTGTGCAACCCTCTTCTGTAAAATGACAACAAATTAACTTTGATTCCTTGATGTATTTGAAACTTTGAATTAAACTTGTA